CCGAGGACGAACTGTCGGTCGGCGAACCGTCCGAGGCCAGGATGCTGACGTCGACCGGCCCGACCTGGGGCACCTGTCCTGCCGGTGGCAGGCCATCGCGAGAGAAACGGGGCAGGAGTCCCAGGAGCCTCGACAGACGCAGGAGAGACAAGAATCACGATGTGGGAGAATTTCACGAGGGAATGCTGCTGGACGCGTTGCTGCAGCTCTATCCCAGCGTCGCAGGTGAGGAACCCTTCAAACTAGACTCTAGATCTCGAATTAACCGACGACGTTGAAGTAACTGGATGTCCCGTCGCGGTCGCGGAGTACTGCTTACTACCTAGCAGTAAAATGACGGAAATCGTGAATTGTTTCAGGTGTAGCTGGCAACCGATCGAATAGCAATCAACGACAACAGTCCGTCCCTTCGGTGGCCCACAGGTTACCCTATTTCGTGCCACCGATGCCAGCCACCCAGGCGCTCAGGGTCGAGGAGAACCCGTACGAGAGCGTACCAGTGTTAGGCCCTCTCCATCACTATTCCAGCCAAAGCAGAAGCAACAAGGACAGGTCACGCAAGTCGAACGACAAGTACAAGTACTCGACGCAATACGGGGCCGAGTATTACGGGCTGCAGAACCAGGACACGACCCCTGTGTACACGCAGGTCGGAGGAGAGTATACGGACACCTATTCGCAGCCGACTGACCGTCTTTACAACGAGGACAAATACACGCAACCGGTGTATTACGCGACGAGGGACGGCGACCAGATTTCTTCCGGCAGGTTGTACCAGGCCCAACCGGACAGCAGTTTCGGTAGCGATAGCGGGTACAGCCATCACACTTCCGGTACGACCGGCACCACCGGCACACGCAGCAGCAACTCGAGGACAAATCATAGGAAGGACAAACACCGGAATTCGCATCATTCCCATCATTCCGCGGACTACATCGTGTCCTAATGCTCGACCGTGAACGGTACGCTTCGAACGAAGGACAATCTGCGAAGATGACGAAGATCGGATGAATGTTGTAATTACTTTTCTAAAAAGTAACGATCCCGCGTTTTCTTTCGCGTATTTATTTTGTAAATCGTTTTTATTCTGTTTCTTTTTTATCGGAAGAATAGAGTATTTTATTTTCGTACGCCAGGCAACGAGAGGCTTGCGCATTTATTTTATTATTTGGTCCTTGTTATTATGATTGTTGCGCGTGATATAGAAAGTATTTTAGTATTTGGAGACGTAACGTCGGAAATCGAACGTCGACGGAAGTTTGTGCTTCTGATATCTACCGGAGCAATAGAAAAGACTATAAGAAACCTCGACGATCAGATATATTCTAGGGCGCGACACACTCACGGAAAAACACAGTGATCTCTTAGTGATTTAGTAAGACTATTTAAAAAAATTATTTGTAATCTAATGAGACTCAGGCTGGTACCAAAGGACGCTATTAAGTAATCCGACTTTTTAGCCTTCTAGTTTGTAATTTAATACACGTAGAGCTGCTCGCGAGACAATTATTATTAAAGAGAGTAAAACGTCGGAAATCGTGACGAGACGTGCGACTACCTACGCGTCTCTTCGCACTGACGAATGAATTTTAACGCGTTCGAGATCGCTAAATCTATGCAGAGAACGATCGACCGAAATCTGATTAGTATTGATTGATGTCGCGACGGTGTTTTGTCGAATGTCTCGACATCGATCGGTTCCAATGGTGCAATTCATCTCGAGCTACCGGTCTCGAACGCGTTAGACGATTTCAACGAGAGAAGGGAAAGGTGAACCGATCCACTGCCAAACGATCCTAAATAATTTCGCAAAGACTGCCATCGATTAAGAGATATCAGTCATTGGCGTAACTAGGTAGCTCAAGCTGGCCCCTTTTCGACATCTAGCTTCGTAGAACACCTTACATTAGAAATTCAGAAATCTCCAAAATTTCCCTGATAGGTTAATAAATCTGGGCCACATCCGAGAATCATCCTAATTACGCCGATGTTATCAGCCATAATTACGTACAAATTACAGTTTGATACGCGTTCGTCCCCGAAACAGACACTTAGATTAGCACCTAAATACCTTCTCGTGCACTTAGCCATTCGCAACGAATTCATTCGGAACGCATACACGTACACGCTAGTAGTTTCACCAGTAATTTAAGCACCGAGTTGCAACTTTTCCTCGTCAATTACGAACGCTAGGTAATTATCGTATAGCGTAAGAACGCGGGAACGAGTTCTATCCAGCGAACGATCAGGACAACCTCGTACGAGATGCGTTTCAATCGGAAAACATAACAGGAAAATCCATGAGGGAACTTTCTCGAAAGCCTCGATGCTCCTCCAAAGAGAATAGATAGCGCTTCTTTCTGCGAGTCCTTCCCCTGCTGCACGTTCCTCATTCTCAAATCTCTTCTGTAAACCCGGCAAAACGATAACGTGAAAGCTATCGACAACGTAGACGTCTTTCCCAAAGGATCAAACAACGTCGCTGCATGTCGCCTTCTTTATTTTTTTAAAAACCAAACGATCTTTACTACGGGAAATGGCGTTCGCAGAGGGAAGGAGGACATCGGGTTTTAGGGTACGTTTTCACCTAAATCATCAATTTTTATTCACGCGACACTGACATTTTTCTTCAATTATTTTCCCATAGTATATTCCTAGATGCCATTAAAAGTCGCAAATTTTTTTTTGTAACATTATGACTTTTTTGAACATATTTTTACGCAATCTCGCTTGTAATACTTTATTCCCTATCGTGACGCCATTGCAATTTCTCCGAATGTTTCCGCACTATTTTATATCGTGTACGTGACAAAATTGCTGCTGTCGTGACAGCATGACATTGAGACTCGTAATGTCCGCAAGGATAATGACATTTGGAACCGCCACATTAAATGTGGTTTATCGACGCACGAAAACGTACCCTAAGATTAAAGATCATAATAAAAATATCGTACGATATGATGTCGGTAGTCGCACGATTTTCTGCTCGCGAGGCGACTCGATCACAGAGAAAGATACAAACAGACAGACCAAGAAGAAGATTCTGAAAGGATAGTAGAGAGGACAGTGTTCTTACTAGGCTGTACAGGCTCTGCACATGCTGGTACACGATACAAAGGCAACTATAGCTATACAATACCGTAGACTTAAGAAAGCGGACAAGCATTATTCGCGAGCGATCCCGTGTAAATAAACGAGGCAGGAAGCGAAAGGGAGAACGAGAATGAGAAAAGCGTCCGGTGGTTTACCATCGGTGTAGCATACCTGTATCATATCGTTATCAGACTATCTCGCGTGCATGCGTGTGTGACGTGTTCCCTAAGCGACGAGCAATGGACAAAAGATACAGAGAATGAATTTAATATATATATAAAGTATATAATTTTTAAATTATTTATAACGAGCTGCGCGTTGTATAGCGCCGATAGAGACTTAACGGGTGAATAAGAGAGTGAGATAGAAAGTGAGAAGGTGATCAAATGAGTTTTTCGAACCGTCTAACACGTTGAAGTGCACTAATTTTCAATTTAGACAAAAAGATTCTGAACCTCACAATTTCAGCAATAAACTAGCGAATCGAGGTATAATTTTTTAACGGAAAATTTCACGCTTAACGTTGTGCTTTCATCGATATTGGCACGACATGCGTTAGTATCTCCGATAACGTATGTTACGATTGTTTCTACTATGCCACTCAACGTGTTAAACAGGTTGTCTGGAAACGTTCCAGATTCTCCCTTTGGCTTCCTGCTACTGTACACACTTTAGATGCATGTAGAGCGAATACCTCACGAAAAAGATAAAGATCACTCTGTTGTAAATATAATTTTATATGTACAAGCCGAGAAATCAGGTGTGTGCGTAGGTTACTTAGCGGACACCACTATTGGACACACGATCGTGACGCGTTATCCTCTCTCCCTCGATTTCAAATTCACTTCAAATACACAAAAGTTACAATCGAGACCATTAGGTATACGTAAAAAATTTCAAAGTTAATTTCTAGTCAAAATTCTCCCGATCTGCAAATTTCATTGGAGCTCACTTTTTCGTTGCTCGAACATCAAACCGAAGGTATCGATCTAGAGGGACGTTCGAGGGTAACGAGTTCGCGTTCGAGGATAAAGGTGAACTGTAGGTGGTATTACATGTACTTATCGGGGGGGATAGGGGGAAAACGAAAGCGCACGACCAGTCACAATGTATGATCAAAGATGCGTACAATCAAAGAGTGCAGGGAGAGAAGAATGAAAGAAGCGAACGAGTCGCGAGAACACGCACGATGGAATTAGAATGGCAAACGCTTTTGTACGATTTTACGTCCATGTTAGTCAAACGTTTCTCGAGATCGTTTTTTATATATACGGTATATAAAAGTATATGTATACACACAGAGAAAAACACACTCGTGTACAGTAGGTACGACGAAACCTAATTTATTATCATTGTTCTCATTTCGAAGAAGACGGGGTCTTTTTATACCCCCGTGAGGGTGAGAACTCTCGAGAGAAAGCGTCGATAGTATTCCTCGCGAGCGGATAGTATCGAGAATAGTGTTCGTTCGCGAGAAACGTCGGCAGCTTCTGACGCGAGTTTTGATACCCTTCGTACACGTACTTTGTCGCAATCGAATTGTTATATTATCGATATTCATGCAAACCGCGTATAACGTATTGATTATCATTATTATCACTATGCTGGGGAGGTGCTTGATTTTCGCCTTTCGTTGTTTCGTTCCTTCCGAACATTTCGTTGGCTGGCCAATTGGCGATGAAAGCACGATGCGATACAAAAGAGAAGGAATAGCAAGAACGAACGAAAGGAAGATTTCTTGTCCCTTTTTGAAAACGCGTATACGAGTCGCGAGGTTATTATTTATTGTTGCGTTCGAACGGGAGAACGGAGGGTTGTCGGCCCTCCTTTGCCCCTTTCTACAGTCTCGCTAATCTTAGCTGCGATTTAGCGATATAGGCAGAAAAAAACCAGACGACAGAAAACATAGGCACTAGAGTACCTCGGATGGTAACAAGTAGCACTCTTGAAAGTTAGCTTGCACGGGCGTTCTCCTTTTCCATCGCGCCGTCTTGAGGGTGAATCGGAAAGAAGGGTGAATGAAAAGGGAAAGATAGAATCGATCGTCGAAACGGGACGAAGGTCGTGAGGAAATAAAATAAGAAAATAGAGCTCGTGAAATCGGCCCGATCGATGGGGAGAACACCAGCTCGCAGAACAGGGTAACTAGCTCTAACATCTATCTCTTACATCATTTAAGAAATGGAAAATAAAAAAAAACTCTATCACACTCGTTCACCTTATGGTATCACAGGTTCACTCTAATCACGAATGTCGGCCAAGGCTAACTCGAGACACTATCACACCTTCGTACTAATAAACGATTTACTATTCAATTTCACTCGACGTCTACATCATTTATCCTCGCCCCCGTATCGCATTACCCGAATCAGTGTAATCCCTTCATTTTGTTTTTCCCCTTCCAATAATTCATTTTCATTTTATCATCCCGAAAATGGAAATCGTTGATATTCGAATATATTCATCGATCGTTAAAAATAAACGAGCGTAAGTAATCGGCAACAACGATGCGGCTAACTCGATCGCAAGTCCAATTTCCCGCTCGTGCTTTCCATTAAGCATGCGTCGGTTAACGCGAATGCAAATTTCATTGCGAGATCATTTGTCACGGAATAAACTTTTCATCGTTACGAATGCATTTACGATACGAAATTCTGTGGGAAACGCACGCGCCCTGGATACCCGATGAAAATTGCGTCGTTAGCGGTCTCGAGATCGAGTATCGATCGTTGCCTGCTGTCGCGATTTTTCATGACATTCTGCAAAAACCGTATTGCTGGGACCGTTCAGCACGATCGTATTTCAAGATGGGTCACGATGGTCCTTAAAATTCAAAGTTACATATAAGTGACGTATTCAGGGATGTACTTAAAAGTTGCCTGATCAAACCTAATCGTATTCTCCTAACCCCTTGCACTGTTTTGACGAGTCACAAGTAGCACTCTTGAAAGTTAGCTTGCACGGGCGTTCTCCTTTTCCATCGCGCCGTCTTGAGGGTGAATCGGAAAGAAGGGTGAATGAAAAGGGAAAGATAGAATCGATCGTCGAAACGGGACGAAGGTCGTGAGGAAATAAAATAAGAAAATAGAGCTCGTGAAATCGGCCCGATCGATGGGGAGAACACCAGCTCGCAGAACAGGGTAACTAGCTCTAACATCTATCTCTTACATCATTTAAGAAATGGAAAATAAAAAAAAACTCTATCACACTCGTTCACCTTATGGTATCACAGGTTCACTCTAATCACGAATGTCGGCCAAGGCTAACTCGAGACACTATCACACCTTCGTACTAATAAACGATTTACTATTCAATTTCACTCGACGTCTACATCATTTATCCTCGCCCCCGTATCGCATTACCCGAATCAGTGTAATCCCTTCATTTTGTTTTTCCCCTTCCAATAATTCATTTTCATTTTATCATCCCGAAAATGGAAATCGTTGATATTCGAATATATTCATCGATCGTTAAAAATAAACGAGCGTAAGTAATCGGCAACAACGATGCGGCTAACTCGATCGCAAGTCCAATTTCCCGCTCGTGCTTTCCATTAAGCATGCGTCGGTTAACGCGAATGCAAATTTCATTGCGAGATCATTTGTCACGGAATAAACTTTTCATCGTTACGAATGCATTTACGATACGAAATTCTGTGGGAAACGCACGCGCCCTGGATACCCGATGAAAATTGCGTCGTTAGCGGTCTCGAGATCGAGTATCGATCGTTGCCTGCTGTCGCGATTTTTCATGACATTCTGCAAAAACCGTATTGCTGGGACCGTTCAGCACGATCGTATTTCAAGATGGGTCACGATGGTCCTTAAAATTCAAAGTTACATATAAGTGACGTATTCAGGGATGTACTTAAAAGTTGCCTGATCAAACCTAATCGTATTCTCCTAACCCCTTGCACTGTTTTGACGAGTCAGACTCGTGACGCACTCGTACTTCGGCTGTGATCAATTTTACTCGAATTTTTAGTACACTGCAATTTGAAGTTCAAGTCCAATTGCATAGTCAACGATTGTATAATAATATATTGACATAACATTTCATATTTTTTTGTCTGTATTAATATTGTAGCAGTAATTAGTTCTGACTGACGCACTTGACAAATAAGCCATAATACAAGGGGCTCGCGTATATTTTACAAGTAACAAGTTGCTCGAGTACATTAATGTGAATGAGTCCATGTCTGTTATAAATTTATTGTCAGAGAATATTTATAGTAACAGCAGATTATTAGGTTGCATACGAATTGTATGAAAGAAAACATGGTAAAGTAGTGAAGGAAGAGCAAGGTGAAACTATCAGGCCACGAACAAAAAGTCACACGGAAAGTTCTGAAAACAGGAACCGTGTTAATAATCGAAGCTCTTTCCTCGGTATTTCCATCAGTTGTTAAGAAACTCCCTCAGTGTTCGACCTTACTTTTCTGTCTTCAACGAAGAAAGAGAATCTCCTTTAAGTTCCGAAGAAAGCCGTCGTAAAGATCTTTCCAACAGAAGGAGGAGTACTTATAAGCCGTTGGAAAGGGAACGTAGTTCGCGATGAATTTTCATCTCGAATCCGTACCGTCGTACTTTGAAGCAACGAAACATTATTAATTGAGCCGGGAGCGAAAGAAATTAATTATCGTTCTACTCGAGACAACGGACGGCGGGAAAAGCATCGCGCCAGAATGAAAGGTCGAAAGGTGCGAGAAACGGCCAGCTGGATGCAAAACAAGAACCGCATGACTGAGCACCTACGATGATCAATATTAATGAAAATGCAGCCTCTGTTGCCTTCTTTCCGTCCCGGGATCGGCCATAACTTCGCGCAATGTTTTCGACTTAAATTAAATTTCCTCCGACGACGCCGACGTCTTATATCGCGCCGTATAAGTCACCCGGCCTCTTAATTAAATTGTTTTGCAGTTACTCGGTAAACGCGACCGTTTAAATTAAACAAAAAGGGAACTCATCGAGCTCGATAGCGTTTTTCGAGCGAGCCCATTTAAAATTAACTCCTTGCAAGGGAAACTGCACGGACAGGGTGGATTGCAGTCGCGTGTTCGACCGGCAAAAACTCACGGAACACGGGAAACAAATTCCGTACAGCGTCCCAGATTCCAAGCTATAACGAATTTTAAAGCAACTCCCTCGAATGAATCGTTAAATAAGCTGGAAATGGCCAATTCAACTTGATGATCTCCCTACTAACAAAGCTGAAATAACTCTTTGGCCAGGAAGAGGCGACGAGAAGAAAAATTAGTCGCTTTCTCCTTAACTCGATTGCCCTTTCAAAAATTACCGAAATGCTTATTTTTCTGAAAATTACGACCTAAAATTAACGAGCACCGTTGAAGAAGTCCTCAAAATCGAAAGCCAGTTGCACTTTCTTTGTTCCTAATTTGAACCACAGAATAGATTCAGACAAAATGAAGAGGTCAACGAGGTAAACAGAGCAAGAGAAAATAAAGAAATGAAAAAGAGAAAAATCTTAGCAATCTTTCGGGGGCGAAAGCTTGATTGGAGCGGCACGTTGGGACAATTTTTTTCTATGCCAGGCTCGTACATTTTTGAAAACCTCGGTCACCGGTGGCCTACTTCTTTTTCTATTTTCGCCTTTCCCGCACAGAAGATTAGAGACGTTGCTTTGCAACGAGGGTTGGCCCTGCAATTAACGCGCCCTCTCCTCTCTGCCTCCGTGTACGTTACGTATATCTGGTGAATGCGCGCATCCCAGGCCAAAAGCGGACCAAGACGAATACAAGAAAAAATTGCCGAGAGAAAGAGAAAAAAGGTGGTTGGCGACGCTAATTGCGCAATGGACGAGTAGAGCTAGCCTTTCGCACACAAGCTTTCTCGCGCTCTAAGGAACGAGCTGAAAAGGAAGGTGACGCGGTATCCAGACGCTTTTACGGTACACCTTGCGGCATACTGTGCTCGTTCCGGTCGTTTCAAGTGGCGCACATAATGTGACCGACGGTGTAATGAAGCTTTCCTACATCTACGCGATAATCACTACTCGAGGCAGACTACTCGTTCGAAACAAGGATGAGAATGTTAGCACGACTCCCGGGTTGAGACGATTATAACCCGGGAGCTGCTGAACGTGTTATGCTTTCCGATCTAAGTACCTTTCTGACCGAAATGGCATTTTTGCCGAGTATGAAGGATCAGGAAGGGATCGTAAAATCCAGTAATCAAGCTATCGTTTACGCAGTCAGGCTTACCGATACGAAATCAGCGAGCCAGGTGAAAGAGAGGGAGGGGCGATGAAACCCGGGCGCAAACGCGATTTAATCCCCGGATTTCGGGACGTTTTAAATTTCAATTATAGACCGAGAGGGTAGCTCGCTGCGAACCAGTGATGTCGTGCTCGTACGTGTAAATATGCGACTCGATTGTCTGGTCGGTCAATAAAATGCTGCATTCTGAATACATACATATATGCTGGCAACGAGGCTGATGTCACGTGGCTCGAAACGGGGTGCCGGTAATAATTAAATGCCGGCTGGATTGGTTCGAACCGTTGTTTTAATCCTGTCATTACCCACAATGACGATAGTACCTGTGCTGCGGTCATTCATTGAGGCGAGTCAATTACGGGAAAGCATTATCGAGTTTCGAAGGGTGTAAAACGGAAATAATGATATTTTGATCGTGACCACCCTCTCCAACGCTTTTCGATAGCGTGGGGTGTAAGCCCCTTTGTCAAAGCGACCAAGTGTCGAAGCGTGTACGGTCAAACGCCATCGTCCAACTATACGTGACGACAGGTATTTGAACGCCATTCGACATAGATCAAACGTAGCAGCGAAATCGATTTCAGAAGACTTCCAAATAAAAATGTATTTCTGAAATCTTCTCTTACGCGATTTCAAATTTACTTATCCGATAGTTTAACAAAAATTCATTGACTACCATCTGATTTATTAATAAAGTTTCCCGAAGAGGATTTCGAGCAAAGTTCTTAATACCTAAGTTCCCAAAAACAGAGATCGCTTCTAACTTTAACCAGTGTTACCAGGGTTTTAAAAATTTATGAACATACCTGCCGTTGGCCCACTAACGAAAGGTCGAGGTTGAAATTTCGGATCAATCAGACTCTCTCAACTCTGTTGCAGAAATCTTTAAGCTATTAACACTAAAACTAACAAGCTGGTCAAATGACCGCTTCACAAGCTTCTTATAAAACAAACACATTTTGTTAAAATACATTACCTAAAATCAGAATTGATTTTCATCAAGATAAAACATAAATGTGTGTTCTAATTTGTGTATCGTTTGTTTATTTATTTTTTAACTTCATTTTTAACACTAAAACTACCAAGCCGATCAAATGACCCTCCACAAGCTTCTTATTATAACAAACACATTTTGTTAAAACACATTACCTAAAATCAGAATTGATTTTCATCAAGATAAAACATAAATGTGTGTTCTAATTTATGTATCGTTGTTTGTTTATTTATTTTTCAACTTCATTTTTAATTGCAATTTAAGTACACATTATATACCGGTAGGTTTAGTGTTAATTTCAAATTAAGTAGACATATTCCGGTACGTTGATCGTAATTTCTAATTCTTTCGGAACTTATTTTGCTCCGTAATTACGCGACTAAGCCTAGCGAAAGATAATCCCGTTGGTATCAAAATGAAAAACTATTTAGATGCGGAATTCCCGGAGTAATATATCTCGATCTCCCCCGGTCGGTGTTTCAGCGAACCCCATAATCTCCAGGCCACGATTCAGCGTACATTCAGTCTGCCACAGGGTCTACGTTTTTATTGGCGTTGCGGTGTTTGTGGTAGTGATAATTAATAATGGCGCGATGCCTACCGTTGGTCCGATCCGTATAAGGTACATTGGCCGTGATTTATGGGGACGTAATGAAGCCTGTTCCCCGCAGGAGCCACGTGAACCGAAAGGATATAGGCGGTTCGAGTCCCCACGAGCGCGAAGGAACAAAGATGAAGAAGGGAGAACCCAGAAGATGCTTCCTCCTTAGGTGCAATAACGCGTGTCGGCCCAACAAGGGAGATCTCCATCTGCTAAAGATGTCCTGACACCGTGGAGCGTATCGTGCATCTGAAACTACCCTCTTGCGCTCCAGACAAAGGGGGTGGTGCCTCTAGGCTACGAACAGCATTTCGAAATAGTCCCTTTACGCTTCTTGTTTAAAGAGCACAGACGTGTTGTCTGTATAAATTACGATCAATTCTGAATACTCGTGGATCAAGCGTATCGATATACGTGAGAGAAGACGAGACAATAATAAAAAGTCCGTGAGGGCGAAGATCTACCGTAAAATCAAATTGAATATTTTTCCGAAAGCTTCTCTTTGTAAAATTCGGGGCAAACGAGAATAGGTCAAAGAACGTATACCGTTTCCACGATGAAAATTTGCATTCTTGTCCGTTTCGCGAAGCTGACATGTAGGTGTATATGCAGAGAAACGCGGACAGCCCTCGAATCGTCCACGTAACACGAAATAAGGCAGCGACGCTTTACAGGGAAATTCTCCTTGCCGGCGGAGAACAGTCGGAAGAAATTGGTTTGACGAAAATTTATGCAGGGTCGAATGGCCGGACACGACATCCACGAAGAACGAGTGCTCCGTGTGCAAGGGTTGTTTTATATTCCGTGGTTAGATACCGCGCCAGTTCCTTTTCACCTCTTCCCCGGATGGCTCTTCTTAAACATTTACGGGAACGTTGCACAATCGACGTCCTCCCTTTCGGATAATACCAAGATGACACGATGTACATCCTAAAACCTCGTGAAAATTTCACGCCGGTGGGATTCTCTGCTTCGTTTCGGACATAAATCGAGTTGGACGCGCTTAAAGAATTGATGGGACGTGATGATTTCCGGAGTGACGCCAGCGAAATTTTTCGTACATTCACGATAAACGGAATACGTTCTTAGCATCGCGTACTCGTATTCGAAGATTAAGCAACGATTCGAGTATCAAAAAAGCTGAACAGTTCAAAAACGAAAGTAACGCGCCATGGGCGTTCTGACGTTCACCCGGGAAGCGATAAAAAGGGGTCATCGAGCAACGCGGTCGCCAGACCAGTTCCCCAGGAGAAATACTTTTTGCCGAGTTGTCCCGCAATTTCCTCGGGACAAACTCGCCCGTAATGGACTGCATGCATCATACTTATTTCGCATGAAATAACAATTAAGCGCATTAATTAACAATAAACGGGGATTTCAGCGAGTCCTGCGTCGGCGACCGCCGCTATCTCGCTGGCCCGAGACATAAAATCTACCGACCTCTCTTGTATTCAACCTTGTCTTGACTTTAAAAAGAGTCTCCGCCAGGATTCAACCGGAAAGAAACGACTTTCGTCGCGTAGCTCGCTTACAACGCGGCCAACTTTAACGGCCTCGCGATGCACTGACATTTATAGCGACACGAAATTCGTGCGCACCCCTAGCCGGTTCCCAACTCGTTTTAATTACGCGCACTTTTATTCCCACGTTTCCGCCAGAGGTATTTCCGACCAACTCGCGAATAAACGTGCAATTTCAACGAACGAAAGGAACACCGATGATGAAGCAACCGCCAGGATCCCCAACTAGTTTTAGGCAAAATGGACAATTACTCGCGTTCTTTTGCTATTATAGTGAACCTTTTGTTAGGCGAGCCTTCAATTCTTCCTTCAATAATTACTGCCAGCTTCGAGGAAATTCTTGAACGACGTGGGAGAGCAGTGAAACTGCAAATACTCGCTATTTGTATCTTAAAAATTTGACCAAAACTATCAATCTCAAACCTACATGGGCCAATGACCATAGCAGACAAAATCAATCAATCAATCAAACCTACATGAACCTCAGTGAATGTCATAGTGTAATGCAAATAACAAGAGCAACAAGAATTCCAGCTATTGATCCAAAGACAAGAAATGCAAGAAAACAAAAGGTTAATCCGACAGTTCTCGGAAGAGGGTGAGGATATCGTGGACGTTATCAAGGGGTCGTCGGTCAAGTCGTCATTACGACGAAAAAGAAAAAGAGAAACGAATGTCGACGACAAAACATACGGGGATGAGAATGGTGGATAAGACGAAGGGGGTGATTCGATCGCGTCCGCGAAACGACTTCGTTTGTCTCGGGCAGCGTGACGGTCTCGTTATCGACGTCCTTTTACGCAGAACTCATTTACTTAATTGCTACGATTATGGCAGCAACGCCAACGTCGTAGAAGCCCGGAGTTTCAGCGAGTGGGCGGGTACTCGACCACCTTTTCAGGCCTACGTGATACTCGCAGGGAATAGTGACGGCGTACAGACGTATACAGGGTGTCATGGTGGTATAGTCTTCAAGGTTGAAACCCTATAAACTTATGCTATAAAACGCGGGTGCGCACGTTATGTCGTATATTCCTAAGGTACTAAACTTTTATTGCTACCCTTGGATTTCTAAGTCCCCAATTTTCTATTGAAATTACCTCGAATATTCCTCGTTTGCGCACAAATTTGTTAAATCTTGTGGCATGCGCAATTTTACAAAGTATCGAAATAATGAGCATCGATGACACCCTGTATAAGTAAATAAGTGTGTGATTAGCTTGCAAAGGTAACATTCGGGAATGCACGAGGAGGAATGAGGAGGAACAAGGCCGACTAGCCGGAGCCACACGCACCCCTTTTCAACGCGATGCCGCCGTGACTGGCGAACGAAGAATAATCGTTTTCGTTTAAAAGAAAAAGAATAAAAAAGGGCAGGGGGTAGGATACGAATCACGATATAGCATTATTCTCGCACGAATCTTTTGTTCCGGCTCTGTGATTGACGCGAGCCATTTGAAATTCTGCGTCACAGGTAAAAAAAAACATTCTGGAAAGCATTGAAATGACCCTGTAGTTACCGTGCTTCGCGCTCAAGAGACATGGTATAAACGTGGTCGGAAAATGGGGTGAGTTCATTTCTCTGGACGTAGTTTAACAATGAGTTTGGGATAACGTACAGTGGGATGTTTGGATAATAGAAGTTTGGATAAGTGGAGTCGACTATTTTGTTTTATAATTTACGAGTGCCTTGACAGCCATTCGACAAACCTCCGATAAAACTTCGTTAAATTAATTCCGCTAAGATGATGCTGAAGGATTTGATAATAAAAGACAAAATAAAGTCGTGTAAAAATGAAAATTTATACAAATTTAATACCTTATATATTATACAACAGATAAACAAATTTGCAGAAATAATAAATAGCCCATTTTCGCGTATATTAATCCGACGCGCAACATTGATATCATTGTTCCACGTCCATTTATCGTTTTCATTTTCTTCGACAGATAATTTCGATTCAATAATTTTCTGAAACGTGACAAACATAACACCGTTCGATTCGCCGAATCCGAGCGTTGATACACGTTTTGTATAATTGCATGCAGCGAGCTTTGTGCTTGAAAGTTGACGAGAAAGCTTTTTCGAATGAGCGCGACCACCGACGAAACGCATTGCGAAATAACCGAATAACGAACGGCACGATAATTAACAAAATACGATGGTGCGGGGCTCATTGTTTTGCGAAACCATTGTCGGCGAACGCGTGATTCGACTAGGGTCGTTTGCCAACTGAAATAAAGAAATAATGATTGCGGTTGATTATGGCGCCGCACGCGAGGAAAAATTGCAAATTGCATGTGCAAAAGGTGATCGAAACTGTTCCCGTTGTTCAACTTTCTCTATGAGTTTCTGCTAATCAACCATCGTTAAAGACATGAGGATCTTGTCGTGTTCGCGAACGATTCAATTCTGACTTAAACATATATATAACAAAACAATAAGAAAAAGAGTAACAATTCTATACAACTTTCTCGCAGACTACGTATCATAACCGATTACAATTTTACGCGAAAGAACGGCAGCAAGCTGATTGAACTTAAAATAAAAATGGGAAATGAACAAAATAGGATGGTAACGAGTAATTAGATACGCTTCGTTACATCGCATCTTTATTACCACGATCGATCAAATTCTCCCAGAGAATGTATAAGTGACAAAAAGCGGAATGGGCGATAATAATCGTGAACGGTGCACCTTTTCGTGACAAACGCATCGTCAAAGTGTACGGTTACGAGAGTAAGTAGGCTATCGTGGAAACAGTTCCAATTGCTCCCTCGTTTATTATTCCATTAGGTACCGCGATAGTCTTGCCATTGCAGCGTCAAGTTATGGGTAGGTGGAAATTATTTACAGAGCAAATGTACCCTTAACGTTCGCATATGCAGATTTACTAGAGCTACTTCAGCTCATTATCGCATACGAAATGCGGTATCCGACTGGCTTTGAATAAATAAATGTATTTGGTCAGGACGCTGACCATGGAAACCATCGTTAATAGCTTCTCGATATTTATGGCGCAAGCATGCTGCACTTACGCCATCGTAATTCAATTCATGCAGAATTTAATTGCTCTATGAGCACAGATCGTGAAATATTGCCGGATTATCGTCATCCAGAAACAGACATTTAAAGATATCGTTGTAGAAAGATGGATAATACTCGCAAGCTCTTTTACAATCGGGAGAGAAATTGAATTCGAGTAAAACAGGTTGCATCGAGTTTTGCTTCCATTCGAGCATCAGATCGACTGCGTACACGGCCCTGCTTTGCGGGCATTCAGCGATACCTTTCGGAGGTTTTTCCATCACCGCAGCCTCGAAAACTTCTCGAAACATATGCAGAATCTTTGGCTCGACTCGATCTCTCCATGGGAAGTCCGGATACTGCCTCTCCCATTCCAAGATAAAGTCCGCACACTTTACGTGACAAAGCGGTCTGTCCTCTGAATAATTCATGACAGTGAAATGTTGTTCGTACACGTCGAAATTATTTAAAGCGAATTCCTTGTTCGCGAACCTTAAGAAGAAATTTTTATAGGCGAACACCCTCAAAGGTTTCACGGATTTCAACATTATCACGTACCGCACGTCGAACTTAACTTTCCCAATTTCTGCTCTTTCGTATAAAACGGGATCGTTTATGTATTTCTGGGCAATTTTTGGCCCGGTGCTAGGTAACCGTAAAATATGGAATAAGTTCTTTGTGACATGAGTGTCCAATCCTCTGGCGAGATTCCAAGGCTTACATATCCAATGGTTATCTAAACCCATAGATTCCCTTTGCTCGAAGTACGCGACAAATTGTACTAATTCCATGCTTAAATTGTAAGTAGTAGGTAACCACTCTGGGAATGTTTCAAGAGTATCAGGATCATATGTTCTCTCACCTGCTTTTCTTCTGCATATTATTGACAGTAAGTCTTTTATAGTTAGAACATTTTCAAATGGAAACTGATTTATAAAAACTCGCGGTGAACGGATGCTGAGTTCTTTGTAATCTTTGAAATGCGAAGTATACCATAAAATGTCAGCCTGCTCTTCGTTGTTTACTATTTCAAATGCAGGATCAGTTAGGTAATCATTTATAAATGTATATTGTGAGAATACCTTCAGTTTCACGTTTTTGTCCCGCTGAAGAAGCTGTAAATCTATCTTTTCTGGTAAACTCTCACGAATATGACCTGCTAAGAAATAACTTTCATCTGGTTCTGTTTGTACAAAATTTTCTCCGACAAATGAGACATCTACCCATGGTAATAGCAAAGCTTGCCTTTTCCTTGGATCATTTGTTTGACCCTCTACAAAATCTCTTGTAACTTCATCCTCGTAATCGGCATCTTTTATAGGAAACAGTAAGGTATAAGTAATCCCTTCTGGTAAGTATAAGAAAGGCACTGTCCTGAAGTTAGGGTCATCGCTGTGATTTATTGCTGATCCTACTTCATCCATTATGTACCATATTGGCATTCTATCTTCTATCGAACCGCTATTTAGAGAAAAAGCCTGATTATATCTCCACATTTCATTCATTACATATTCTATTTTCTCATTCTCTTCCTCTTCAATGTCAAAACCAATTAAGGTACACATACGATCCAACAAACCTGGTATATTTGATAAATTTTGCCTGGCATTTGCAACATCATAAGTCCATGCATGATCTATTAAATAAATATTATTTGGATCTTGAGTCGATATGCCGTTCTCACAAGAAACAAAGAGTTTCCAGACAGGATCTTTTGGACCTCTAATAGAATCCTCATAATCGATTCTTACTAATTGAAACACTAGACCAGAATCAAAAGTTTGGTACTGAAGTTTTTTAAATAAAATTTCCCAGAACAGTCTTGGCACTCCGGATGATTCTAATTGAGGTTGATGAGTTTGGAGAAAAGTATTGTACAATCCTACTCCGTCCATTATGCAGAAATTAAATATGATCTAAAATAGATTAAAATAGGTTAAATTTAATAAAATGTAAATCTCATTTTTTTTTTAAATTTCTAAACATCTTATTGTTGCAAGAAGATACATGTCTATGATAAATTACCTAAATTTCTCCAGTAATTAATATGTTAATTCATATAATTCTTCAGTCAACTCAACAAAATACTTTAAAGCATAACCTCTTTTCCCATTGCAAAACGAAATTCACATAAAACAATTAGACTGCATTTGATTTCGAATTTTATAAAGTATTCTTTACTTATTGTTTGTATTTCTCTATAATAACTTTAAGCATAACTTTAAATTTCGATTACAATATTAAAATTACAAACTTAGGTCAATGAAAAATCATACTCCATTCATACAACGCGGTTACTTTTGGTTAACTCCCCACTGCTTAGTATTATTCCACCATCATTGACCACCATGTGCTTTCCCATTCCATGCTGAATATAACACACCTACAAAAATAACAGAAGGAACATTATGATAGAGCACAGAGTATAGAGTTTTCAGTATTAGGAAAAGAGATGTAGATCTAGAGAGCATATTCTCTAAGATCTATGAGTTGAATAGACTACCGGGAAAAGTTTTATATAGGGAATTTTGATTTTCCCAATCAAAGAAAGTTGTCAGAAAAAGGTATGAAACCCTAATGGCCGATATTGTTCTTCCTGTTGGCGCTCAAAGTGTTTTAGGTCTAGCCGGCATTTCAACTCACACGTTGTTCTTGGCAGTTGATTTACGTTAACTAACTAGTGGTAAGTATATTATTTATATTTATTATTAAAAATACTTATTAATCGGACCAAATAACGATATTATTTCTTTATTTTTCGCAACTAATTTGCTTTCGACTTACCCGCCATATAACGTATACACACGTGCGATATTAACCTTGTGATATAAAATTTAAATTGTTTAGAGCATAACAAAAATAGCGTTATATAGAAATTTTTATTTTCTTTCGTTTTATGAAAAAACAATTCTCGTATGGATTAATAGGTAGAATTTTTATAAAAGCATGGCAAAAACAACAACGGAGAACAAAGTTCTGAATTCCAAGAATTTGAACACACCAAAAGACGGATTTATACAAAAGAAAAAGAATCAGAAATTTAAACAAACTCCAACTGGCAAAGTACCCATAATTAACGGATCAAAAGCGTCAAATAATAATAATAACATGGGAAAACAAAAGTCAGAGAAACAAAAAAATTCCTCTCCTCAACAGTTTTCAAAGAATAAAGAATCAAAAAAAGAAAATTCATCTAAAACTAAGAAAGAATTAAATAAAAAGGGTCCAAAGCAATCTAAAGCAAGTTCACCTGATTCTGATGAAGATATTAATGAGGGAATTGTATTGAAAGAACAAGAATTAATGGAAGAAACTGATGACACAGAAAGTGAGGAAGAATATGAAACAGATAAGAGTGTAACTAATATCCTTGGCACTAGTTTAGCAGATGACACTGAGGAAGATGATGAAGAGTTTATGGTCGAAGATAAGAAAGGAAAAGTAAATAAAGGAGTCAAAATGTTTAAGGGTCTAAACTCAAGTAATAAGAGCAATGATTCCTTGAAAAGTTCAGATAGATCAAGCTTGGAAAGTTCTGCGATGGATGATAGTGATGAAGATGATGATGATGAAGAAAGCGAAGAAGAAGAAGAGGAGGAGGATGAAGAAGTAGAATCTGCATTGGGTATAAAAGCACTTCTAGGTAATAGTATTGCAGATGATGATGACGATGACGAAGACTTTGTTGAACCAGAAGGAAATGAAGAAGATGATGACATTAGTGATGAAGATGAGGAGGATGAAGCTGGAGAAGGGAACAGTACATTTGAAAACTCATATCAAGATAAAAGTAATAAAGATTCAGATTCCTCTTTTGAAAACATGAAAAATGATAATAAAACTATTTTTGTGGGTAACTTGCCAAAAGAGGTAACAAACAAAGACTTACAAAAGCTGTTTAAACAATTTGGAAAAATTGATTCTATACGTATAAGGGGAATAGTACCAAAAGATGTAAATATGCCCAAAAAAGTTGCTAAGATTACTAAAAATGTACATCCTAAATTGAAGTCAGTTTATGCATATATTAGATTTACCACTGAGGAATCTGCTGCAGCAGCAGTGGCATTAAATGGAACTTTGTTTGAAGGAAATCATTTAAGAGTAGATCTAGCTTCTAAATCAGAAAAAAAATATGATGGAAAGAAAAGTGTATTCTTAGGGAATTTAGCATTTAGTAAGTATATTTTGTATATGTGGGTATGCTGATACAAGTATGTAGAATAAATTAATTTTAAATTATACTATTATTTTCAGAAATTGATGAAAATACAATCAGAAAACACTTTGAGAAATGTGGTGAAATAGAGTCTGTAAGAGTAATCAAGGATAATAAAACTGGAATAGGTAAAGGATTTGGATATGTTAATTTCACAACTGAGGATGCTGTTGCATTAGCATTTGAACTTGATGGTACGACGATTTTGAATCGAAACGTTATAGTAAAACCATATGTTGGAGAACATAAGACTAAACACAGAAAAAGATCACATTCTTCAGGAAGTGATAAACAAGAGTCTCCGCGCAAACAAGTAAAACAGAATTCGGGAAAACCATCACCGGTAAGATCTTTTAGTTAATTTATTTTCTTGGTAATGTTGATTGTATTTTAAACTATTTAAATATATAAATCTATGTTTTTTCAGACTCATGAAAATGCTAAAAAGGGGGGAAAGGCACATAAAGATAAGAAACAAGCTAGCCCACAACAAACAAATACGTTTCAAGGACAAAAAGCTGACAAAAATAAAAAGAAGAAGGAAAGCAAACTAGAAAAAAAGAAGAAAATTTTGGCAAAAAAGCTCACAGCTACACCTAAGAAGCCAACAAACTGAATGATGTTATAAAGAACTTTGATCGACTTAAAACATTTCATTGTTTAATTTTTGTAGTTGTATTTAATTTATATGGTAATGATAAGAAAACATGTTAGTTTATGTTAATAATTTTAAGAAGAAAAGAACATGTAATCAAACTAGTATAAATGTGAAATGTTTTTATGACTTTTATCAGTATATATTTTTTAGCTACAAACTAGAAATACATTCAGTGTTTAATAAAATACTATTTTTATGAGTTCACGTTCTTTATTAAACTTTTTATTTTTGTTTGTAATTGTGTTGGTAAATTATGCATATTATTTGATGCGCATTCCAAACAAAATCGTTTTCCAAAATATATACTACATCCTAAACATACAGGCTTTGTACAAAAATTACAATCAGCACCTAGCACTAAAACTTCGCCTTTGTTTGGTAAACTAAAGGGATCTTTCATAAGGTAGCACTCTTCCAAGTAAGTCAACTGGCGTGCAAACGGGGGTTTAGTGCCTTTGAAATCATAACGTTCTTGTAATGCACAATAAGAACATGTAAATATTCCCACCGTAGTTTGTTTTGATCCTTGAACCGCAGAAGTTATACTCAGGTCATATTCACTAGTACGACGATCATCTGCAGATGTACTAGCGACGGATTCCATCCTACAAAGAACGAAGGATGGGAAATATTGTATATACTTTCTCATAACATATTTATTTTGTACTTGAGCATTACAATTTTATATAAAGGAAACATGTATTTATGTTTTTTTAATAATAGACGCGCTTTGTGCTTGCGATTCTTGTGGCCACCAAACAGGTTTCAAAACTTTTACTTTAATATCTGATATAGTAAGAGATTGAGCCTTTAATGCTTCAGTAATTCGCATTAAACCCAATCCATATTCTTTTTCAATTCCTCTAAATTTGCCTACTACATTCCCGGACTCATTAATAATTTTTTCATCATATGCAAGAGATACATTGGGCATTTCACTAAATATTAAAGGCATTAGACGTTTTCTTACTACCCCAGTATGATAAGTACGTGCAGTAAGTTCCTGACCAATATAACAACCTTTGTGAAAACTAACTCCATGCAAATAATCACAATTTACTTCTAATGGTAAAGGTTTTCCTGGTGGTAAATCATCTGTACCTTCAGCTATTCCAAGTTTATAGCGAAATGCTTTAAAACTTAAATTATTAGTGGAAGTTGAACAGTCAAAATTTAAGTGCTTTGCTATTTTATTTTTTTCAATTTTTGATTCAGCTAAAATTCTAATGCCTAAATCTGAAAGCCTAGGATCTTCATATATCATAACATTGTCAATTACTTTGCTAACTTTATTATTAAGACTACCACATGGAAATATTAAACCTTCAAGCCTCTGTTTATTGGTACCATTAAGTTTATCATCTAAACTTTGCACAGAATCAAAAAATGCCCAAATGTTTATGCTATCTCCTAAATTCTCTATGTCTATCTTTCTTCTAACACGATACATTTTTAAGTGTTTTTGCAATGGATCAGCAACTTGAGAATCACATTCAATATAATATGCATCGTCTTCTTGTTTGTATATAATAACATCATATAGTACTCTACCCTTAATATTTAAAAATAATGCATATAAATTAGCTGCTCCTTCTTCAAAATGCTTCATATCATTTGTAATCAATCCTTGCAGGAAACTCGAAGTTTCCTTTCCTCTAACTCGTATCAAGGTCTTATTTTTCAGGTGCTCTAAGATTTTTTGCGAAGAGTGGGAGGAATCATGTCTAACAAATTGTTTTTGTATTTTTCCAAATTTCTCCAGCTTGCAGAAAGGTAAAATAAATTTTTTAAGACGTACTATCATTGTACCAAAATCTGAACAAGTGCGACCTTTACAAAGAAAAATATGCGCAACCAATATTAAATAGATATTATTTAATCAATTTTAACCTCAAATCATTTTGAATGTTTTATTAATTTTATAAATAAATCTTACGTTTCAATTCTTTTTTTATAATTCACGACACCTCTTTGCCAATATTTCGTACAAATTTCAGTTGCAATTTTTTAACATGAAATTATATCCGTATCATAGATGCGGCACAGCAGAACCCTTCAAGCAACACATTTTTGCCATGTAATTTCAGGAGTTCAAAAAACTAAACTCCCTTTCCATTTTCATGTCCGGTCCACCACAAATTGGGGTCGGCATTACATCACAGCGCTCTTGGTGGTAGAAATTAAAATCGGAGCTAACTTCAATAGCTTCCCCTTCCACTAAGTATTGCCGCACTACTATGTGCTTTTCACTTTGTCAACCAAATATACAGTGTACAAAAATATGTCTATAGGAAAAAGATATTATATGTAGAGCAAGTATAATTAAATGAATACTCTTAAATCACATTTGGTTGTCATTAAATTCCAAATTTTAAATTACTAAGTACCGAAACATCTAAATTCTCAAATCTGATTGTTAAACTTGACTGACATAAATAGTATATAAAATAGAAGATTACTGTATATATAAATTTAACTTTACAAACGTGCATGTACACTGCTGCATGAGGTGCGAATCAGAGATGCGCAGAATAAACACAAAAATTAGACTGATATGATTTCCTGTTGAATAAATGATATAGACATCGAAGTCTCATAATACGCATGTGCAAATTTACATTAGGGAAAAGATGCGTTGTATATAACCTATAAGGTAGTAATCTCTGATTACTTGGTTACTAATTGATAAAATAAGACATGTATTGTCAATATAATAATTGACGTTAGTATCAATTGTAATAATGGCCGTACCTCCTTCTTTTGGTCTGAGTGCTATTGTTCATTTAAATGTTGGTGGAACAAGGTACAAAAACAAGTGTTTAATTTTTTATTAATAATTAAATAAATTATTTGTGCTACCTGTTAATCAACATTGAGCGTTTCCAAATGTTTTAAACAATTAATTTTATTTAAATCCAAATGTTTGCTATTCAGGTTTTCTACATCAAAACAAACATTGACATGGGTCCCAGATTCATTTTTTACAGCTTTATTAAGTAATCGAATTGCCAGTCAAAGAGATGAAATTGGTGCATTATTCATAGATAGAGATCCAAAGTTGTTTTGTATCATATTAAATTATTTACGGACAAAAGACATTGATTTAAAAAATGTGGATCTTCGTACATTGAGACATGAAGCTGAATATTATGGTATCACGCCATTAGTTAAACGATTAATATTGTGTGAAGATTTAAGTCAGTCTTCTTGTGGAGATGTATTATTTTATGGTTATTTACCACCCCCAAGTAAGATCTAGAAGATGATTTTTTACAAAATATAACAAATAATTCTAAAGGCAAATAATATTATTTATTTTAATTTAAAAGGTATACCATTACATGAACCATCTACAGTTCCATCAAATGTAGGAGATGTCTCTGTTCATGGCAGAGTTCCTGCTACTACTGCTACCACTACCACTGCTACTACTAGTAGTACTAATTCTAGAGCAGATATACCATCTACTTCTCAAAGTACAGCATCTGGGATTTCTAATAACCATAGTAACAATGGTAATGAACAAATATTACTTCATTTGTCTAAGAATTGCAGAAATTTAATGTACTTGAACTATAGGACAACAAAACCATAAAGGAGTGCTTGGCACACATATGAGGAATTCTTCATTGGATTATAGAATTCAACAAAGAGGCTTACCACATTCACGTACTTCATCTTTAGATTTAAGACATGCTAGGAATAATTCAGCAGATCTAAATAAATTATATAAAAATGACATAAGTTTAGTATTTGGTCCCCAACAAGGTGGGTAAATGCAAAGATTTATATTAATGTTACAACAAGATATAATTAATGAATTTATTTAATTCAGTATCATCATGGGTTGATCCATTAAGAGTTCAAATTATAAAGGCACATCACAATTGGATTGTGATTGCTTATGCGCATTTCATAACATGCTACAGACTGAAAGACTCATCTGGATGGCAACATGCATTTACTAGTCCTCATATTGAATCGGTGATTGAAAGGGTGGCAATTACTTCAAAATTAAGTACCAGTGTAGATGTTAAAATGGTTGCGATTTCTTATGGAAATCAAGTTAGATTATGGAGTGTTTCAGCAAATGGTATAAAAACTAATATTGGTACATTTAATTTAAATGTTCGTGTGGAATATTTATTTTTTATTGGGAGTCAATTGGTTGCTCTATCTCCTACTGATAAAATTGGTGTTTGGCATGCCATGACACATCACTGGCAAATACAAGATGTTGTACCTATTTTATCATTTGACACGGCTGGTTCTTTTCTTTTACTAGGGTGCAATAATGGGTCCATTTATTACATTGGTAATAGAATTTGAAATATACAACGTTTGAAATATGTTTTTTCAATAATGATTACATGTAATATTAATTTTTAGATATGGAAAAGTTTCCATTAAGAATGAAAGACAATGATTTGCTTGTAACAGAATTATATCGTGATCCGAATTACGATCCCATTACAGCCATATCTGTGTATTTAACACCAAAAACATGTAAGTTTTCATATCCACGTTTACCATACCACATTATTTTGATAAATGGTTAAACACAAGGTAAATAATGATTAACTTGTATTTCATAACATTCAGTATTATAGTATCTCTATTGCAGAAGTACCTTTTCAAGTGACGTACAAATAAATGGATTAAAATATAATTATTAAATCTGCTTATATTGAGGAATGTAATAACAAACGTCACTTTTATTATATGTTTTACATTTATTTTTACGTTTTGCTTTCTTAGACAGTTGTTCTAAACTTTTGGTTACATGTTAATGGCAGAACTTTTACTACAGATTTCTAATTCATTTTTTTTGTTCTTAGTAAAAAAAAAACGTGTTTTCACTACATTAATGCAAACAGTTCAAATACATATTGTAAAGTTTTTTCTATTATAAAATCCAATACCATCTTTAAATATTAATGAGAGTTTATTATTACATTCTTTGCTTCATGATTTCGTACAACTGGATAAATAGCGCAAGGCAAGTATGGGTCGATATGACAATGTTCTATAATATTTTCATACTTAAATAACAATTCAGAATGAAATGTTTTTCTACATTTTATATTGCAATGAACATGATGCATTAATATGAATATAAGTATCCGTACCCTTCCTCTCCAGGTATAGTATACGCATCCATGCCAACTCACACAAATTCATATACATATATTGCTTTTGATACCACTTTTAATTAAAACTCTTCATCTATATTTACATAATAATATACATATTAAAGAACCAGTTTTCATCTCTTTCACCTTAAGCTAAGATAAACACATATTGATTACACATTTCTGTAATAATTTTCAAACAGTTATAACAAAAAATATAATCAACTAATTTGGAACTTTTGAAACAATTGTTTTCTGCCATAAAATACGTTTAACATACACAGCCTCACTGTCCTTATACATCCAGTTGTACTTGTGCAAATTCTGTACTTCTTATTGTCCATTTATTTTCTTAATGTGTATTTTACAAAATGATTGTGCAGTTTGCTTCTCTTCATTTATATTTAACAATTCTTTGCTTGTTCCTTCCATAGTTATGTATTTCCTGTCAGCATCTGTGAGGGGAAGGGAAAAAAATAAACAAGTACCTCTGCTTGCATAGTTATTCTTCCGTTTAAACAATTTCAGATGCATATAAATATTATTTTTATTATGAATATTCATAATTTTTGTTATTTACATTGTAAATACTTTTTCGCTTGTTTTAGCACACATATATAAAATTTTGTTAAAACTGTATTCATATAATTTGAAGCAAGAAAGCAATCAATACAACTTTTTTATAAATATTTTTTCTGTATTAATCGCGATATAAAGCATGTAATATATTAATTATATATATAGGTTTTCTCTTTCTAATTAAAATACATGTGCACAGAGAATTTTTTCAGTTTCTATAGTGTTTCATATATGTAATATTAGTATTGAATCACTTACATTCTAAATTAAGCAACGTAGTTCATATTAAAAATTGTTAATGTTTTATAGTAAAGTAGATTAGTGTAAAATTTTTTTGTTATTATACAGCTCTTTGTGGCAATTGGATCGAAATTGCATATGGTACAAAATCTGGCAGTGTAAGAGTTATTGTTCATCATCCTGAGACTGTAGGGCATGGTCCACAACTATTCCAGACATTTACAGTGCATCAAAGTAGTGTAACAAAGGTACGTTTTTATACATATAAGAAATAGTAACTTTTAATGTAATAAAGTTTTAGAAGACACGAGTACATTATAAAATTTATTACAGGTAACATTATCAGAAAAATATTTGGTATCAGTTTGTTCTGAATATAATCATGTTAGAAGTTGGGCAGTAAAAAGATTTCGTGGAATGATATCTACTCAACCAGGACCAACACCTGAAGCTAGTTTCAAAATTGTATCTCTAGAAGCAATTGAACCTTGTATCAGTTATAATGCTGGGAATGATTTTGGTAGAATATATAAATAACTAGTATATGAATTTGAATAACTGTCAAAGAAAAACGATTTGATTACTGTACTGTATCATGCAGGTCCATTTGGAGAACAAGATGATGAACAAGTATTTGTTCAGAAAGTTGTACCAGAGACTGATCAATTATTTGTACGCTTAGCATCAAATGGCAAAAGAGTTTGTGTAATTAAGTCAGTGGATGGCAGTATAATCAGTTCATTTTATGTGCATGAATGTGAAGGATCAAGTCGTATGGGTTCACGACCTAGACGCTTTATATTTACCGGACATTCTAATGGTACTATTCAAATGTGGGATCTTACCACTGCATTGGAACCATCTTTTTCTTCTACTAGAAGTAATGGTCATTTAAGTTTTTCATTTCCATATTAATATAATATTGTTTGTTATATAAAATATTTTAATTACAGATATTTCTGGTGGACCTACGCCAGAAGAACTTTGGAAGCTGTTAGATCAGTGTGATTTAAGTAATAGTCATTCCTCAACACCATGCATTAGTCCATGCCCATCGCTTATATCTACAGGTCCAAGTATAAAGACAGGTAATGTGCTATTCCTCAATCAGTCACAAAACACTGAAGCAACGCCTGGATCTAGCCAAACCTGAAGGTAACATCAAAATACATTTCACAAAAATCTTTCATTTTGCTAAAGTATTTTTTACATTTCAGTATCATTTATTTATTTATTTATTTATTTACTTACCTATTTAATAATTTATTACGAATTATTAACAAAAAAATCTGTAATCTCAGTTCCTATCATAATAACTTTGTTAATATACTTGAATTGAACAGTAAGTTTCTAAAAAAAAAATAGTTTTATTTATAAATAATGCAATATCAAAGTGATAATGTAATTAAAATATAAAAATTGTAATAATAAGATAATTACAAATATGTGTGATACATAAGAAATAGATAAGTATAGAGTTAGCTTTAAAAGTATGCATTTCAAATCTTATATTTCATCTTTTTTTTTAAATAAACATTTCAATAAGTCAAATACAAGATACAATGTTTAATTGTCGAAATTAGTGTAAAGTAAATCAGTAAAAGTTACAAAAATTGCATATTTTATATTATTATGTTATAAGTAAAATCCAATCACATTACAAATTCTATTTTTCAATATGTTCGAAATATAAAAAATTTTATTGTGTAAACTAACAATTTAAAGCGATGTAAATACTCAAATAAATATTTCAAGTTTTTATTTGTTTAGAAAAAACTCTTTTTGTTACATTTCAAATTACCATGTTAGACAAGTACATATTTTATAGGATTTGTATAGTGATGAGTTTTAAAACGATCCTTTTAAGTAAAAGGATATTGTACTAGTACGTAATCTCGTATGTATTTGTTTATGTTATTTCTGTATAAATACTTATATACATTTATGGCAAACATTGTAATACTGTTATAACTGTTATCTCTGTGATTTAAATAGCTAATAAATGTTTGTATTGTTAATTCTTACATGTTTTACACATGTAATAAGAATACAGTCATCTTATTTTAAAATGAAAACATTTTTACATTTGTATATTTGTATCTTAACAAATCTTTGAGGATATATTTTATAGAAGTAACTTTTTTAGTATTCAAAACAACATTTATTGTAACAATGTCATAAATTTTTTAACTACATAATATTTTGTTAACGTTATTATTTTAAGAAAAACTGTCTAAATTGTTACTGGTATTCATGATTATAACTACGTAAATTTAATTAAATTCGAGGCACTACGGTGATTTATATTATTTCTATATTGCATGATTAATTTTATCTCGATAATTTGATTGCACAGTGTTCCGAAATAAAGATAATAATAATCGACCGAGGCACTTCTGTGCCATATTACGTCGCTGCGTACAGGCACTAATCCCTCCCGCACGGGATTAGCCCTATCGCAACGCCATCGATCGGATCGATGGTTCAAACGATTGCCGTTCCGATTTTAAAATTCAGATCCTTGTAAACCTTTCACGAAAGCAAACGTGTTAGCAATTCTCAACCTAAATTTCAACCAGTTTGTATTATCGTTATAATTCGTCGATTGTCCCGAGGTGAGCGTGCGTGTGAAGTGTTTAATAAACCATTTTTAAACGTTTAAAGTTATATCTTTTATTTTATTTTAACAACTTCACGTGACTCTGCCTAAACATCCTGTGCTCCGTATCCTCGCTAGGATAGAATTAGCGATCTGAGAATCGATCAACCGACGCGAGAAAACTCGTCGGAAAAAGTGATCACGAAACACACAAAAATTAACAATTTAATCAGAAATTAATAATATTCTTAATAAAGTTTTAATTTTTCAATCGTTTTCTATTTTGCATAGATGCGTCTATCTTTTGATAAAACGAATCTTTCTGCAATTGTTGTTCTTTTGATAAGAAACTGTTTTTTAATAAATGTCATGCAATCTGAAATTAACGTAGCTTCGAATTAAATTGATATTTTCATTCAAATCTTATAAGTAAGATTAGTGACATTGTTGCAAGTTAATCACTTCATCATATAAAATGTTTATGCCAAAATAAATTATTATGAAATAATGTCGGGTTTGTCATTGGTGTCAGTAAAAAACACCAGGCTACTAATCCAATTACAAATAAAGAAAATAATCCAGCTCTCTTTAGAGGATCCTTAAATGCTACAACTTCAGAAAGATCAGGGAATCCCATATGATTACAAAATGAATGTGCCGTAAATGGCGCTGCTAAGTGTCCTATTAAAAAAAGATATTTCATTGAATATGATTTTAAATGTAGTTAAAGAGATGTTCCAATGCAAATCTTCGGATTTTCCAAATGAAGTATCAAAATTACTGTACCTGTTTTAGCAAAAAGAAAAGCTGCATATGCTCCAAATAATGTTGTATATGTAAACTGGAAACCTGATTAAAGAATGTATGATAATATGCTTGCCTACATTGTTGTATTCACTTAAAATTAGGAAAAAATACTTACAGGATATAAAAAGTGCATGTTTAAGTTTCACGCCAGCCTTAACTTTATCTACTACATGATGGAAGTGTGCAACCCCAAAAAACAAGGGGCATACAAATATGGCAGTTGTTGGTGTAAAGCATTGCAAAAGCAATGGTAACATACATGCTCTAAAAGTCCATTCTTCAGACAATGGTGCAACTATTTGATTTCTCCACCATGTTAGTGTTCGTACACTTCCAAGCCAGTACATAGGTTCTAGAAATTACAAACATGTATTTACATTGCTCTATTAAACATTTCATTTACAAATAATAGGAAAACTGACCAGTATATAATCTCCAAAGACCATTAAAACCTTGTACACTTAATGGCCCTAGAAATAGTATCATTGTTAATAATAATGGTATCACAATTGCTTGAAATAAACCTGGCCATCGTAGACCCAATAATTCCCAAATTGTTGCCTAAAAATTACAAATTATAACATGGAATTTATTGTACAAATAACTGTATTGTTGTGTTCAATTACCTTCTGAAATACTTTCTCATTCATTCCAAAATACAATGATGCAGGAGATATAAGGGACATAATAAAAACGCTGAAAAATCTCTTTTTTATCGTTGTTGGATGTTCTCTATAATATAAAAGAGTCTCATATTAGAGTTTTGTTAGTCCAATCTTTTTGCCACGAGAATTTTTCTTTCATTAAAGCATTTAAAAAAGAAAAATTCTCTGCAGTGCTCCTTCAAACAACGCGGGAGTTAGGGATATGAAAAGATCTGTCTATAATCAAAACCGTGCTATTCCAGGAAGCGCTGCAGTTAAAAATCAATAATTTGTCATATAATAACTTTTAAATAGTGCGCCAATTGGAAATAGAATTGAAGAAAATTGTTGGCCAACAGAGGCGCTGTAGATTTAATTCTTGTCCTGATTCTTGTCCAGAAAAGTGACTGCGTGAGTGAGAAAATCAGAGAGTATACTTTGTTTCGCGAGAGAACCGTAATAATTCCGCGCATCTCGACTGAGTTCAGAAGACTCTTTGCCACTAGTTTGTTACCAATCTACTACCTACTTCTCACTTCGTGCTCATATACACTGTGAACAAAAATATATGAAGAGAAGAAATAAGTGATGATGTAGGGCAGAATCACTAAATGTGAAAATTTGGAGATATATAAAGAAATATAAGGGAAAATTATAAACTTTGTAGCTGTAAATGCTTTTAAATCTCCAATACGAGGTATTCTAAAACAAGGTAAAGAAGTAATAAAAAACGATAGAGGGTATACTAAATAAAAGGTCACTGGGTATACACGCTCTGCATCACAAATAACGTAAGTGTGCATGCGTGTTACCCCTGATTACAGACCGTGTTATAACCAATCAGAGCAAACCTGCGTAGTACGATCGAAAACTCGTCTCTCAACACTACGATTCTCTCTCGAAATAAAGAATAGGCATTCATGGTTCTTGGTTGACGTGAATACAGTTACACTTCGTTCGTGGTTCCTTGTGGTTCACTGTTAAAGGACCGAACATCGTAGACAGTCGCACAAAATGGACATTTAAAGATTGACGTTAAACATCGTCGATCGGTGTACGTACCTATTGTACGGTGAACTCCATACGTAAAGGCTCGCAATATACACCACCGAAAGGGCGAAACAGGACAAAATAGCGGATATGCAGGAGAAATCAGTATTTCGGTTCGCGGTCTCCATAACTTCATACTGATGTTGGTTGCTTGTGTCGCGATCCACTGCAGAAGAGGGGATCGGTAAGGGGTAGCAGGCGAGAGAGAAGGCTTACATAGGAAGAAGAGGGTGGTCGGTGAAGAAAGAGGGGAAGAGCAGAAATTCATCCGATTGGCGGTCTGGCACCAGTCGGCAGTCCAACCGTCAATGAGAAGATGGCCGCTGGGCTCGGTGGAAGTGTCGCCATTGTTTAGTGTTTAGTTGTTTTACCGTTTCTCGCCTAATTTCACGGGAAGCACGATAAAAATGCCAAGTGCGTCGTTCACATCGTCGCGCAATTACGTGCGAAGATCCCGAAGAAAAGGTGCGAACAGGATTCCGGTGCCTTCAAGAACCACCTCGGGTAAGAGCTCTGCATCCGGACCTCGGTTCACTGCTCACCTGTCTCGACTCTCTTCTTTGCCTTCACCTACTTCGATATTCCCAGGTTAATCGTCCCACGGATTCCACATGCTACCGACTAACCGACATTCCTCTCCTTAATCGTATTTCTATTTTATAAAGAAAACTCCGTCAAACATACTGCCCACGTCTTCTCGCACAATTTTCCCACACTTAGGATGGCCGAAAAATACGCTGATGCTTCGATGACGTTTCCCAAAAATCAACATACGCTCGACACTTTCGCCCCAGCCCTTCTTTTTTCACGGACATCGATCACGATATCTCCTCCTTGGCGATCGGCAATTTTTACTGTGAAATGTCGGCTCAAAGTCTACACTTCACCCCACCCCCTTTTTTTTTGTATTTCCGATTTATTAAATGTCCAGCTATACGAAATTTACTGTCGATACTCGTGTGAATCGAAAAGTAATCTCTCTGGTTATTTCAAGGCAAAAGGTCAAACCTTCTTTCATCTAATATTACACCAGCTTCACATTTTATATTACAGTAATGTTCTACTTTTCTCTTAATCACTTTGTATCTATTTAAAGTATAATTGCATATACTCTTATGAGTTTGAATAATTGTGATACTTCTATTCTGAAATATGGTTTGATTATTGGTTGTGTATATATATTAAATACAGAGAATGAAGCGTGGCCTAATTTTTACATCAGCATTTTTTTCCCAAAGTATATTTTTCTTTTGTCTTCATTAACTCAATAAACAGTATTTTTGTAAACTGCATCACTGTAATTTACTTCAATTGTTAACGGCTTATCAAAGGTAAAAACACATTACTATTGTGTCAAGTTAAATCACATGCTGTCATAAGCAGCTCATACATAGAATCAATATACGCATCTTTTGATATTCAATTCACACTTTAGGAGTGTCACATAATAACAATGTAAAATCATGTAATTTCATGTGACATGATATTATGTCATGCCTTAACTATTACCTACTATCGAGTTACCAGAGTTCAAGAATAATTAATTTATAGAATGAGAGAAAATATAGCTGATCCTTATTCGGTATTTATAAACGTTATTAGCTTGTCAGAGTCCCTTAAACACATTCTGTAGGAGCAAGAATTATGTCAAAAAAATAATTTCCCTAGTTTTTTGTTATTTTGTTATATGAACAATGGGAAATTAAAACAAAATAATACAACTGTGGCACTGAAAAATGTATTTAAAATACATGAATGAATTAATGTTATAAATACTTAGCAGACATTTCTACATTTAGAATATATTGTAAACTTTCTGCTTCTATCAAAATAACATATTTTATTAATAAATACATACAACAAAAACCATGCATTGATTATTATACTATTTACTATTTTTGTATGTTTTTTAGCCGAGCCATGCGATTTGCCATGTTCAGCGTCAAATCAGATACCACCTGGTGGTGGAGTTGGTGGTGGAGGAGGAGGAGGAGGAGGTGGAGGTGGGGGTGGAAGCGGTGGAAGAGGATCCTCACCTAGTGTTTCCGGTGTTGCAGCACCATCACCTTCCCCATCACATTCACATTCATCTCCATATGATTTAAGACGTAAAAGTCCACCTCATCCGGATCCTGCTCCTGGCACCAGTTCTGCTCTACCTCCTTCAGGTGGTAGTAGTATAGGAGCCACTCTTGGTTCTTCCTCTCTACCGGCGAGAAAACGGCCCAGACGGACATGTTCGTTATCCACAGATGGTATGTTTATTAACAACGAAATTTTGTTATGAATACTTTAATACTACAGTTGTTCTAAATTCCTTCATATTATTTTTCAGGTACAAATACAAATACCGCAGCACATTACCTTCAGTACGAGTTACCAGACGAAGTGCTGCTTACTATATTTAATTATCTAATGGAACAGGATCTTTGTAGAGTTTCGCAGGTCTGCAAACGTTTTCAAACGATTGCGAACGATACTGAACTATGGAAGTCCTTGTATCAACAAGTTTACGAATACGACTTACCGCTGTTTAATCCTGCGCCTTGTAAATTTGAATTTGTATCCCCTGATGAATCAGACTATCCAAATGCATGGAAAGAAAGTTTTAGACAGTTGTATAGGGGAGTACACGTCAGACCGGGATTTCAGGATTTGAAATTCAAAGGTCGAAATTTGCCATACTTTAATACAGTTCAGGGAGCACTAGATTACGTAGATGAATATAGAAGCAATAGCGGTACCTCGTCAAACAATAGCACAACCACGAGCGGTCAAGGAAATTGTTGTGGAAACAATTCTCATACAGCTGAAGAGGCACCTCAACATTTAGTTTTCTTACATGCCGGAATATATAGGGGCGAATTTCTCGTAATTGACAGCGACGTTGCATTAATCGGGGCAGCACCCGGAAACGTTGCGGAATCTGTTATATTAGAACGAGAAAGCGAATCTACAGTTATGTTTGTAGAAGGAGCGAAACGAGCTTATGCTGGCCATCTTACGTTAAAGTTTACCCCGGACGTTACCAGTACAGTACCACATCATAAACATTATTGTCTGGAAGTTGGTGAAAACTGCAGTCCTACAGTCGATCATTGTATTATTAGGAGTTCAAGTGTTGGTAAGTAATTTTATTTCATTGTAAAATAACATAGTGAAAAGTTCACTAAGATTTATTTTTCAATATAATTAGTTGGAGCAGCTGTTTGCGTATCGGGTGTTGGAGCGAATCCTGTGGTGAAAAATTGTGACATATCCGATTGCGAAAATGTCGGGCTTTATGTCACTGATTATGCACAAGGAACTTACGAAGACAATGAAATCTCTAGAAATGCATTAGCTGGAATTTGGGTAAAAAATTATGCCAATCCAATAATGCGAAGGAATCATATTCATCATGGAAGGGACGTCGGAATCTTCACATTCGATAATGGTCTTGGCTACTTTGAAGCTAACGATATTCATAACAATCGAATAGCAGGTTTCGAAGTAAAAGCTGGTGCTAATCCAACGGTCGTACACTGTGAAATACACCATGGTCAAACGGGTGGTATTTATGTCCATGAAAATGGTTTAGGGCAATTCATCGATAACAAGATTCATTCGAATAATTTTGCTGGTGTTTGGATTACTTCAAATTCGAATCCAACTATTCGCAGAAACGAAATCTACAATGGTCATCAAGGCGGAGTATATATATTTGGAGAGGGAAGAGGCTTAATCGAACATAATAATATTTATGGTAATGCCTTAGCTGGCATACAAATCAGAACAAATTCAGACCCTATCGTTAGACACAATAAAATACATCATGGACAGCATGGTGGCATATATGTACACGAAAAGGGGCAAGGTTTAATCGAAGAGAACGAAGTATATGCCAATACTTTAGCAGGTGTTTGGATAACAACCGGATCGACGCCGGTGCTAAGAAGAAATCGTATTCATAGCGGAAAACAAGTTGGAGTTTATTTTTATGATAATGGACACGGAAAACTAGAAGACAATGATATTTTCAATCATTTGTATTCAGGAGTACAAATAAGGTAACATAATCTTTATTTTATGAAATAAAATTATCTTTCTACATTTCCTAATAATTATGTTTCTTTTGTTAGAACTGGAAGCAATCCAGTGATACGTGGGAATAAAATTTGGGGTGGACAAAATGGTGGTGTTCTTGTGTATAATAGTGGACTAGGTTTACTCGAGCAAAATGAAATTTTTGATAATGCAATGGCAGGAGTTTGGATTAAAACCGATAGTAATCCTACATTGAAAAGGAATAAGATATTCGATGGTCGGGACGGTGGAATTTGTATATTCAATGGTGGCAAGGGTACATTTTATTTTATCTTTGATCTTTCAAAGTTGAGACCTTTGAGAAACTTTACTCATTACAATCTATTTTTTATGACTCAGGTGTTCTCGAAGAAAACGATATATTTCGTAACGCGCAAGCAGGAGTGCTTATATCGACACAATCCCATCCTGTGTTGAGGAGAAACCGAATCTTCGACGGATTAGCAGCTGGCGTTGAAATAACAAACAATGCAACAGCTACGTTGGAGTTTAATCAAATTTTCAATAATAGATTTGGTGGATTGTGTTTAGCGAGTGGAGTTCAACCAACAACTAGAGGTAGGCATTCTATTGCACTACTTTTTAAATAACAGTTTAACAACGAGGCGGAGAAATAATTGCTGGCTCTCATTTTTACAGGCAATAAAATATTTAATAATCAAGATGCTGTTGAAAAAGCTGTTGGAAACGGCCAATGTTTGTATAAAATATCGTCATACACCTCTTTCCCTATGCACGATTTCTATCGTTGTCAGACATGCAATACAACAGATCGCAATGCAATTTGTGTGAACTGTATAAAAACCTGTCACGCTGGACATGATGTGGAATTTATTAGACATGATCGGTAAGTGCCGACATAAAAGTATAACAAAGAATTTAGGAGGTGACTGCTAAGCTACTACAACTACTTTAAAAGAAATGTATGATCATATATTACCAATTAATTAATTTATTCAGATTCTTCTGTGACTGTGGTGCTGGAACATTAAGTAATCAGTGTCAGCTTCAAGGTGAACCTACGCAAGATACAGACACATTGTACGATAGTGCAGCACCAATGGAGTCACATACACTTATGGTCAACTAGGAACTAACCTAAACTAAATAAAACAATCAAATGACATTGAATCTGTAAGTCCAACATATTGCAAACAAGAAACAATTTGTTGTTGAGTTCTTTATTATGACAATTGTTCCTTCGTGTTCCCCGATATAGTTGTTAATTTGTAAAGCAATCGTTATTGTTAAAGTGTTCCAACTTACGATAATTTCATTATCATCGTTATCGCCATTCGATCATTCGTCTGATTTTCATTATTTTTATGAAAATATATTCGAGAATTTATGAATACGATCATCGAATTATATTGTCATTGTCATCATTGCTTCATCATCGTCATCGTCATTGTCAAAATAAGAGAGTATATTTTTTATTAGTAAATTAGTACTCTATATTAATGTATATCTTGATACAAATTATACATTGTTAGATGTTTTCTTTCTTCTTTTTTTTTTTTAACGTGTATATATATTGCTTTTTATTGAAAACGATTACACAAGATCAAGATTATCCCCGAAACTATATAATAAAGAACTCTGCAACAAAAGAAAAGAGAAAGAAATTGATAAAAGCAAAAAAGCAAGTGACAATGGATTTCTTATACACACAAATCTTATTAGGTAACATCAAATTTATTTAAACGTGTAATAAAACAAAATACGCGTTAATCGACTGGAAACACGTAACAGACTTCCCATGTGACTTTTCATTAAGTTTCTTTAAATGTTAACTTCGTATATAAAAGAAAAGAAGTGCAGTGTGTATGTGTAAAGAAATGGAAATAAGGTATTAAGAAATACGTGGTGATCGTGATGTTACGAGATAAAAGGAGAGACTTTTTAAACAATGAAGACAATTGATACGATGCACTAGCATTGATTAAAAGTAACTCTTTCTAACCTCACGATATAAAAAATATAGTGTCGCGAATGTAAATTATGTATAATTCGTATCGTTAATAAACGCGAACGAACTTGCAACACTAAACTAATGGGGCTGTTTACTACTCGGACAGAAGTACGTCGACATCATATAAAATGTGAGATATGTTACAGAGAAATTTACAATCACGATTAAACAAAACTTAATACACCAGTGAGTTAAGACAGATACAATGATGAAGTGAATAATGTGTATTCTGATACTGATGGAATTGTAGGTAATCGAACAACTAGCTTCCAGGCAAGTGCGACTTTATTAATAAACACGTGAATCTGTGGTACAAATTTGGAAGGACGGACGAGAAACGTGCGAAACGAAGACCCATTAAAGAACAGACTGAAACGGATGTCTAAAAAATGTGATATGTAAAATTCACAACTCGAATAATCAAAATGGAACAAACATCTATACAATTCTAAGAAAATTTCTTTTCGACGTAAGTGTACCTCATAAACACACGTATTACAATTCTTCGATTCTACTATCCGCATTGTGAATAGTGATGGCCCTAAGTTACCCGATGGGGGAAGTGCATAATAAGACAAAAGTAAAATATTTAAAAATAAATTTAAACAAAAGAATTTACATAATTAATATACGTCGGTGTATACCAGTGAGAGAGAAAAAGCCAAGATTTACGAGGAAATGATAAGAAAGCAAAGAAAATGATATACTGTCCAAGGAACAGTGTTGAAAAATAAAAAATAGTAATCTCGAATTTTTAAAGTAATCCGATTTTTTTAATATTATGTTAGCTGTAAAGTCTAATCGTATTATTATAATTGTATTCCAAGGGCGGACTCTTGTATGAAAAAAAAGCAAATGAAGAAAAAAAGCGCCTATTAGCGATAATTTTAGAGGCAAGCGACATCCATTTATGCAAAATGATGAATATGAAATAAGTAGACGAAATAATGAAATCACCATTGTGGATAAAATTTTGTTTTACGTACAAGATTTTACGAAATCTCTCGTAATTCATTATATTGTATGTAGTACTTTTGTATATCATTTGGTAGAATGTGTAACGATTAGGGATGTGTGGGTAACCGACATTTTGAGCTCGGATCGGGTCAGTTAAAGTCGGGCAGATTCGGATAGGTATCCGAGATATCCTCGAGTCCGACTGTTTCGGGTTAAGCCAGAGAGAAATATGCAATTCATAAATTTGTAAATTTAACTATATTTAAATTTGAAATTTCTTAATTCCAACTTAATCCTCTAACTTGGCCCGAAATACTTGGACACAGTTGAGCCTCAACATCTCTATGCTCGACCTTTTTTGATTCGACCCGACAACTCATGTAACTCGACACATTCGATTACTCGCACATTCCTACGTAATGGTACGTGAGAATTGCCTTTGAACTTACTGACCTAAGGTCCGTAGTATTATACACCGCAGTGTCATATTATACATAGTGTAACTATATATAATGTCAAACATATTATGTGCACTGAGAGTAAAAAGGAAAGAAAAATAATGAAACGTATTTCAAAGGCATTTTTCGTACGTGCACATTAAAAAACGAACAACTCTTTACGTTCTTCGAGTGATACTCTTTATACGCTCTGTTGTTTTGTTTAAAGAACATTCGTCCGTGAATAAGTTTTTTCTTCCCCTTTTATTAAACTTGAAACTTGGAGTAGAGGAACTACAGAAAAACAAAGAAAACATACGATAACGCTTAAGCGTTGTTGTAGCAAAAATTTATCTCACGCGCTCTCTACGTTATAATAACATTACCAAAATCATTTTGTCGATTGTTTTTCTTTCTTCTTTTTTTTTTATATTCTGCCTCGAGTATTATTTACAAAATGTTAAATATTTGTTTATATGTTTATCTGTTTACGTATGTACAACAAAACGAAGTTGCAGGAGGAAAACTGTGGCAACTTTTTTATAGTATTTTCAACTCGCGATCACACGGAACGATTAAGTTGGAACAAGCATTTTTTCTGTGATTTCTATCTTCTCACGGTTTCAAAGTATGTTGAATAATTCTTATGGCGAACATTGTTTTGCGCAGCAGCCGTGAACGCAGTGAACACTTTACTTTATGGTCTCGATTATGGAACATTTCTGCGAGTGGCTTCCATTTCTGCCTGTTCGAATCAAAAAACGAGTACGTCCCGATTAAACGAAGATTGGCTCGCGTGGATGCAAAAGAAACGAACGTTTGCACGAAGCCTTTAGCACAAAACTTCTGGGGAAAAAATAAAGAAAATGGAGTCGTTGAACGATTCTTGTTCGGCTGCAGCACGATTCTAATGTTTCTGTTTCTTGTTGTTGGATGTATTTAGAATGTAAGATTTGATCAGCAATAGAAATCTGTTGTGTTTGAACTCGTTGTATTCCCGTGTAAAGAAATCGACCGATTGTTCTTCTGGATAAAAAAGAAAGCGAACAGAATTTCAATTCATGAGACGACAAAAACACAGCTATGAAGTTTCAGTAGAAAGAATAAAGCACACGAATAGTACGTTGGATGAAATTTACGCTTCCCTTGATTAACAGCAAGTGTGGGGGCGGAGTGATCCACCGCTCGCCTTATCTGTCCCTATTCAAGGAGTCTTTGCGTTCTTTTGAAACTAAAATAAGGTGGTTGTCTCCACCCGCTATACTCATTTTTAACCAAGAGAAGCCTGCGTTGCACCCGAACAGCATAGACACATTTAACAAAGCGTTTACGGTTAAAAATTGGTACGTAGAACTATGTTCATATAGTTTTCATTCTGTTATTTGTTCACATATACACAGTCGACGTTGTGTCACATACTGCAGAAAAAATACAATGTTTCCTTCTTATTTCATTGTAAAAGTGTTACTACGTTTATGTTACGGTGAAAGTATTAATTTAGTAAATGTGTACATTTACCAGATAACGTATCCGCATTAAATTTATTGCGTGTGTGGTATACACATTTGATAGTGAAAATGTTAGTTCAAAATGTGTTTTAGTTTACGTATATTTTTATTATATAAGTTGTGTAAATGTATGCTTCTGTTAATGAAATTTATATTTGATTGTAAGTACATTTTATTTAATTAGTATGTAGATACGTTAGTTACGGTAAGTGTATACATTTACTGAATTAATGTATTTACTGTAACACACACACACAATTTATATACACATATAATTCGCATTATACTTTCGTCGTTCCACTTCGTTCATCATTGTACATTTTTGTCCGATATTTCAAATTATCGTGAGTGTAAAGTGTTCTTTTGTTAAGTGTCATGTTAATTGCATTTTATTTATCAGATCTTTCCCTATTCTTCTTTTTGTATCGCAACACACACACATACACACATCTTTCTTTCTCTTCTTATCGTTTCATTCCATTGTGTACTTGTCCACCGAAATAACTTTTACACCGACCTTTCAACCGCAAAATACTTGCCATTAATTACGTTAGTTGCCATAGTTCTCTCGGTTATGTTTTTGCGGTGGTTATTATTAAATAGATTATATCGTAATACGAAAATTTCACGAGCAAAGTGTGCAAAAGAGAAGGCGTGGAAGAAGGAAACGAGAGAAACAAAACGAGTCCGCAAAAACTAATACCACAAAACGTATTTTGTAAATATTAATTATATATAATTATATACATAATTATATATAAATATATATATTATACGATTATATAAAAAAAAAATATATTATTACCAATTGTAATTTTTATTTTTTTTGTTCGTATCCTTATTGTCATTGGCGTCGATTTTTATTGGTTTTCTTTTCTTTTTTTTTCTTGCTTTGTTGCATCACTGCAGTATCGTGATTATAACGAAAAAATGCGATGATTACACTCGATTGCAACAGTAGTTCACAATAATTCCAAGTATCTCGATACTTCAATCGATAATTTATCCTTCTCTGACGGGAAATACTGCTGTGTTATTTTTCTCCGAATCTAGGCGCATCGGTGAAGAACATGTACAGCAAGAAATTGAAACTCAAGTCGTACTAATATGTCGCAAAACGTGAACAGAGAGAAAGATTAATCCTTTGCCTTATCTGCTCTTACGAATTAAAATTATTCCAAATTCCCAAATGTCCAAATTTTTAAATCCTCAGATTCAAAAGATTCAGAGATCGACAATTAAATTTCAATACGTCTCGTTTTAATTTTCCTTGTAATATTCGTTCACCGTGATTTTGTTAAGAAAAACCTTAAGGCAGAGGATTAAAGTGTATCGTGTCTAGAAAGAGGTATACGATGTGAATGGGTATGTTTGTCTCTGATGGGAATTCTTTACGATTAAGACTATTTATTAGAATTGTAAATACCATATAGACAGCCAGGATCCGAACATTTTTTGAAAATAGTTCCCTCTTTTCGTAACACATAACATGGCCTTAAAAGAAAGAAAAACGTACACCTAAATGCTTTTACGTACATATAAATACATGCGGTATCTAATGCTATAGCAAATTATACGTGTAACAAATATCGATATTACACCGGGTGAATTTTTCATGAAGCTCAAAATAATTAATAGATTCGGGAAATTTGACAGTAATACAATTTTATTCGCACGATCTTAACTTCCATCGGGTTCAATGTATCTTTTTATTCGTTTATCGTTCGAGAGCTGTTCCATCGAGAATATCAAGCCATCATATTTTTTAAACTCTCAGATAATGCAACAGTCAGTTGGAAATGGTATTCTGGATACATTGCAACTGATGGAGGATTAACCCTTTCGCTGTGCATATTAATCGCTGCAATTTGAATAATTTTTATTACATACTTGGCAATTGCTTTTGATATTGGTGTCGTTAACACGTTGATGAGCATAAATTTATTTTTAAAGGATTAAAGATCGTCGTTAAAATTTATATTTATGATAAATATAAATGGCACTGATAAATCAAGTTCCACGAGAGTCGAATCAATATTAATTTATTTCGTAAATATTGAAACAAGATATCTTCAGTATTTGTAGCTTTGACTAATTGAAAATAACTTCACACGAAGAAATTAAGTTGGAAACCTTTAATACTTTTAGCAACGAGTGCCATATTAGTCACGGCTATTTCTACTATGCCAATCAACGTGACGATGTTTTCCAGTCATGCTATATTTACCGAGGTATTTATACCTTTCTAATCGACTAAATGTGCATTTTCATCTTTCAGTTCTTCCGGTAAAGTATAATTACTGAAAATACAGAAATTGAAAATAAACTAAACTGAATTATATTTAAAAGATCTAATAACATGTGTTATTCTCGACAAATTAAATTGATATTAATTTTTTTAAAGTTCAATATGGCCGCCATTAGCGTCGCGCAAGAAAGTAACGTCCTCACATCACAGCGAAGGGGTTTAAAGAAACATGAACAACGTTCAGTTAATATTTCACGAACGTGAAATCTTGAAAACAGCCTTACATTGTATTTTCATACGGTACAAGGGGATACGTGGAAATAACGAATAAGTTTGTCGTTTTTGTATCTCGAGGTCTACTTTTGTCACTGATCGCAATCGATCCAGAGCATTGGTGCTTCCGAACCGAACGAACTGTATTCCCTGATTCAGAAGAGATCACGTTCCACTGTATGTATACTTATATAACTGATAATAGTGTCTTAAGCACGAGCGACAATTATAAAACCGACTCGTGATTCGTAACAGAAAAAGATGGTTGGACAAGAAGTTAGGAAAAGAACGTCATTGGCGTAACTAGTACTTTTGGCTGGGGCGGTACAAATCCTTTAACTTTGTCAACGATTTAATATTTGCGAATTTACAAATATTAGTAGTTGGGTATTTGGGAATTTGGAATTCGAAGATTTGAAAATATGGCAATTTGGGAATTAGGAATTTGCTACTTAGGACTTAAAATTTTTGTCAACTTAGAAATTTGAAAATTTCCACCTCAAGGTTGTATGTTACACGAAGTCTCCAGATTACCATATTTCAAAGTTATCAAACGCTAAAAAATTTTCTTCCTTACTCCCACCCTGGTCTCAACCTAATTACGTTAATGAACAACGCGTTCGAAGGAAGAGAACATCTATTTTTCACGAGACGTCGATCGTGAAAATGTACAATAAGTTAAAGAAACTGTAAATATATCTTACTTAGGTATTACGATATTGTTTGAGCGTAACGATGAATAACGCGAATAATCCAAGGAACTCTACTCCTTAACCTTTCTTTTCTAAGTAACAAACGTTTCAGCACGCATACGTGCGTTTAATTAAGCTCGATTTTCAACGCTTTAGGCTATATAAATATATGCATATATATATTTATATATATATGTATAAATGTACGTATAAGGAAATATAAAAAGCAAAAGCGAAACGATGAAACGCTAAATCGAACGACGAGAATAAAGACAAGACAAGGATCTACGAAAAACTCGATTACGAGACTTTTTTCTATGAAGAATAAATCGAACTAATTTTTTTCACGTAATTCGCGTTGTACTAGGTATAAGGAATTTATCACGTCGAGACACGAGATAAAATGAGAAGCAATGAAATCTTTCACGATTACGAGATCAGCTTCTAAGCGAATTCCGCGTAGTGCCAATGCATTCGGTGCGGAAATACATAACACGATTAAGTATTACACGAATGAAACCGTTCGATTATTCTTTACGTTTTATTTTTACGAAATAGATAAAAATAACAAAAAAAGGGAGAGGAAGACCGGTGCTAATACACGTTAGTCATTCGTTCACGGAACACACAGGGATGTTTTAACGAGAAAATATATCTAAGGGTTCCTTTACGATTTTTAACAAATTTCTCCTCAGATAATTTTATATTCAGAAGTTTACCCTCAAGTTCTTACACCTCTGCATACTTTAATTAAATTACGTCTCCAAAATAAGGTTAAGTTTATCGACAGAAGAATATTTAACAGGTAGGCGTAGAAAATTTTATAAAAATCGCAAAGGAACAGTTCGATATGTTTTTTTTTGTAAATGTAGGGGAACGTCTACACAGGAATTGAATCTTAAGTTATCCCGGTGCACAAAATGGAAGCGGTATAAAGAAGACAGAATAAATCAATGGCCTATAGTTGTATAGGAGAAGACTCGTTTTTTGTTTTGGTTCTCTAGGACGAAACCGACAGACTGTTGTATAGAGTGTAGACGTAAATTTAGCCGAGATAAAATAAAACGGTGCAGTTGTGAATGCAAATGCAACGAGCAATGACACGAAAGAGACGACACGATCATTTTCTAGATGATACTCGAACTCGCACCTGCACTCGATTTTCTTTTCTGTTTCTTCTGCGTTTATGATTATTAATGTTCGCGCATCGACAAGTGTATTTTTAACATGTATAATAGAACCTTAGTTAGTAAGCCGATATACAGATATTAATTCGATCAACGTTTTATCCAAGGCGATGCAGCCAAGTTTATTTTTACTGGCCATTAAATGAAAAGGCCTTTCAGAATATCGATGAACTCGATCATCCTCGAACTGAAAGTCTTTATTAAGCTTCTGGTGATATTAGATCGTTCCATAAGTTCCTACTTAGAAAATATTCTGTAAAATATTTAAAGAATGTTGAGAGCACTTGTTTCAATTCGATTCGTCGCTATAATTTTTCTGTATTCAATTGCTCAGATTTCGCAGAGCAGCGAAGGAAATTTTGGAACCATCTAATACTCGTCAATGAACTGTTCAAGAATTCCTGACGATTGTTCTTTTTCTTTATTCGAAAAATAACGTTCTATTTTCTTTTTCGAAGTACAAGATCGTAACCGCTGGCAAAAGGAAAACGTGAAATGCTTCCTCGAGGATTTCCATTCCGAACACGTGTGTCTGATCAAATACTGTATCGTTCTACTGGCTCAATGCGACACGAGGTCGCAAAGAAAAGAGAAAACGTAAAAAAAATTAAATTGACTGTATCACCTTGCCCCACGCCTGTATTATAATGAAACGCACGAATTACCATGTGTCATATAAATATAAATATATTATATAAAAAATATATATAAATATTATATATATACAAAAATCTATATATATATATACATATATATATAAATAAATAACTAACAATAATGATAATAATTAAGTACCTTACACAGTGTAAGCAGTATCCAGAAAATCCGAACTAGTTGCACCAAGTGCCATAGTCCATAGGTCACAGTACGTTTAAACATAGGAAGAGCGAGAGAGAGAGAGAAAGGGAGGGAGAGAGAGAGATTCGTATCGCGGTTGCTAAGGGGGTGAAAAGGAAAAGGAAAAAGTGTGAAAAAACCATGACGGAAAAAACAGGTCGAACACTCGGTTGAACCGGTGCTAAGTCGTGTTCTCATTGCCTATTATTAAGGCGAATGAGCGCGAACACGAAGTGGCATGTGGTGATCAGCTAAAAACCGTCAACAACAACAACAGAAAGGAAAGAGAGAGAAAGCAGTTTGTAGTCCGTGTGACCCGAGATTTTCTCCAATGGACCGATCTCGCCCATCTTGGAGAACGTGTAGAACTTAAAACAGACACCAATATGACAATATACTGAAAGAAAAAATGTTCATTTCCAAATCCCGTTACTTCGGTTCAAATCCAAACTTGTCCCTCCCCTCTAACAACCTCCAACTCATCCATCGCCGTACGATTTGCTCGTTTATTTTTCGATCACGTTAGTACATGCGATTAGAACATGGATCCCGGTTTTGTGAAGGATAAATAAATAAATAATTGCAAAAAAAAAATTCGTGCGTTCCAAAGGCGAGTGAGAGGGAGAGAGAGAAAGGGATCGAGCGTGAGAGAGGGAGAGAAAGGAGGAGAGAACAACGCTGTAAAACACATGGCCAGGATGAATCGAGGCAGTGCGTGACCTTTGCGAGACATTATCAATTATCTTAAACCGAAGAAAAAGAAAATTACAAAAAAATAATACTGTAGTAACGTCGCAATTGTATGTTGTAAACATTACTATTTCAAATATAATGTCATTATTAACAGGAGAGATTTTATGACTTCCAACCATACACATATACCATACGCTTGCTTTATGCAGAACGAATATGAGGATAAAAACCGGATTATTTTATTTTCATTGCATTTATATTGATTCGGTGATATAAATTCCTTTTACGGCCAGTAACACCTCGCGTTTAAGGGGTGTGCGCACGTAAGAATTTCCGTTCCTGTAAAATTTAAACGAATTGATTTTGGATTCCTTTCCTCGGTTTGATAATTATGAAAACCCTCGTTTCTAAGAACTCGAGAGTTACCGAGCCATTTTTGACAAATTTTCAGACTGGACATTTTAATGTGGATGTACATGGAGCAATTGGTAAGTTATTTAATAAGAACAGGAAGGAACAAGACATCGGAACGTTAATTCAAGTCTGATGTACATCCTATCTTGAGAAAGGTAAAAGATCTAAGCATCTAAAGGATCCAAATTTGTAAGAACATCTCGATATAACGAATGTTCCGCTTTTATAGTATACAATATGATCAATAAAATTACCAATACTTAAAAATCTGAAATATTAGGAAATACGCGACATCGTAAAAATGTCTACTTTTGGTAATCATCGAAGCAACCCTCCGTGTACATATTCTGTCGGTACAGTAAGGTCAAAATGAGCCCATATTCATCGTAGAAACGGTGAACAATGAGCAAAAGCGATGGGGTAGAAAGAGAGAAGGGGTTGCGGGAAGTCGTGAAGGTTCGTCTGCGTTCGCTGATCGTCGCGTGTGTGGGTTGGTTATATATCGCGCGTCGGAATCGAGAGCGTCGAAACACGAAGGGAGATCAGAGACTGACTTTACGAAAATCGATCGGCGCTCATCGTCGTCGGGTTAGCGACGCCTGCAAAGGCATCGGTGTCCATTCGCAACGACGCGGACGCGGTTACGAGAAAGCGCCGCTTTCAGCCGACGCTCTCTCTCCCTAGTCTCTCCCTAGGCTCTCTCCCTAGGTGCTCCTTCGGCGAAACAACCCTCCAAATGTTGAGAGCCGCCTGGTGTTACTCGAACGACACGAACGTTCCTTCTTCCAGTTTGTCCTGGAAAATGTGCGAGTGCGGTGCTCGCGAGATACGCGCGATAGTGATCCAGTGAAATTCCGACTTGTTCCTCGGTCGTCACGCTGTGTGGTGACCCGTCAAAGTTGAACGGATGCTGTCACAGTTTCGTGGGCAAACGAGAGAACCGAGAAAGGGACGTACGCGCAGAAGACTTCCGTCGTGAAACGATACTCCATGAACCTGTTTAGGATAGAGTTCCGTGCTCTGTGCTGTCGCTTAGACGATTCACCAGGTACAGACGAACCTGGTGTCCTACTCTCGCGGTTATCGCCATTTGTCGACACCACCGTGGATTAATCGGACACCGGTGATTTTCTTTCTACCACGCAACGACAATAATTTTCGACACGTTTCTACCGTAAACGAATACATTCGATCAGGATCAAAATATTACGCGCTCTCGATGCGTATTATGAAGGAAAGGTGGTCAGACATTTGGCTGAAAAATTCTCGTGACAGAATTAATCGGTGAACGGTGTTCCTGTACGCCCTGTTCCTCTGCGTGTATGCTCGGAAAGGTGGGAGGAGAGGAGTCTACCTCTTTGAACGTGGAATGATAATAAAGAAGAGCTACGGGATAGGCAGGCACGGGGTGACATTATGCAAAGAGTGGATCTGAATGTACCCAACTCTCCCCTCAGAGTGTTTCCCCTTGGGATGGCGATAGGGGCGCTAGTCGAGATCGCGATCAAGCTCATCATCAGCGGTTACATACTCGCCGTGGTCGTTTATGTGAATGCCACCGGGAACTGGGATAAGGACGATGACTTAGGTACGTTGATTTGGAGGGAATCCTACTGACCGACCGCATATCGGTTGTATCGAATATTTGTCACAACTGTCAAACGTTACATTCAATATTCTACTGTTTCACTCTGCTCCCGATTTTCAAACACTCTATCTACTACAAAATTTATTATTTTTACTCATTCCTTCTGCAAGTACTTTAATTAGCTGCTAAAGTTTGCATCCAAAAAAGTAAAACTTATACATATTTTTTAAACCTCCATTCGAATAAAATTAATTCGAAATTTAGTACAGTAAATCAATGACTCAAAAAGAATGAAAAATTCAGTAAAATCAGCATGCTACAAGATCTTACGACTAAACGTGCGAGGTATGTACTCGAATGAGCAGAGGATGTTCATTTGGATCCCTTTGGAACGCAGATTAGCGGTATTCGAATACTGAACGAGATTGTTGCATCTTAAGTAGTTAGCGTATGCATTGATCAGTCACATGGCTGACCAAGCGTTTAGCATATTCACTGAAGTATATATTCAGACTTCAAACGTTTATTAGGTCATTCCATACGTAATGTTGTTTCTTGTCCCGCCGTTGCACGAAGAAAACGTATCTTGTTACTATTCATATTTTAACAGTTTATGAATTATTTAGTATGTCGCTATTACTTCGATACTTCAGTCGTGTTACTTATTCAAAATTTTAATGCGTCAATTTTTTTATCCATTTAATCAGTTTTAAATCGATGGGACATAGTTGTAAAATATTTAAATGATTTATTTTAATATATTAATCTTGAATGAAATGGAAATCGATGAATCTTTAAGATATTAGAAACGGAATTGATATGTCTGTATTGTATGTAGAAACTAATGAGCGTTTGTTCCTCTTTTCTAGTGGAAACTTTTGAAGTCAGCGCCGTTCTTGGAGGTACCGCTAAATTGCCTTGTGACATTGAACCGTCCACGCGAGAGGATCGCGTAAACATGGTGCTCTGGTTTCGCGACGATGCGGTGAAACCGATTTACAGGTAATTTCCGTAAAAATGTACTAATGTCAGCGCGAACCAATTGAAGAGGCCAAAGGGTGCTTTCAAATTTTCTGCCAAGTCAATTCTGATCAAGATTAATATTTCAGTTTCGACGTGCGAGGAAGAGCATTCAACGAGGCTCTTAATTGGTCGAATAGCACCGTCGTAGGACCAAGAGCTTGTTTCATCACTGACACAAGACCAGCCACTTTTTCACTGGAAGCTGTTCAGTTAGACGACGAAGGGATCTATCGATGTAGGGTCGATTTTAAGAATTCGCCTACGAAAAATTTCCAAGTGAACCTCACCGTAATAGGTACAATTTTGCACAGATAGTATATTTTATTGTTCTTCGTGCCAACGAATAATGTCTTGTTCCTAGTTCCACCACATCAGCTGTTAATTTACGACAGCTCGGGGGTAGAAATTAAGAACACTGCAGGACCATTTCAAGTTGGCGTTGAATTTGGTCTGACTTGTGAAGTAAGGGGAGGTAATTCTCGTTTTTATGTTTAAGCAGTGTTAATATTAGATTGTGACCTAATCAATTTTTTAATTCAAGGGAAACCGACACCGGTGGTGATTTGGTTGATCAATGAACGAGAAGTAGACAGCAGATTAGTAGAAATCGGGCGGAACATAGTTACCAGTAAATTGACGATACCTCAGTTGAGAAGGGAACACCGTAACACTACTTATAAGTGTCGAGCCTCGAATACAAACTTTAATCTTTCGTTAGAGAAGACTGTTCTCTTAGACGTTTATCGTATGTGTTTAACAATTATTCTAAACTGATCTTATTCAACAATTTCATAACATATTCAGATTTTTTTATTTTACAGTGAAGCCGTTGTCGGTGAAAATTTTATCAAAACCGACCATTCTCGAGACAGACAAAGACTACTCCATTACTTGCGAAACAACAGGGTCTCATCCTCGAGCACGAATCACTTGGTTAACGAAAAACAACGTCTACCATAATGGCAAAGTAAATAACAATGATTTTGTTACTATCAATCTTTGTAAAATGTGCAACAACATCGTTCGTTGACAAAAGTTTCGATGTAACAGATAATCGATGTTGGAAACGCTTCGGTGGTTTTGAGTACGCTGATATTTTCACCGGTCCCGGACGACAATGGAAAAATCCTGAAGTGTCGAGGGGAGAATCCAGCACTGCCAGATGCGTATTTAGAAGACTTCTTTCAATTAAACGTAGTATGTGAGTATCGTGAAATGTACGGTGACATTGCTTGTTTCTTTTGATAATCAAATACCTTTGTTTTACAGTTCCACCTAAAGTACAATTACACTTAGGTAGCAATTTAAACGCTGAAAAGATAAAAGAAGGGGACGATGTTTACTTCGAGTGCAAGGTTCTCGCCAATCCGGCACACCATAAAATCACTTGGAAACACAACGTGAGTATAATACAGATTTTCGTTGTGTCACCATTTATCTTTCAGCAGACTTTATATCGGAAAGTTCACTGTATAAAATTATGTGACCGAATGACAACTAAAATATTTATTATAGGACGTTGTGCTAACGCAAAATTCTTCGGCTGGAATAATTATGAGTACGCAGAGCCTAGTGCTACAAAAGATAGGTCGTGACAATGCAGGGAACTACACGTGTCTCGCAAGCAATGATCGTGGTGAGACCACGAGTCCAGTGGTAACTTTACGTGTACAATGTAAGTGAAATTGATGTGATCAAATTAACATATTAGTTTCATCTCTACATGACTAATAATCTTTTACCAATTAATTAAATGTGAACTTGTTATCAGTTGCACCGGTATGTAAGACGAAAGAGGTGTCCGTTATCGGAGCATCGATGGAAGAATCGGTGAAGGTACGTTGCGAGGTGGACGCTGATCCCAACGAAGTGGAATTCGTGTGGGAATTCAACAACAGCGGCGATAATTTCGAAGTTGCACCAGTGAAGTTCAACGGTAATAATGGAACGATGAGCGAGCTCGTTTATACACCAGTGTCTGAAAGGGACTATGGAGCTTTAACGTGTTGGGGTAGAAACATAATAGGGAAACAAGAAACACCTTGTATTTACCAAATTATTAATGCAGGTAATCTTCATGACCATCAATAACTAATGTATTTAACATGCGTTTTATAAAATATGTCATGGTTTACAGTAAAACCAAGCCCTTTGAATAATTGTACGATAAAGGCGTCGCTCAATCAAAGTTCTGAAATCCTGGAAGTAGAATGTGTGCCAGGCTACAATGGTGGATTGAAGCAAGAGTTCCGATTAGAAGCCTACGAGGTTCTCACTGGTAATCTAAGGGTGAACGCATCCAGCGTGTCCGCGGATGTACCAATCTTTCGTATCGCAGTGGCAGATCTTCTTCCAGCCACGCATTTTTACCTCGTCACATACGCAGTGAACGCGAAAGGAAAGAGTGATGTAAGTTTATTGGAAGATATAATGTTAAGAGACTCCGAGAAGCGTACAGGTAACTAAAATTTAATTATTTTCTTGTACCCCTTCTCTTTTCAAAAAATTGTAATGTAATGTTGCCTTACAGACAGTGGAGTAAGTATGGTTCCACTTATTCTGCTTCTTATCGGTTGTTTAATGGCATTCGGCGTCACCGTACTCTCGGTGATGTTGATGATGTATCGACGTAGAGGTACAACTTCTCCGGTACATATCGAGCCGTATATGAAACAACCAATAATTACTCCTCCGGATTCGAGGAACAATTCGATGCTCGATGTTACACACGGAGACCACACTTATTTCGTCGAGTACACGTTAAAACAAGTCACCGATTACGCGCTCAACAATCAACCAGATATCATACAGTCACCACAAGGTAACAGCGCGACCTACCTCCTGACAATTAACATGTAGATGATGATATAAAAAATTAACAATTTATCGTATGTCCTTTCAGACCAAGAAAAAATAAAGCGGGAACCACAGTTATTTTTACCCGTACGACCAGATACACTGTTCGCACCATACGACATTCATAAGCAAGGACTTCAAAGTAATAGATGCAGCGTAAGTTTTTCGCCACTAATCTAATAACTTCTTCGTCGCAAATTTCTTTTCACTCCTCTCTTTACAGTTAAATCCATTTTCCACGAAGTCTTGGGAACCTATTAGCTTCAAAGCTGATCGTAATTTAATGAAGGAAATCATTATTGCCAACTCTATACCTGGTCCAGAAAGTTGTGTGTAAATGAAAATTTGAACGAATTGAACGAGTAAACATATCAAGAAGACCGATCTCAAAGCCTAAACAATCGTATGGTTAATTGTAATTGGCATCGAGGTTGAAACATCAAACGAACTGCAACTGGTCTCTTCATCGAGTTGGTGTATATTGCACAAAAAATAAAAAAACATAAGAAACTAGCATAATACGAGCATTGCGACGTATTATGCACCGCTTAAAGGTCAAATGTCTCACTGAAAACCTATGGAAGTCTAAAAAAATCAATCTAGGAATCGTCAAGACTAGTTGCATACTAACTAAACGCTACACATGGTGTATTATTCAAGTTTAATATATTTTGTGTCAAGTCTTAGAAGGTTTTTCCTTATTGTGCCATAAATGTCACCCAAACAATTATAATATTTATTTTAAGACTTTGAAGGCCAGTGTCACTTTAATAATTTTTGCTTCATTATTTTATTCCTATTTCTAAATACAAAAAAAGTAAGGCCGTCAAAGTGTTAAGTTTTTTTTTTTAATGTATTTTATGTTAAATTGAAAGATCTTTATTATAAAGTCTTCAGTTTAAAACAGTTTATGTTTAGCATGAGTGTACCGAATAGAGGTAATGCAAGATTTTCCACTGATGCAAAGATATCCGCGAAAATAAATACTGCATATCAACCATATCAATATGATCAATCCAGCAATCAGTACAATGGAGAAAATTTTTTGACGAAATTTTTTTAAGTTTCTGATTGCATGCCACGCTTGACACATCGACTCTGAATTCCTACGAAACAAAAAACATGACATAACGTCCCTACATATGCCCGTACTTCTGTTTATATTCAACTCTTCATTCATGTTGTTGGAAATATCTCGTTCCACCTGGAAATTTCAAAGCAAATTGTCCGACATCGAGGGTAACTGGTACTAGAATAAAAGTTCATACTTTTTCTTTTTCAGTGCAGGAATATGAAATTCTCAGTTACAGTGGAGTCTAGGTATAGCGCTCTAAAAATTTAGGGATTTAGAAGTTTGTGGAAGCATCGCTAGTATGCATGAGAAAGGGAGCCATATAGCGAGACTGCACTGACAAAAACTTTTAATTCGTATGATATTACTTGTGCATTGTGGAATTTACAGATTTGTCGGCGAACTAACTGGATTACTTTGCATTTCTGGTGTTTCAAAGTTTTGATGAATTCATCGTCATCCGTAACGTAATGATTCTGATCGTAAATTTTCGTATCTTCGTACGGTTTGGGGCATGTACTCCCATCGCATATCATTTTTCCCATAACAAGAAGTATAGTTACTGCATCATTTACAAATGAAATTCTAAAAAAAATTGAAATACTAATGCATTTTGACATTTAAAGTTTCATTTACAACCATTTTTTATGACAAAAATTTAATGTGCAACGAATAAAGTTTTATCATAAAGTCATTAGATTTATAATAAGAGAATAAAGAATATGATACGTCTATTTCAATTTGTTACTGCGATTAATAAGAAAGTTTGTAACAAAATATATTTGAATTTTATTCAATAGTCTTAAAGACAATTTATAACTTATATAGATTGTATCCAATATTTCGACATGTTCTCGTTTAACTCGAGCACGAAAGAATCAAGATCCTCCTTGTCCTCCACCATCTAAAGAAGAAATAATAAAGTGCCCTGATTCTACATTTTGTGGTAAACAAAAAATTAAAAAAGTTGGAAAGAAAAAGGTCCCACAAATTAAAAGAAATATGAAAGAAGAAATTGATAATCCTGATTGTCCATGGTGTAGGAAATGAAACAAATATTTTATCCATTTTTTAATTTTATACCAGTTAAGTATTTTGCCATAACATGCTTATTCACTTGATTATTTCATCAGACCTTTGTACAACAAATGCTTATTTTTTAATGTGAAAGTTTTAACTATTATAAAAAATATATACACATAAAAAATGAATTACTAAAATGTCGTTAATCTTACATTATCATTAATACATTATTAGTTAATTTTTGGCTTCTTCTCTGGTGGTGGTTTCATATCTTTCTTTTCAGTTTTAATTTCTTGTTTGATTTCCATAGCTATAAATCAGTAAACATCAATTATATTTATGTTTCTGCAATATAATTTCAAAATTTAAATAGCACTTACTTGATTCTATAGCTTGATGTGCAGGCTTTGGAACAGGTAATGGGAATTTGCGTGTGAGCTCTGCAAGTAACATGTCTACTCTCTGGCGCTGAAATAAAGAACTTGGTTCCTCACGAACAGGTGTTTCCTTTTTTGCTGCCATAGCTTTTCCATTTTTGAAATCCCAATAATAACCCTTACTGGGATGGTATCTTGAACATGAACTAGCTTCTTCAAAAGCAGACTGTAAATGATGTACTGTGGATAGCTGTAAGATATAACTGCATCAACTAGAAGCATATATTCCTTAATGCTGCTTTAATTTTTATAAGCATCACATACCAATCTAGAGCTTACAACAGATGCTAAATCAGGGGCTTGATATACAACACCAGCAATAATATAATAATCAGCAAGTGGTGTTGCTAAAGTTGGAGAATGACGATGTTGCTTTCTAATTACATATAAAATAGGTTCTTGTACATGTAAAAGCATATATTCAAGACCAGTCATATTTCTGAAATTAATTTGCTGTTCATATTTGTATTTCCTAATTTTTATCACATTTTTACATCGTTTATTTAACTGTTGTTTCTTACTGCAATTGATCAGGACTCAACCGTTGCATTTTAATAATCTCATTGTTACATGTCCTATCATAAAATGGATTACTCCTTTCCGAAAAATAATCCATTATATTGTTTGGATTTAACACAGGTATCCATGCACTGTCGTGCCAAGAGAGTCCCAAAGGATTCTCTATCATTTGCACCAAAACAAAAAGAAGATTATGTAAAATAGTAATGTAGTATACCATATTAACAATGTTTATGTTTGCAAATCTTTTTATTATTACCTGTCACGGGAGGCCTTCCTGACAGCATCTTTATTTAATGCAATAAATACTTAAAAATATTCAATATTGGTTTTGTCAAAATAAATAACTTTATTACCATTTATAATTAATATAATTCCATAAATAAACTGTTATAAGTTTCATATAACTTGCATTAACACTACTGTTTACAACTAACTTGCATATAAATCACGTATACCGTACAAGAACAATACAAATAAACTATACGTTATGGTGTGTTTGGAATAAGCGAGTGAATACTTATTTTTCCCTCGCTTCAGTAAAACTCGAACGAGCATTCTTTCACCGCTTGTTATTGTTCATTGGTTTGGATAATCAATGTGAACGAATATCCTAACAATAGAAATATAGTTTGGTTTGACATGATTCAAAATATTCAGACTGAAATTTGTCTGCATTCGTCGGTTTAGTATTACTGAACAGATTCGATGATCATTTATATGCTGAACGAGCACGAACCAATGTTCTTGCACTACATTTTTGCTCGTTTAATCTAAACGCACCCTTACAGTTGTCGACTGTAACCACCAGTGATTCTCAAATATCTTGAATACTTAGTTTTCAATTTTAAGATGCTCATTAATGTAAATGTATATGTTAACAATTAATTATAAATACTTATTTTAGTATTTTGCATAAATTAAAAGAACAAACATTTCTGTATGGTTTTTGGAATTTTTTGAACTTGAATTGGTTCTAGTAACAGTAGGAAGATATTATTCAGAAACATCAATTGAACATCACTGTTGAAATAAAGAATGCAGGACATTGTTCGCATATAGAACAGTAGCTATTAGGAAAAATGGGTCAAATGCAAAAAAAGATGTTGGCGTTCGAAGGGGAATGGGTCACGGGCATGTAATAGTAGAACACTACGTACGTAAAACAAAATATTTACATTTGATTGAAGTTAATTATGTTTTTATACATAAAATATAATCCAACGAACACAGAAAATTGTATAAAATTAACAAAAATAAATTGTCAAATATTTGATTAAACATGTTATAAGTATTTTTTTAATGATAAACTTATGCGTCATCAATAAAAGTTGTTTCATATTATTACTTTTCACAGATTCTGTATAAACTCAGTCTTTATACATTAATAAGATTGTTCAAAATGTTTATGAGGAAAGAATCCAAGAACTGTGCCAAAACGAAAGGATATATTTAATAATATCTCTGGGTGTCGGTGAAAATTTTACATAATAGTGGGGATATGCCCAGGAGAAGTATCATTCTTAGCTTAAGATGATTCTAATCTGAAAACTATTTCCGTACGACGAGATACGTCCAGGTGAAGCACGGTGACCCTAAACTTGGTCAATTTCTCCTTATTCACCTATAAAAATACGGTAAGGACATCTATTGTAAACTATTTATTACACTCATTGACACATGGCACCTTTGATACCTGTCAGGCACAGGTTGTTAAACACTTTTTCTCTGAAGAACTTAATCAGCTACTTTAGTCACTCATTTTATTTTTTATGAAATATGTAATATTTAACCTTTCATGATGCCATACATTTTTTGCAGTATTTTCATATAAATATTTAAATAAAAAAGATTTTGATTACCAGATAATATTTATATTATTTATTAAAAATTATAATTTTAATATATGTTTTTAGTACAAAAATATGAGTGCTATTAATAAGGAGTATAAAATAGTACCTCTTCACAAACGACCAGATTTAATTCCTGACTGTTGTGCATTACTTAATTCTGAATGGCCACGGAGTGAATCTGCACGGTATACTACAATACTTATTTTGTATAAAAATTAATTCAGTTTTTAGAAATTAATTTAGTTTTTATATGGAATAGGTTAAAGTTTTTAAAGGCATCATGTGATGAATTTCCCACATGTCTTATACTTATTGACAAAGAAGACAAAGTTCTTGGTCATTGTAAGATATCCTTAATACCTAGATTACGACATAGTTGTTTTATACAATCAGGTAAGCATAAGTTAAAATTAAATTTTAAATAGAAGATTATAAACACAAAACTTGCTTTCTTGTTTCAGTTGTAATTGATTATGAATACAGATCTCAAGGTCTTGGATCTAAGTTGTTACGTGGAACTGAAGAGTATGTAGCAAAAAAAGGAATCAAAAATGTGTATTTAAGAACTGAAGGACAAGAAGTTTTTTATTATAAAAATGGATACAGACCTTGCGATCCATTTAAAGCATTTGGAATTAACGATGTTGTGTATTCTACAGCAGCATTTACTAAAGCATTACTTAAAGAAAAAACTACAGAGTGTTGTGGACCACAACCACCACCAATGCCAAATTTTAAAATGCCAAGTTTTTATGATTACAGCGTTACAGCTCATAGGATACATATGGTCAAAAAATTATCTTAACAGTAAAATACAATAATAACTTCATACTTATGGATGATTTTTTCATATTCCATGTGTAAATGTTTTACAAAACATATATTATTTATTTATTTATAAAATTATTTTTTTAATCGTTCTTAAATACAAAAATACTTATTATGCATACATCTCATTTATGTGTCATAATACATTATAACCATTCCAACAAATACTCAGAATTATATACTTTTTAAATGTTTCAATTATTATCAAAATATATTTTGAGTAAGCAGAAATTTACTTTTTAAAATTTCTTTCTTATTTTTATACTTCTAAAATATAAAACAACTAACTTTCAATTTTATATATACCATGTATATTGCATTATTTGAAAAAAAAATCAAAGAATTTAGTTATATCCAGTCACGTTTTCTCTTATACTATGAAACATTTGCAATACCACAAACTTTTTGATAGTATTCTGGTTGTTGAAGACTTTCAACAAGAAAAGCACCTAAGTCATGCTTAGAAATTGCTCGTCCAGGAGATTCATCAATTGTTACTAAATACTTTGAACCTCCTTTTGCATCTAAAAACAATCAATAAAATATGTATTCATATTTCATTACATTATTATAAACCATTATGTTTATTATAATACATACCTGAAATATGAGGTGGTAATACTGCAATCCATTTTAATTGACTTTCCTTTAGAACATCAAACATTCGTTGATGATCTTTAGTTATATCTTGAAATATACTAGGAACTGCTTCAGGTTTGTAAAATAAGAATTCTGTAAATAGATAAAATATTATTTAAAAGCCTAAAAAGTAAGGTTTAAATGAAAAAAAAAAAAAATGAAATATACCAGATAAGCAGACAGATACCACTTCTACATTATGTTTCTTCATACCTTCTATAATATTTTTCATACCCTCTGATAACACAGTAGTTGGACCTAAATACAATTTTAGAATAGAAGTTAAAGCCATGTTAGGCTGAAAAATTAATATTATATATAAAATATAATAATTACTCAAGCTGTACCGTGTGCCAAGTACAACAACCACTGCATCTCTATTAGCTATTGCATTTGAAACTTGTTCTGCATTGGTAACATCTCCAACAACTATTTCTACTTTATCTTTCAAATGTGCTGGAACTTTGTTTTCATCTCTTACAAACACCCTTACATTCAGCCCTAAAATTTATTATGTGTTATAAAATTGAAAAACAAAATTAATCAGTACTCAATTTATATTTCTTAGTATGTACCAGATTTTTATAACTATAGTAATAAAATATTTGTTATAAGTATAATGCAAATCATTTAATTTCTTGATTGAAAATAAATTCACATTTTTTGCTACCGGATAATTGCCGTGATTAAATATTTCCCCCTTACTATAAATAACTACTATCATATATTAATTTAAACAAATTATAGTATAATTTTGGCCCATATAAAAATAAAAAAAACGAATGATATTTTACCCTTATTTACAGCGATATCTAAAGAACATAATCCAGTATTTCCTGTAGCTCCAAATATCACTATTCGGTTCATGATAACACCGTGATTCTTTCTTTGGTCTGTAGCCACGAAATACGTTTCAAACTGAAACCTTGACAGAATCTCTGGATTAGAGAAATCTCAACTATAGAACATCTGTTTATACGACTAAGTATATTTATTCTTTATTTACACTATGATGTTAATTTTCAATTGCTAGATACAAAATAGAACGAAATAACTTACACTTGCTACACACTCTAGTAACAACTCAACAACTGCTAACAACACTCCAGCGTTAATAGTTCTATATACAATGATTACAAAAATTTAGATGACAAACAAATTTATAATTCGACTTATTATCAGTAGATTACGCACTTATCGATTTCGAGATTAATTGGGTGCTGTTTATTACAATTATTTTTTAAATTTAGTTTTTATTTATAATTTATTTATATTCTTAGTTTTTATTTATACGTTCATATTTCCGAATTCTAAATTATGATTTTTATATTCCCTAGATCATTGAATCGTAAAATCACTGTACCTTTAATCGTTTACACATATATGTATATATTGTATATGTGTGTAATAAATAATTAATTGTAATTTTTATTAGTTTTTGGAATTAATAACAGATGCAACTCAATTACAAGATCATAACAAGCAAAAAATATAATTTGAAATATGTTAGTATTTTATTGAAAAATTTTTTTGTAAATATATTTGTATATAAAATTTTTTACTGTTATTGTTTATTACATGCCCATGTATCAGTTCAATGCTAAAAATATTTTTCTTATAAAATAATTTGCAATGTAAAACATCTTTGGTATCTATTATTTCTAATTAAAAAGGAATAATTAAATTCGTATTTGTATAAATAAAAATAAATTATTCATATTACGTTTTTACAGTACAATATTAATGACATGTCCAGTTGTTATTTTATTATTACTATTACAAATTTAGATATTTGTTAAACATAATGAGAAGGTGGCATCATCAAATCTTGCAATGTAGTCAATTGCTCTTCTGTAAAATGTTGTGTATATTCCTTCATATTTCTCCATCCGCCATGAGTTCTTTTAAAATCGTCAAGAGTTTTCTTAATTGTCATCTATAATATTTGATATATTAATTGCATAAGTTATAATCAATTCAAGTTTATTATATATATACATACTGACCGGTATAGGTTGTGGATCAGTAATATGAGGACTAAGATGTTCAAAAATTGGAGGTATATGTTTGGGTACATCATATGGATGAGCTTGAATGAATGCACACATTCCTATTACAGCTGCATGACGAATACGTATGGCGTCAGTTTTTAAAATCCTTTTTTTGTCTTCACTAATGTTTTTTGAACGCCCTTCCTTGTACAGTTTAGTTTTTGCCTTTTTCTTAAATTCATCCTAAAAGAGAATAAAAGATTATACCAATTACTTTTATTTTTGTAGCTTTCAAAATAGTTTAAAGATACTTGCCAGCAGACATTCTTGATCAGGTATAAATGTACAATGCAAGAGTCCACTAAGAACTTTACCAGCAGTTTTTCTAACTTCTACTCGTTCATCTTCCAACAAACGTAAAACGATGTCTTTGACACAATTGATCCACGATAAATCGCTTAATAATGTACCCATGTTATGAAATACCCATGTTTGAAGAAGTTCCAGACAAGCAGATCTTGTCCACCAAGATGTATGTTTTGACATTTTTTCTATCGCTTCTAAAGCTATTGGTACATTACGCGGTAAGGTAAATGATTGTGCATAAACTGCTAAAGCAGATTTGCATGATTTTTTCAATTCTTCATCTGTTGCACAATTTTCTAATTGATATATAATTGGAAATATTTGATAAAATTCTGGTGGCAATAGAAATAGTAAAGAATCTATTCTTGTAATCATATTACAAACTGTTGTAAGTAATCGTATTGATCTTTGTTTTTCATCTTCACTTATTTCTGAATTTTTTGAATGTTTATCAAGTTTAACGATAGATATTTGTTCAGACAACGTCTCTAGTTCCTTATTTGATTTCATTGCATTATCATTAACCAGAGGCTGTAATTTTGGAACTATTTTATTCAAGAAATCTTGTATTTGCGGTAATGATTGATCTCTTGAAGTATTCGATGATCTCAAGTCTGCACAAAATACTGATACTAAAACAGAACTTAGTGTCTCTCTCACATTATCAAACGGATTTGCCAATAATCTATCTTCAATATGTTTCAATAACCGTCGAAATAATGCTGTAACACGCCATGGCTGTTTCATAAGAACTGCTCGCAAAGTCTGTAGACGTCCGCATTCAATAAAAGATGACTCTGATTGGCCAAAACAAGTTTCTTCCATTAAACATTCCAATAACCAATGTTGTCTGTTCGGGTCTCTATATTGCTGTGCTTTAGAAAAACAAATGACCCAATCGGTAGTAGTTTCTGGAGTCAAATTAATCAAAGCAAGCTTTATAATTGGTAATAACGAATCCCACATTTCACAAACCATGTTAAATGGCCAATGTTTTGAACCTTTAATAATTCCAGCAATAATTTCTGCTGCACATCTCTGACTGCCTTCTTGTTTATCAACCACTAATTCTTCTAAATGTGGTAAAAAGTGTTTTAAAAACACTATTCCATGATTACGAAAGAGACCTTTAAAAAAAAGGTATTTGCTAAATTGATCTTTATCTTTTTTTGTTTCAAGACTGTAAAATTTGATCAGTTTTTTAATATTTTCTGAATTATTAAAAAAGGAATCTATTTCAATCTCATGATTAGTTAATTGTCGTAAATCTGGATCTAAACAAGGTTGTTTATCTGATGGTGCATAAACTTTTATGTCTTTTGGCCATGTATAATACCCGATATAGGGCTGGTGAATAAATCTAGGTTCATCCCATTGCTCTGTGGTCAAAGGTCGGGTTTCATAATTATACTGAAGCCAAGCATTATCTGGTCTTTGTCCAAGTATGAACTTCTTACATTGATCTTTCTCTGATTCATCCTTCTTTGATGATATTGGTAAGTCAATGGTTATCTTAAAATTCAAAAATTGTTGATTTTTAAGTTATATTAAAGTTATTTAAGTAATGAATGTTTTCGCTAAAGCGCTTTACCTTTGGATGTTCTCTTTTTTGTTGTTGCAACATACATGTAACTACCCGAAAAGCAATATTTCTTTCGCTTAATGAATCGTGTATCAATGTTTCTACGAAATAACGAACTACTTCTGGTGGATATATTTGTTCAGGATGCACCAAATGTCGAATAAAATCTAATGCCATTAAACGATGTCTCCAGTGCAAATTTTTTTCCAGAAGAGCATTTAGCAAATCCGACACTAAACCTTTGTAAGAGGCTAAATTAGTTTCATTAAACATTTGTATTATTTTTAAACCTTTTGTAATTTCATCTTCACAAGGTTGAGGTAAATTAGGTCGTGGATAAGTTTTCCATAAATCAGTTGAAATTGTCAAACATACGTTTGACATTTCGTATGTAATAGCAACCGTTGAAAACTGGCTATTTATAAATTTTACTAAATCATTCTTCAAGCGTATTATAGACAATTCTTCGGATGGTTTGGAAAGCACCAAGGCAGACCACAGAGATCTTAGTGTATTCCAATCGTGTCTCATCAAGATAGGATTTTCTTGTGAATCAAGTAAAATATGTAAAACGCCCTATTTAAAAAAAATGTTTAATGTTCATTATTACTAAAAATCGGTTACTACCACTGTTATTATTATTAATGTTGTTACCTTATATGCCTCTTTATTTTCTTCAGGATCCTCTCCTAATATGTCAAGCACTTTTGGTACAATAATTTTCCAAGTAAAGGGAATATGTTGAAAAGCGCGTGAAAGAACGCATCGGGCTTGACATTGTATACTAGCATATCTACTAGTAGCCAATATAAAAAGTTTTAACATTATTTCTTTATGAGTTTGTGTTAAATTAACAATTCGTAGATATGAACGTGTTGCATGTTGAGTTTCTGCACGCAACAATATACAACACCCTATAAGTCCTTTCTTCTTTACTAATTTATCTTCCATTACTCTACACATACTTTTCAAATCTTTATATCTTGTTATTGACATATTAAACGAAGAACCCGTTCCTAATAAAAGACTACTCCAAATCTAAAATTAAAAGTTTAAATTTATGTAATTTTACTCACTAGCTTATTTTATGAAATGTTATGTTAAAATAAATACCTTTACTAAAACACGTAGGCATTTTGTACCGCCGTCTGTATTCTTAAGTATTACATCTTGCAGTTTACTCATTAAAGTTACCATATAACGTTTTACATTACTGTTATCTGGCATTAATAGTTTTTCCTTCATACCAAGTGTTGGTACAAAAGGTAGCCACCTTAAAGATGACTCCATCAAACTTAATGGTTCTTCTTCCCACATGGGTAAAACAGATTCACAGCCTTTAATAATGTTGCTTACAATATTTAAACTAATCAATAATTCTTCCCTAAAATCATATATTTATGTATTATGCGATGATAATTTAATTGAAACATTGTAAATGTTTTTAATAATTTACCATGTTAATTTGCTGCAATCTTCACAGTATTCTTCCAGCTTACTCACTTCAGGCAATAAATATTTTGAGAATATTCGCTTTATTACATCCATTTCTTCTTTACCAGGAATATACCACTTGACGTTCAAACTGTTAATATCCAAAATTTGTGCCCAGTATCGAATTCTATCAGTAGATTCAAAATGATATGGCGCCATAGTAGATAAGGAACGAAAAATAGTATTTAATAACATACAAGCTAAATTGTTTCCTTCCTTTGATTTTAAAATTAGTACGTGATCAAGAACAGTTGTCAATGTTTCTATATGTGGTAGTAAATTGTTTCCTGTTGTATTAACAGTTGCAGATAACAACAGCATTACATGTAAAAGACGTTCGTCCAAATTATCTTCCTTAGTAATATCGTTATTTTCACTCGTGATACTTAAAATAGTTTGTGAAAGTACTGGTAACAAAATTCGCAAAGTTTCTTTGCCATTAACACGAGCAAATACCCTGCACAGGCCACCAGCTAACTGTCCAGCAACGTTAATTTCGAGTATACGTTCAGTGATAAATATACGTAATTTATGTAAAGCACGTTCAAATGTTGTATCCTTAATTTGCATTAACAAAACCATGCATACGTCAGAGAACACACTTTCTATGAGATTTTCTAGCTTGCTTTTTTTACTACCAGAAATGTTTTCCAGTCTAACTGACTCTAAAGAACTATAGTCTATAAAAGAGAATATTTTGTCAAGAAACTGCAAAATAAAATCTTCAAATCCAGAAGCTACCTCATCATTCATTCTTTCTTCTTCGTCTGTTACTGACTTAGAGGAATCCACAATAGGTATAAAAGAAGCATAAACTAAAATAAGACGAAAAACAAGGAAACATTTTTCTGGATCATTTGGATCAATGTTAGGTAAGAGTAAAGTGAGCAATGGTAATATGTGCGTTGGCCCTTCTGAGTATGTATAACCTGCAATAAAAAAAGAATTTATAAAAACTACAATCATGTATAATTTAAATACAATTTATACCTTCATTTATGTTCTGAGAACCTTCTGCTAATGGTCTAGCTATAGCTTCCATACCAACCATTGCAGCAATCAATTTATATGATTCTGTTGTAGGAGAATCTAATGTTGAAGATATTTTTTCCAAGACATGTGGAATAACCAAATTGGGTCTCATACTGCTAAGGTATTGCAATGCCTCAAGAGCCTCATTCATACTCAACTTGTTAAACATAGCTACTGTAGTTACTGGCAACATGCTTTTAACAAATGAGTCAATGTCACTATCAGTTAATTTGTAGTTTTCAGGAATAGGTGTTTCCCATGTTAGTTTTGCATACCGTTCTCTGCAATATGGATAGAAATTTAACATTGTTAAAGAAATCTTAAAACTATGTTCTAAAAATTGTAGTATTTTTACCTGTTCAAACGTGTAATAAAGTAGAATGAAAGTTTTAGAAGAATTTCTTTTAATATTGCTAACCACCAACCATTATTTACAGGATGAAAATATGTTTCTATAGTTTTCAAAAATTTTTCAAGATGTATTTGAGCATTTGATTTATTTCCCTGGAAATATTCATAGTTGAAAAAAATACTAGTCAATTCTTACAAATACATTTTTTCCATATATAATGAAACCTTACCAAAACTGCTACTATCCATTTTGCTATGGAAGTTGCATCTACACCATGATGTTTATATTTTTGTGATTTATTATATGATACTGGTAACTTTAAACCTTGCATAAATCTAGTGAACATCAGTGGAATATATGGTTCCCAATTAATATATCCAATATTACAATTAGCTAATGATGCCATTAAATCCATCATTTTTGTTTCCCATTCTGGGACATTATGACAAACCTCCCATAATGCCATAAATTCATCAAACCATAATTCATATCCAATTGAATGGTGCTTAGGTGGTAACTGTACTGGTAAAAACGATCGCAACATTTGCAAACTTTTGTACATTATTGGAAAGTTAAGGGGACATAAAGTTGGCCTCAATTCATCCAATATTTCCTGTGTTGCACTTAACTACAATACTGAATTAATTTCACATCTTTCATCAATATTTCTAAAGAAATTATTTACTTACTGGAAAATAAATTTTTGCACAACGAATCAGACCTTGCATTGCAACTTTATGAGCATTATTGTAGCAATACATTTCTGGACGACTTCCTTTTGTGTCCTTCATCCTGACACACATTTCATAAAGAGGTCGCCATGGAAGTTCTAATTCATCAGGAGATATTAATTTTTTTTTTCTACGAATATTAAAAATAACAAAATCAATTTCTCCAATTTTATATATAATTTGAAATATAAGAATTGGACATAACTTACATTAATAATAAAATTAATGTGTTGACACATTTTAAAGTATAAACAGATGGTATTTTTGGAACTGTAATAAGTTCAAATAATAATTTTATGAATAAGATATGATCTTCTTTACTAAATTTTAAGCCATACAACTTTATGTAACTGTAACAAATATACAAATTTAAGTTAATGATATACAGAATGATTTGATTTTTCTAACTTTCTACCCTAATATGTACTTCTTATTGTAATAAATCTGAAAAATATGTACTCACTGACATAATTTATTAACCCATATATAACAACCTGGCCACACTTCGTGAAATATAACAGCACGTCCTAAATTTGCTTTAATTTCAGCTAACAAAATTTCTGATTCTTTACCTAAGTCTTCTGAGTACGGTAACAATTTATTATATATAAATTTTTGAAAAAAAATACTTTCTAAATTTTTATAATCACAAATATATAAGAGATCTTCGACTTCGTCCATGATTAGCTGATCGATTATTATTATAAGCACAGACGATGTATGGTACGAAACAGTGCACAGTATAATGCCAAATCATGTGTGTTATTGCATCAACAACAACTTGCTTATTCTACTCCGTTTTTATGAAGTCATGTTTAGCATTTCGCGGGGCCATATTTAATGTACCAATTTTGCAAAGATTCAACAAAAAAATTACTATAATTTATGTATTGTGCCTATAAATCTGGCTTCCCTAGGAATAATGACAGCGAAAAGAAACGATCCTCGCCATCCATAATAGTACATAAACATTTACAAGTAAAGGCATTTTTGAAATCGACAAATAATATAACTTTTCTTATTTCTTCCGATTCTTTATCCACTATTCTTTCATTACCATTTTTCTTAGGGAATTCAGATTTGCTCTAGGTGTACATGCACATATTGTCTTATGAAATTCGAAAAAGACCTTTTCAAGATATGTGCAGATATGATACCTATATGAATAAGATAATCAAAATATGTACAACAATTCAAATATTCACTTATCATAGAAAGATTTAGTAAGAAACTAAGAATATCTACCCTTCCTGATTGCACAATACGCAAAGAATGGTAGGGTCATCCTATAGGCAACACGCGTGCACCACTATTTTCTATAATTCAAAAACATGGATTTTTGCAAATTTTTTAATTTTTTAATTTTGAAATTTGCAAATATTGGAATTTTTTGTATTTTGACATTTATAAATTTGAAGAATTTTGACCTGCGTTGCTGACCGTGCTACAAAATTTAATTTAGAGTATGGTGTTAGATTCATATTTTAAATATGTAGATTCTAAAGTAGCTATTAAGGGAATATCATGTTTCTTTCATTGTTTCTTTTTTCTTCGTAAATAAATTGTGACTGAAAAGAAGACACTCTTATATTTTGTTAGCCACGATGTATTTAAAAGAAAGCCAGACGAAGTGGCGGAAAACCTAAATTTCTTTTAGATATAATTTTTACAGGCATATGAATATTTTCATTTGCATAAACTATATCTACATATATATATGTGTGTGTTCCTGGTAGCAATAAATGTAATTACGAACGCGTAACCACAATATTATGAGTTAAAAGCAACAGTGTTATTACTAGAAATACGTGTATGCAATGTACTTGTGGTCATATAAAGATATGGCGGTAGTCGCGAAAAGTCAGTTGCAATCGCAAACAAAAGTGAATAATTAACAGTCAGTATAATGCTAATGTGTAATTTTCTATGAAATTTATTTTATATGAGTTAATATTAGTTATTTAATTGTAAATAATGAAATCTTTCAATGAAAGATTTGTGTATAATTTGTAAATTTTTATTTTATTCCAAAATAAAATTTAATTTCTTATTCCTGTTAAATGTTAGTAATAATTTTGTTCAATACAAAACAACACTACATTTAAAGTAGTAAATGTGCAAACATGAGGACTAGAAAAACATTAGCAATTCTTGGTGCAGGCTTATTTCTTGCCTGTTGTATTATGATATATTTAATGATGGATCTAGCCCTGTTCCCACCAGGACAAGGATCTAAACTTTCTGTTAATGATGTAAGTTTTACAGTTATTTTTATTATTATATAAATTATTTTTATTACTATATTACTGTATTCTTTCAGAATCAGTGGTTACATTTCGAGAATAGACTTGCAAAGTTAGAAAAAGACATTAACAAGCATCACGAAGTTATCAATGCTTTACAAGAAGTGGCAGAAGCAAAAAATTTTGTTCCAGTGATTTATCCTATAAATCATCATAATCAATCTGTATCCTCTAGTTTCTCTCATTTAGGAAAAGTACTTAAATGTAATTTTACTATGCAGAAAGTACCAGAAGTAGATATACAAATGTTAGAGATGTACAGACAATTAGAATTTGATAATGTAGATGGGGGAGTTTGGAAACAAGGATGGGACATTACATATGATGAGAAGCAGTGGCATCCAAATAGAAAATTAAAAGTTTTTGTAGTTCCACATTCTCATAATGATCCTGGTTGGCTCAGTACTTTTGAGAAGTATTATACATTTCAAACACGTAACATACTAAATAATATGGTAACAAAATTGGCAGAAGATAGAAGACGCAAATTTATTTGGGCAGAAATATCATTTTTCCAACTTTGGTGGGAAGACCAATCTAAAACAACACATAATGTGGTACGACGATTAATTCATGATGGCCAACTGGAAATTGTATCAGGAGGATGGGTTATGCCAGATGAATCTGTTTCCCATTGGATTTCTCAACTAATGCAGCTTACAGAAGGTCATCAATGGTTAAAATACAACTTAGACTATGTACCAAATTCTGGATGGACTATTGACCCATTTGGACTTTCCCCAACTATGCCATATCTTTTAAAAGGTGCAGGATTACAAAATGTACTAATACAAAGGGTCCATTATTCTGTTAAAAAAAGATTAGCTAGGCATAAACAGTTAGAATTTCGGTGGAGACAATTATGGGACAATGATGGATCAACAGAAATATTTACACATGTAATGCCATTTTATAGCTATGATGTACCACATACTTGTGGTCCAGATCCAAAAATATGTTGTCAATTTGACTTTTATCGCTTGCAAAATTTTGGTTTAAGTTGTCCATGGAAAATAGCTCCACGAGCTATAACTAAAGCAAATGTAGCAGAAAGAGCTGCCCTTCTACTAGATCAGTATCGTAAAAAAGCTCAACTTTTTAAAACAGATGTGGTGTTGGCACCACTTGGAGACGATTTTAGATACACCCATTTTACTGAGTGGAATGCTCAGTATAATAATTATCAGAAACTTTTCGATTATATGAACCAAAATCAACAAATGAATGTCCAAATTAAATTTGGAACATTAAGCGAATATTTTAATGCAATTAGAGAAAAACATAATTTAAATGAGTTTCCTACATTATCTGGAGATTTTTTCACATATTCTGATAGAGATGATCATTACTGGAGTGGATATTATACTTCAAGGTATATTTAAACACAAGCTAATAACAGTTAGTTACTAACAAATATTTATTAAGTATATTTTAGGCCTTTTCATAAACGATTAGATCGTGTGCTGCTGAGTTTATTGAGAGCATCAGAAATACTGACAACTATAGCTTGGACCAAAGGTAATGATAATTTGGTGGAAGGAACTCTTGCACAGCGCCTGAGCAAAGCAAGAATGTGGCACTCTTTATTTCAACATCATGATGGCATTACGGGAACTGCCAGAGATGAAGTAGTTGTTGACTATGCTAAGAAAATGATAATGGCCTTAAATAATTCTGCTCATGTGCTACAACAATCGGTGGTACATTTATTGAAAACTCCACAAGAATCTACCGTTGATACAGACGCTGTTTATATTTCACTTGATGAATCAAGGTCAAAGAAAAATTTTTTAAATCAGAGTGTTTTAAATCAACTTTTATATTTATCAGATCTAAACAATTTTCTGTCTGCATTTTAGATTACGACATACCAGTGCAGGGGATAAATATGTACTTACATTAGGAGAGGAAACTCCTCTGAAAAAAGTTATTCTATATAATTCTGTCCCTAGACAAAGAACGAAAGTACAGACATTAGTTGTATCTACTCCATTTGTTAGAGTTACTGATCGCATGGGTCAACCAGTACAATGTCAGGTTTCTCCAATTTGGATTGGCCCTGCTGCATTGACTGTTGCTAGATATGAATTATCATTTTTAGTTACTGTTCCTGGATTTGGTATTACAACATACATAATTCATGCTCTGTCTACATCATCATTTCCACGGTATAATTTTTTCTAGTCTAAGTATTGTTTCATTTTGTTTAGTCATTTAATATTTTATTTTCCACTCTACAGGGAGGTACACCTTGCAAATGTAACTGTTTTTAATACAGATATAAACCTTCCAAAAATACTAGGTTTTAATCAAATTCAAGTAGTACCTAATGCACAAGAATTTTCTATTACGCAACGCCCAGAATTGTCAGCTTCTTTTGGAAAATCAGGACTTCTGAAAGCTTTAAGAGTCAATAATACAACAGTTCCTGTTCACTTAGAATTTGTTAAATATAGTACCAGAGGTTCTGGTAAAGATAAAAGTGGAGCTTATTTATTTTTACCCGATAAACCAGAACCGGATTTAGTGTTTATGGATAACAAATGTATTATACACTTAATAACTGGACCTATTGTATCCAAAGTATTTGTAGAATTAGCGTATGTGCGTCACACTTGTACATTATACAATTCACCTGGTAGTGATGGACTTGGATTACATGTATTTAATGAAATTAATATATCAGAAACACAAAATTATGAACTTGCTATGAGATTGAGTACAGATATAGCTTCAGGAGACCAATTTTTCACAGATTTAAATGGGCTTAATGTAAGTAACAGTAAGTGAAATATCAAATCATAAATTTATTAATATGTCTAATAAATAATAATTACTTCATAGATAATTAAACGCCAAAGATTTCCGAAACTTCCTACACAAGGAAATTATTATCCAATGGCAGCAAGTGCATACATAGAAGATGAAAAAATTAGATTAACAGTAGTAACAGCACAACCGTTAGGTGTAAGTTCCATGGCATCTGGACAAATTGAAGTATGTATTTATTATTTATTATAAATTTCTGTAAAAATAAATGATACTACAAAGATTCTAATACTTGATTATAGATCATGCAAGATCGGAGGTTACTTCAAGATGACAATAGAGGATTGGGTCAAGGTATAACAGACAACTTATTAACAAATCATTTATTCACGTTTATTCTTGAAAAAAGAAAACCTCTTTGTACATCTTCAATACCATCAACAAATCACCCAGGAGGACTATTATCATTACATGGTCATTTAGCATCAGAAGAATTATTGCACCCAATAATTGCAATGCATCCACATAATACTTTACCTTTTGATCTGAATGCTCATTTTTCGCCTCTTCGTTATGATTTTCCTATAGGTTTAAATATTGTTAGCTTTAGAGTATTCCCCATTCCTGAAGGAGCTGGTAAGGGTATTGGAATGGTATTGCATCAAGCAGCTATTAATATGTGCTGGAATGACAATTTTTATTCACAACATTTTAACGTTTCTGAATCAGTAAAAGTTGATTTAACAAAGTTCCTCAATTATGTAGATGATTGGATCATTAGTAAAGCTCCTCTCACATTTCATAATGTGGGACCATCTTTGAAATCTCCTATTGTCAATTTATGTCCACACCAAATATTATCAGTTTTGTTCCACAAAACACAGTCTTAGATTAATCCATTGACTTTATTTTACAAATTTACTTAAAATAATATAATGCACTTCGTCGGATACCGGTAGACTGGTCTTATCCAATTTGTAACTGAAAAATGTTGGTAAAAAGATACATGTAATGTTATAAACAATGTAAGCATTTTTACAAAATTAGTGATGTAAAAATATTTTTAAGTGTACAGGCTACTTTTAAGTCTAATTGATTATATTATAATTAATATAATAATATTAATATATAATAAGACTAGGCCTTAATGTACACTAGCCTACTCTTCTCATCATTTTTACTGCTTTATATTTTATAGATATTTGTAAACATAATTCTAAAAACTCAAATTCTTTTTATAAAATTTAATGGATCATAAAAATTATGACCACTCTTTATTATTAAGAATATTTAGTTAAAAATTTTAACTCAATGAAAGTAAATTTAAATTCTACAATGTAACTACATAGAAACAAGTTCTTTTATTTATGTTCTGTAATTATATTAAAAGGGAAGAATCTTAGTTTTCATAAAATGGAACATTTTCATACTAGTCGTAATAATATTTTAGAAAATGTAATGTATAGATTTGCAATGTATACATATTCTATTACAAATATTAAAAGATCTGTACTAATGTTAAGAATGTAAATAATTGTTTTTCTGTGTTTCTGTTTTCTATTAATTATAGATTCTTTGTAATCATTAATTTATAATTTTCTTATTACAATAATAAAATAGATTTTATTACCCAAGAGCATAAAAAAACTGTACAGCTGATGGATTATGTTTAAATACAGTTAAAACTACTTTACGCATTTTGTTTTTCAATGCCATAGACTCAAGAGCTGACATCATGAAATGACCAAGCCCTTTTCTTCGTATTATGGTTTCCAACTGTATTTCATAGCTGTATTAGAAAATGAAATTTGTATTTCTTATTTTTTAATAAAAATTTCAAATATGCATATAAAAAATTCATGTACCAATATAATACTTCTTCTCTGTTATCTATATCAAATCGAAAATGAGAAAATCCAAGATACACATCATTTGAGGATGCAATTAAATACCAAGCTGCTGGTTCTGTTAATTCTTTTTGTTTAACAACTGGATCCCAACCCCAATCACATTGCTCATATAGAGATTTCATGTTACGTTCCATAATATCAAATATCCAAAATCTGCATTCTGGCAGTGCATCCTTAGCTCTCATACAAGAAAGTTCTATAATTTGATTGTCTTTAGTTGTATACTTATGAAAATCATTTAATGGCTCTAAAGGATTTATCACTGAATTTGCTTTATCAACCAACTGTTTAGCAATAGCTTCCTTTTCCGATAGAAGCTGACGTCTTGTTTTCCTTTTCTACAAAAGAATTAATGATTAAAATGTTCAAAGTAACTGTTTATATGAATAATTTAGAATTATTGAAATAATAAATTGTTTGTCTATTTTTTATGATTATGTGATATTTTAATTATTTAATAAATAAACTCAATACCTTCATGATAATTACACAAATGTTTTTGATAATGTAGATCTTTCAAGCCGCACAATTAATGCACCACTATTTGTGTTAATCGTCCAAATAGTATGTATTTCCCGCGTATTTTAAGTATTATGGGTTTGAATTACATTCTCTTTAGTGGTTATGAAATTAAGTTGAATCGGTTCAGTATTTATAACAAATAATAAAAAGTGAAAGTTTATGTAATACATAGTACATAGTTTATTAAACTTTATATACAAAATAAACTACGATATTACAATGAATACTTACAACAAATTCTAAAACCAAATGACGGAAGAATATTAACATTTCACGCGGTTCAAATGAGCATAAAAAATTGCCTCACCACTTAGCCTCGCTTTTTCATAACTCTCCTCTACCACCTCTACTATGTCAGTTTAATACACGATGAACAAAATTTTAGGAAGTTTAGAAATTTACAAATTTAGAATTTTTAAACTTTAGAATCTTTACATATTTAAACTTTGGGAATTTATAAATTTTTGAAGTTTAAGAATTTGAACATTTCAGACATTTATTGAAACTAATTAAAACTACTTGAAACTTTTTAAGTCAACCCATGTCGTACTTAATATAATGTAAAGAATGTGTAAGATTTTGGATCACTGGGTATATACTTTTAGCATTATGATAGTCATGAACGCACATGCGCGTTGTTCTTAATTACAGAATGTACTAAACCAATCATTGTTAATGTGCGCAGAACAAACGAAAACTTGTAGTTCAACTATAATGTTCTCTCATGAATTCTACTATATTATAAGAAAAAATTAAATATCATATTTAATAAATAAATATGTACAAAGAGCACTAATAACATATAAATTAGAAAATAATGTTTTATATAATTCTAAAAATATAATTTGTACAGCAAATGTTTGCATGATTCGATGCTTTGAGAGCCAATATATTTCGCATTGAATCAATTTATTAAAGGAATTAATCATACTGTGCCGAGGGCAATATTATATATTGCGTGTATCGTTACATGATTAATCGTTGTGTATGTACATATATGTATTAATATTTTGATTCTAAATACACGAAGAAAAAGAAAATTACAATTTAATTGATAAAATATCTTTATGTACATAATACATATCTCAAGTGTTCTTACAAATCACGTTCAAGAATTCAGACTTTGACATCACGGATTAATTTGAGACTATTTCGACGAGCTGGCAACAGATGTATTTTGAATTTTATCGTTAGTGTCTAAAACATATTTTTACTATATTTATTACATATTTGTAATTATGTATAAGTTGTTTTCTTTTATTTTGGTTAATATAGGTTAAGTACTATGATTATGTATGAAATATTTTTTCCAATGGTTTAGGAATTCAATAAACAATATATATTGAATGAATATAAATTCGCTAATAACTAAGTGCTATAAAATTTGATTAATATCTTTACTCGTTTAATAAATATTGCATAACTGTTTTTATTATTTCATGCTTTAAACTATTATTATTGTACTACATTACATTAGTATATTTTTTAATATGAATAATACATTTTAATAACTACTATCTTTATTTTATTTCAGATATTGTAACTAAACGTTGAGGAATGGCTGAAAATGCTACTGCATCGAATGCAGAGGAAAAAACTATTTCCTCAGCTATGACACAGTGTTATGAAAATTATATTATAGTTGATGTTGGTGCCAATCTTACAAATAAAAAATATAGCAGAGATTTAGATAGTGTAATTCAGAGAGCAAAGGATGCTGGGGTACAAAAAATTATGGTAACAGGTGCAAGTATTCGTTCCAGTAAAGAAGCATTACGGTTAACCAGGATATATCCGGGTACTCTGTATTCTACTGCTGGAGTACATCCTCATGATGCCAAGTCTTGGGAAAATCCTGATACTTTACAAGAACTTGAAAGCATAGCTAACAATCCAGAATGTGTAGCAATAGGAGAATGTGGTTTAGATTATAGTCGTGATTTTTCTGATCCTGAGACACAACGTGCTGTATTTCATAAACAAGTAGAACTTGCATGCCAGCTAACCAAACCACTTGTAATACATGAAAGAGGTGCTCAAACAGATGTCTTGGAAGTCTTGGATCATTATAAAAGTTGTTTACCACCAGTGTTAATTCATTCATTTATTGGAACTGCAAAAGAAGCACAAATTTATTTAGATCATGGTTTTTATTTAGGAATTACAGGATATTTATGTAAAGATAAATCTGATAGCGGAGTAAGACAATTATTGGAAAGAAGACTTGCACCTTTAGAAAGAATATTAGTAGAAACAGATGCTCCATTTATGTATCCAAATACTAGAGCCAGTAAGTTGCCTGTACACGTTAAAGATGCTCTTACTGAAAGATCCATGACATTTCTTCATCGATATTGTACTTTTCAACGTAATGAACCATGTGCCTTGCCTGCAATAGTGGAGATGGTAGCAGCATTTATGCAAATTTCTCCAGAAGAGGTTGCCTTAGCTACTGCTTTCAATGCTTTAAAACTGTTTGGTTTAAATCAGTAATATTAATAATCATTTGTAACTATAAAAAAAATGGTGCTACTTGGTGCTATTTAATATTTTGTTTATTTTGTCATCAATACATCACTCCTTCTCATGTTTTAAAATATTATTAGTTTACGGAAATATATCTTTTATAATAATAGTGACAATGTCGATATAATTTACTGGCAAAGAAGAAAAAAAGGAAGGAAAATATGAAATGATTTATGTATTAATAATTATTACCTATATGTGTTACTTATATTCTATGTTTATAAAAATACTCATTGATATATTCAAATTATTATATAAGACATTTTACTTCTTATGATGTAATACAAATTTTGTAGAAGTATGTATAAAATACATATAGTCCAGAATCATACAACTTTATTGTTGATGTTACAAATATTTTCATATAAATAAATTGTTAAATGAACCATTCACTACACATTTCTTTTTATATTGGAATTCCTAATTTTAACAACACTTCTAACCCTGTGGAATATTTGCAATATTACATTTTGATTGTATAGCTCGCTGAAGATATGATATTTTTTCACCATAAGATAAAGTTTCCCATAAATATGGATTTATAAGAATAACATAATATCCTTTCATTGTTTCAATTGCTTTTAATGGTAACAGCACTGTACTTAATATATTTCCTTTATTAATGCAATATGCCATTCTTGGAAATAAAAACAAAAGAATTCTGTAAAAAATAAATATATTACATTTATATTATTATCATATAAACATACTTAAAAAATGCAGTATGCCTTACTTGCTACATTCTGATGGTACAGCCAGCTCATCAACACATTTAATGTCTTTATAGTTCCTAATATCCAAAGGTAAACCATTTGGTTGTATAACAATAACATGATCTAAAATGATAAAAGGAAAAATCTGAATACAGAACTTCTGAATATTAATTTCACATTATGACTGTTCCATTACTTATTCATTTCTTACCAATTAATTCACCAGATTTTGTTTTTAAATCACTCTTTATATATTTAGCATCTCCTACTGCCCTTTCCAAACTTTCAAGAAAGGAAGGATCTCTATTTCTCATGTTATATGTATAAGTTTTGTCTAATATAGTTTCATTTATCATAGGTCCAGTATATTCAGGATAAAGGAGTCTAATACACCAATATAATTTTAAAACATTCAACATAGTGTATTTATTTGTTACTTTCAAATAGTGAGTTTCATATATAACAAAAACTTTCTCTATTAATTCTGGACAATAACAATCCAATGAAAGCAAACGAAAAGCAACAGATGCTGCATCACTCAAGGGATAATCATAACTTTTAACGAAATCAAGTAACAATGTTTGTATACTTTCCCAATTTGGTGGTTTATAATTAGCTATGATAAGACTTTTCATAAAATGATCAATGGAAGAAGTTGTACATTGATCTAAAACACTTCTATTCTTTAAAAGTATTGAAGACAAATAATCCAGCAAATCAACATTTCCATGACGCATTTTATTTAGATATTTTAAAATAAGCGTACATTCCATAAAAGTAGTGTTGTTATTTAATACAGCATTGCATAATGCATCCACCATTTCTTCACTATAAAACTCTATATTTCTGTGGACAGAATTGAAATAATAATAATGAAGGAATCAAATTAACTTAATTCAATAATTTAATACTTACCCCTTTACAACTTTATTAGAAACAAGAGAAAGTAATGATTGTATCTCCATGAATTCTAAATATTGACAATTGGTTCTTATTTTATTTTTTACTTTAAATAAAAGTCTTGAAGAAACTGGATTCCATTTTCTTAAAGTACATAATGCACGAAAAACATCTTTCATATCTTTTGGCTTTATATCATGTCTGCATAAAATATTAATAATGTAAAGTTTTGTTTCTGTATCGTGTATAATACAAGAAAACTTGAGAGCTTGTATTAAATTATAACTTTGGTCATTAAGTTCAAATTGTGCTCTTTGTTGAAAAACTTTGGGCAAAGCAATACATATAGATTCAGTGAGTGGTACTTTATTTTCTGTGGTACTTGAGTATTCCTTTAATACATTGTACAATAGCATTATTTGTCCAACAGATAAATCATTCACTTGAACACGTACTAATTGAAGTAATGATTGAACCAGTGAAGAGTGAACAGATACATTCAAAAGCAATAGAGTATGTAAAACTGCTACAAGATCATTTATGGGTAATGATCTTATTCCTGATGGAATTAATTGACACATATGTACAAATTCTTCAGAATTTCTTATTTTCTGCTTGGAAAGTGTTTCATCTTTTATTAGCGCATCTCTCAAACTAATCATAGCTTGAAGAGCCGTTTTTACATCCATATCTTTATAAGTTTGTTGAATAGTTTTAATAATGCTTTTAGGATCATTATCTAAATTTAAGACATTCTCCACATTTGCTTTTTTTTCATAATTTTCTAACGTTTCACGTGCTAAAATATCTGCAAATTACACAATATTAGAAAATTTAAAGAAAAATTAAAAGTATTATAGTGTTTATTACCTTGAGTAAAATTTACACGGTTTTGCAATCTATTATAAAATGGTAAATTATATATTTTTATTGAATCTTTTAATAATATTCTAGTAATTTTGTGCATTTTATAAATGTACCATATCAATTCGTTGAAAATTTATTTTATATTAAATTTAATGTTTTTACTATAAGTAACAGCGTGTTCATACTCAGCATACAAGCAGTGACTACAGATACAACAAGATTGAAGATGTTTTTATTTTCTGGAGTATATGAATCTGTGACTCGAAAACGAGCGCCATCTACTTTATCTTTGTATAAAATTATGAAACACTGTGTATTCATTTGTTCATCATCATTTGTTCATGTATACAACTAATGGGGTGGAAAGCGCACGCACAAGATTGAATATGAAAAACTCTACAGACTTTATGTTGAACGAACAGTATTTATATATATATGGTGGATTAAATTTTATCAATCAGTGACTAATATTATTCATCAAAATGTTGACGCATGGCTGAAATTTGTGTGTCGTTGCTTTTTTACGTTAAATAAACGTTAGAAAAATGTCAGGCGAAATAGAAATGTTAGAAATAAGTAAATATATTTCGTCGAAATTATGGTATACATCTCTTATCATTTCCCAAGAAAATAATAAATATAAACATCTTCTGCCTCAGTGTAATAATGACACTGTGGATTTCATTGAGCCCAGAACTTTAATTACAAATTTAATGTAAGTATGTTGAAATTGTACACATAGTAAAATAGATCACTAAATATTATTAATACAATAATTAAAATTGCATGATCTATATATTTGACTTTTTTCATGTTTATTAGCCACACGCAGAATGAAAATGAACATCAATGGATTATTTACACATTATTACAGAGACTTATTGACAATACTACTTTAGATATTAAATGTATTGAAAAGCAACAAAGTTACATACAACGATTACATGCTTTGTCTTTATGCAAAAATTTAACAAAACATTCACAACAGGTATTTAATCTCGTTTGTTATTATTCATGCATTTTCTATTTTATAAAGCATCAAATATATTTATAATAAATTGTGTGTATACATTTTATAGGAATTATTAATGTTATTAAAATATGACTTAGAGCAACAGAGTTTAAAAGTTTTTAAGGAAAATGATAACGAATATTTCATGCTTTTGAAGCAAAATATATGTAATAATCCAATTATTGTATGTTGGATCTTCAATGAATTAATATTAATCTATTCTAACACATCAAGTGACATTGTTTATACCTTACAAGATTTATATTTTTCTCTTATAAAAGAATTGTTAGAATTAAAATTATTTAAACAAAATGCTTTTGGATGTGTATTGTGTATTATATCAAAAATGAATATAATCAAGCTTGATATGGATTTATTATCCACGTTGCTTTTTCCTGCATTATTGAAAACATGTAATATTCAAGATATTGAATCTGCATTATATTCAAGGACAAACAAAACATTTTTTAACAAGTGGTGTATCTTCCTTAATGAAACTTATGCACAGTCCAAAGTTGTTAACAATTTAAATAATGCATTGAAAATTCAAGAACAATTATTTCATTTTATTAGTTCATCTAGTCCACTTATAAATAAAAGTAAACTTATAGAAAGAGTGGCTAATATGAAACTACACTGGGTTATAGATATTTTGGTATGTTATATACAAATTTGTAAGTTAATATTATGCAAAACAAAAGAAGGGTACAATCCTTATACTTAATTTTATTTTTCTTTTAGGATATTTGTTATATTTTAATAACATATGGAAAATATGATGACATTTCATCCATACTGTCCTGTAAATTAATAAATATTTTTTGGCCTGTTTTGCTATTCAAAGTTCTAAATGAATATTCACAGAAAGAAATCCCTTTGAATGGGAATGAAGAAAATTATGAATCTGTATTTAATTCAATTAATTTTTTAACATTAAAATATGATTTCAATGCATTATGTGATTCTTCACTAAATGAATTGAAAATTACTTTGAAAAAAGATATAAAAATTTTACAATATATCTTGAATTGGATGAAAGAAAATATTGACATAAAAGATTCTAATCAAGTTCAGGAAATAACAGAATTGATTGACTTTCAACAAAAAGGTTCTATTAAGTGGATATTCAACCTTCTACAATATTTTAGTACCCTATCAGTGTTGAAAATGACTACAAATATACATGAAGATCACGATAAAATTACAACTTTATTAGAAGATCTTTCTGAATCTAAAAATATTTTTTATGCATACTGCAGTATATTAAATGCTCTAAAAGCTATTTTATTATGTGATACTTATAATTTAAGTCAATCTACTATTGCAAATTACTTTTCTAACATGCAACATTATGTACAAATGTTACATCCACTTAGTTTGCGCATTCAAGTAATAGAAAATATATTTTGTTTACTTTTTTTACAACATAAAGATTTTGATCATATTCCAAAGAGTAATGAGAAGAACAATATAAGTGTTTTTCCTGAACAATCAAAATTTGAAAATAAATGGATAAGACAACCTTTAGAAACCTTTGTTTGTAATAAATATGCAGTAAGAGATGTACTATTTCATTTGAAAAATATTATATCAGCTACAGAAACTGAATATACAAAAATGAAAGAAGAAAATGAATGTACAAACGAAATAGATCAGATTCAAAAACATATTTCTTTCATTAATCTAGCAGTAACTGATGCAAAATGGAGATTGGAACTTTATACAAATGCACAGTTCACTGAAAACACTGATATTGAAGAAACAGATAAAAGTTTTACAAATAAATCTGAAACCAAACTTTTGTCAGAAAGAAAGTTAAATCATCTTAAAGAAAATATACTTTTTTATCAAGAAAACAGTATCACAGATGACACAAAAGTCAAGTCTAATAGCAGTTCTGAATCGGAACCAATACACACTAATACTAAGCGGCGAAAGCGTTCTAAAAACACAGCAACAACTATAGATAATATAGTAATAAAAGATATTAATCGTAAACCATTGTTCATAAATTGTTTATTGGCTACCAAAGAAAGCCTCATTATACGATGTTTGTGGATGAATAATTACGTAAAAGCCCAAAACATTATAGAGGTAATTCCATTAATATTGACAATGTTTTTATATGTTTCTTATTGCAGCTTCAAATATTTTATATGCATCTTCTTCAAACTCAGTGGGTTCATATGTAATCAATTGTTTTTCTTCTGTCTTTTCTGTTGGCATACTTAATATACCAGGGGGATTAGTTGCATAATACTTTTTTGCAAAACGTATTCTTTTTCTTGGAAAGAAAACATTACAGCGCAAACACCAACAACACCATCCTACAAAATTATACATTGCTATTACGAATTACTTATTGAAATCATGTCTGATAATATTTTTCAGTCATATATTATACCTTTGTGGCACCAACAGGGAATTGCAAGACATATATAAATTAAAAACCATACTTTAATGATTAACCATATTTTTGATAACGTTTTCTTCACTACAGGTTTATCCATTTCATGCTCATAATTATTAATCAAGCAATCTACTGCCTTAATACCAAGTTTCTTAGACACTTCTGTGCAATTTTCATAACTGAATAGTTTTTTAAGTATTTCTTTCGGTTGTTCTTGCTTTTTTTCAGTATCATTGAACGTTTTATTATTAGTAGTTATATCTTCTGCTATTTGTTCTTCATATTCCTTTTTGAATTTTCCATAATCATAGACTTCTTCTTCTGGTTCTATGTTTAAATCATTTTCAGTAGTGATTGTATATTCATTCTGATGATTTATTTTCGTAATAGGAGTATCATATTGTTCATTATTATGTTTTGCTCGATGGACTCTTTTATAAATGTCTTGATCTTGCAGCTTTTATAATCTGAAAATGTATGCTGACTGAAGTTACATTTTAATTTGCATATGCAATTTATTAATTAATTATTAAACACTTTATCCAGATCTTCTTTAAAACCCGCGATAAATGGTTTATCTTCTTCTATGTTAGAACTTTCCCATATATGTGGTTTTAAATTAGGAAGTTCATTTATATATTGCATTTTATTCACTGTTTTACGTTTATTGTAATTGTCCACATATGAATGTAAAGGTTTATATCTACTTTCATCTTGTATATTAAATTTTAATTCTGCTAAATCTGCAGGTTGTATCAATTCATTTTCATTTTCTTCATCATAATCTTTGCTATCAGATGAAATCTCAAATACTTTCTCATTTTCTAAATTGATCTGCATAAAGTTAAACCATTAGTAGAAAAATTATCTATAACAGTGATTAGAGATCATATCATTTATAGTGCTCAACTTTATACAGTGGTAATGGTATAACAGAAACATTAAATAACAACCATATAAATGATATTTTTCGTAGGAACATGTTTAGCTTCATTTTTCTTTATTTTCCAGACATCTGATATAAAAGGTACTCAATTAAATGGAGAAGTAGAATTTTCAAAAGCATTACATACATTTAAAAGGAATTTAAATAAAGAAGACCATACATTAAATGACAAAACCCACTCTACAGAAACTCTACAACCTTCCATGTTAGAGGTATGTTAATAGAAATCAACTTATTTTTCTTGTAAAATGAAATATTTCACTTAACAATTGTTACGTTTTCGTAGAATATAAGATTGGTTATGCAAGAAGGTATACAGTCATTTAGACACACTAGCCAACTTGAAACCTTTTTGGCATCTCAAGAAATTAATTTGCGAATGTTGAGTATAGGAATTCTTAGCAACAATGAAATATTAACATTATGTGCATTAGATGTGGCATTAACTATGAGTCAAATCTATCTTATTTCATACAATCTGTGTGAAGTTGCAATGAAATATTTAAAATTATGTAAAACACTTGACAATACAGAATATGCACATTTCTTTTTTACACTTCATCAGTTACTATCTGAAAATAATGAAGAATTATCTATAGAAAATATATTATGCGATGCAAAAAACGCATTATCTGTAAAGGAATACAAAAAAAGAGATGATTTTTGGAATGAAATTATGAATAAACACCTCGAATTCAAAAAATCGCAGGCAAACAAAAACACAATCAATAAAATTTTGAAAGATAGTAATTATTTGCCCGGTTTAAAGGTGCTTAGCAAGGTAGCTGCTATTTCTTGTGGAACTAAGAAATACATGCAAAATGTATGTTCTCATTTGCAACTCTTGCACTCGATCGTTCCTACTGAACATACTATACTTACAGTTTCTGATTTATTAAAAGTTCCATTACATTATTGTTTTGGTTATCAAATATTTGAACTTAAAATTGAACCACATAAACTTGAACCAATTGCTCACAATTTACAAGTTAATTTAGCCCATAGTATTCTTACAAATGTTTATCCTAAATTCTTTTATGAGAAAGATGTAAATTATATTAATATTAGAAAAGAAAATGGATGTATTATTTTAAATAAAGCTACATATGATTCGGTATGTATTACTTTTATAAATGACTGTACAATATGTTAGAAATATTATGCAAAATATAAAATAGTAATTTTATTACAGGATGTAAGTTATAAAATTCAAGGACCAAATCAGTGTGTTTCGGAAATATTAACCGAGTTTTTACAAATTTTGTATAATTTAAATTTAGGTCAGTCTCACTTGAGTCACGACATTTGTAGAACTATTTCTAAGCATCCTGATATTCAAAATGTGTTAAAAAAGACATCTCGTCTTGTGAGTTTGGACCTAAGTGAATTATCTGTAGAAGATGACACACTTACTTTCCTTTTAAATACATGGAATCTAATGTATCTACATGCTACTTTAACTGTCTGGGCAAATTATCCTCCTTTCAATAGTTTGCAGCATGCTATTTCGTTGATGTCTATTGGTTACTTAATCGGTGATTTAGGCCTTGTAACCCTTGCTGCACTTAGATCAAAGTTATTAGACAATATTATATTGGATAAGAACCTTTTTATACCAGTTGAAGAACTTAATGAACAAGCATGGCAAGATTTGGATATTACATACAATAGTGTTCATCCAACAGTGTTTTTTATGATGGCTAATGAGTTTTATGGAACACCTTGTATCAAAGTAAGTATTTTTTTTCATATAATTTTTTTATTAATATATTTGATGTATCAGGTGTTTCTTATTAATGATATTTTATCTTATCTTCACAGGTATGTAAGGCCGAATCATTAAACAAGGATTTAATTAGTGCTTTCCACGAATATCTTGATTATTATTCATTAAGATCTGAGAAATCTATACAGAACATAGAAACTCAAATAACAATTCTATTACCTGAAATTGTAAAACGGTATCAAAATTTTATAGCTCAAAATCAGAAAAGTGATTTGCAGGATGGTAGTAATAACGACAACTTGTTTTCAATAAATAATTATTTTAAATCTGATAAAGACATACTTGTGCAATATATGCCATCTTCCTATTCGTATAGTATACTATTGAATTATTTAAATGGTCCTATTATACATCCTCAGAAGCAAACTAATCAATATAAGGCTGTTTGGAAAACTCATACTATAAGGCCAAGTTTATTACAATATTTGGAAAGTCAATGTTGGATCATTTCCTATCTTTTACAAAGGATACAAAATGAAAATCCAACTATTTTAGAAAACAGTTGTGATAATTTGAAACGCACTGCATGTCTTGAAAATCTCTTGGGTTCATCTTGGATCGAAGAAATGAAATCATTATTTGAAAATAATCCAACTCTCACAGCCATTCTTGAAATAATATCAACAAAGCGATTGTGGTCCCATTTTGAATCTATGTTAAATGAAAATAAATGGAATGCTTGTTTAAAACTTGTAAATGCTTTGCCAAGTCATTTGACTCTAAGTACAGAGTTGCAATATTTTAAAGATAAAGTTATTGGTTATATCGTTTCCAAAAAAAGTAGCACATCAGATGTGGGAACATTACAATGTTTGTACCAAATTAAAGATGTGTATGCATTAAGTCAAACAGTATTGTATAATATCAATAAGTGGCATATAACAGTTTGTGAACAAGCTTTGCTTTATGCAGTGTATCATATAGATAATGATAAATTACCTGCACACTGTAAACTTCAATTGAATGAAATTTTAAACAGAGTACTTATTTTTCATAAAATGCTTCCATACTGTGAAACTCAATCTGATGAAAGTTGGTATGACATTGTTTACTGTACAGACAAAATTGATCCATTGCATATTATCAAATCACTAATGAATGCAGACAAATTTGAATTGTGCTTAGAATGGATGGAATGTCAAGCATTTTCTTTAGAGTTGCATCCTATTATGACGGAAGAGTTTTTAATTGGTCTTTTAAAAAGTGAATCTCAAAATTTTAAACAAACTTTGAAGGTAATTTATAAAATACTATAAAATTAATAGCGTATAAGCTATAATATTTATGTAATCGTAACGTAAACATATTTTTTTCTGCAGTTTCTTCAAACATTACCTTTGGATCAATCAATTAAACTATGCAAGATCATACTAAAAAAGTTAGAATCCATTGATTCACTGCAGTTTATTTGTAACTATTTATTACAATATTGTAAAGCAACAGAAACTATAAAATATCGAAGAACTTTATTAGGAATTGATATTTTAAGTGTGTTAGAAGTTCAAGAGAGGCCACTATACATTCATCTTATAAAAGAACCATTGTTAATGTTAGAACAATTACTCATGAATTGTAAATTCGAAAATATTCAAAAAATATTAAACAAAATTCAAAATAAATTAGAACAAGTAAATATTTCAAGAAATAACTTTGACGAGATTATAAGATTTTATGCTAAAAAATCGCTAGATTGTCGTGTTTCTTTACAATGTGACATAGTTGAAACCAGATCAAGAAATGTACAATGTTCTGCTTCAGAATCTGAAAATACTGAATTTGTTATGCCTCTATTAGTTCCTACCAAAGAAGAATGGGTACCTAATGATAAGGTATATAAAACTGATATTTCAATATCTTTCAATAATTTACATTATATAAATCATTTAACTGTTTCTTTCTATTTAACAGGCCAGAAAATGCAGTTGCTGCAAAAACGTTATATTTTCAATGTTTAACAGAAGACATCACTGTCGAAGATGCGGTCGTGTTATTTGTGCAACATGTTCCCAACATCGTATGCAAATTTCCGGTTATCCACCTTCTGTACTTGTACGTGTTTGTGACGATTGTAAACGGCAAACTGCTCTACAAGCACATGTTCTTCAAGGAACATCATCCACTCCAAATAGCGAGGTATTTGATTATTGGCGGCTAACAAGAAACCAAAAACATAATGAAACTATCAGGGAAGAATTTTCATTTGAATATGCGCCAAACATTTCTTTATGTTTGGCTATTCTTAACTTACATTCTGACCATAAAACGTACACTAGGTAATAATTATATTTAAATATTTCTTAATAAAGTTTTTTGATTTAAAGATACTTAGTGAAATGTATTACTGTAGTTTTTTATTAGATTGTTGCGATGAAATGAAGCATCTTTTGCAACCCGTTAACGGAAAAATAAATCCTGAAGTGGATCACGTTGTAATCATCAAAATGATACGTTCTCTCTTGATTGCTGCAAAGGTTAAATGCGCTAAATTGGGCCTCAATGCTGGATTAGTACATTGCGACAGATTTTTGTCACAAGTAGATCTTATCACGAGTCTTGTGCAATCTGATTGTTTGCATCTTATACCATCTGATGATTTACATAAACGAAGATTAAGGAAATTAAGAGATCTTCTAATCGAAAAAGAACAATGGACTATTGCTTTGGATGTAAGTACTAAGGCAGGGTTAGACACACAAGGTGTTTGGGCAACTTGGGGTAAAGCCTGTTTGAAAATGGGATATTTTGATCAAGCACGAGATAAATTTTTCCACTGTCTGGATAAAGTACAGTATGAAAACTTCGATGACTGGGTCATTTTATCATATCCAAAGGAATCAGAAAATATAAGAACAAGAGAAACTCAAACATCAGTAACTAAAACTAATAAAGATGAGAAAAGCAAAATAGATGAGCTTAACTTAAAAAAAACAGAATTCTCCAAAAATCGTCCATTGAAAGATCCACCATTACTGACAGAAATTTTACAAATAATAGATAATTTAAACATGTACAAACAATATGCGCAATATCCCCATCAGTATAAATCTAGCGCCTCTCAGGAAATATTAAATAATTTTGGGAACTTCACACTGACAAGTCAAAGACAACCAAATGTTAAAAATACATTTACAATTATACAAAACCTTTATTACCATGAAAGTCTTTATTATTTGCTAACTTATGGAAGTTATAATTCAATTTTAGAATTTTTCTTAAAACATGAAGAATTTAACAAGTGTCTTACTTTTACCTTACAAAATGATTTAGAACCTGATCTATTTTTCAATGCAGTTTATTTATACTGTTTAAAAAATGGAACTGTTGAGAAACTTCAAGAAAGTATGATAAATAAGGAACCAAGTTTATTAATCTGGAAGAAGTATTTAATATATGTCTGTCATAGTTTAGAAAAAAAGCAATATTTAAATATTTTGTACCAACTGCAACTGTTTATGAAAGACTCTGTGAGAGCAGCAATGACATGTATACGTTTTTATCTTCAAGAAATAACTAGTTATACAGATTTATGTGCCAGAACACATTTTTTAATCGACGCCCAAAGACATTTAGAGTCCGAATTACAACTTGAAACATTGAATAGGAAAAGAAAAAAAAGTACAAGTTCCATGCATAGCAATCAAGGAATTTTAACTATGGAAATGGAGCCTTCAGAAATAGATAAACATATAAATACCATCTGTAGACAGATGGAAATTACAAAATTTCTAGCAAATTGCGAAAAAGAAGGAAGAGCTCCCCTTCAGTTTTTGAACCTATTTCCAGATAAGGATACTAACAGTTCTCATATTTTTGAATTACCGACATTATTTGGTACTCAACAGCAGAAAATCGATTTAGCTGTTTTAGCCATTCTTTGTGGACATAATATTGAAGAAGGATTTGGGATAGCGTTTAGAATAATGCAAGGTTTTCTTCAGTAATTTAAATGTAACATAAATGTTTCATGACACCATTTATCTACTTATCTAAATAATACATATTATTTCAGATTATAATTTACCGCGGCTAAAGATATATTCTTTAGCTGGGCATATTTTGACAATGAAAAACAACATTCCTGCAATTGAACAATTAATTAAGTGCTGTTACACTTCTGGGATTCCAAATTCACACATTATATCAGATTATGTATTGACACATTGTGTCAAATTGTTATTGAATCATTTACACAATGAACCAGAATCAATTCAAAAAAATGATATTCATAATCTTATTAGATTAATAACAGACATAGAACTGAAGGTAAGACTTAATTTTATATAATTTTTTTTATTTTTATGATTATCATTTTCAATTTTTAGATAAATGCATACATTGAATTCAAGCAATTAAAAGCTGCATATCTATTAGCTGTTAAGTATTCAAGGGCACAAGATGTAAGAAAAATTTTAAAAGAATCTGACAGACTTGGTCAAACTACTATTAAAGCAATATGTATGAAATGGCTTCAACGAGAAGGAAAATTGTAATTACAGGATCAATTATACAAGTAAGTAAATAAATGTGCAATATACATTCCCCCTACTCTGTTTTCCAATGGAATGAAATACTAATATATTATATTGAATTTTTAAAAACATGATAATTTAAAATGTTAAAGTTTTATGAACATAAAATGTACAATGCATTTTTATTTTTCAAGTTTTGTACTTTATGAATAGTATATTTATCTTAATTTTAAATGATATAAAATTAAGTGATATATTCTAAAGATTCAATAAAATGTAATCATAAGAAGATATAATGATAGCTAAAAACTTTATTGAAATCATTGATATGTATAATAAATAACACTTGTGAATAATATAAGTAAAATCTATATCTTTTTATAATTTATAATAATTAGTGTATTTGTATGTAAATATAAAATGTCAACAATTGTTATTTGTAAATAAATAAAGGGGAAATATTTAAAAAATGAATATCGAAAAATAATGTTGGAATGTATATATAAACCTCACAGATTCAATATTATTAAATATCACAAATTTAAAGACTGACATTGGAATATACTACTTCAAGCATATTTTTTACTTTTGATTATGTTTTCATGTTCAAAATTTTTTCATTCTTTGAAACTATTTCTAATTTGGTAGAAGTATCATTTTTTTTAATATATTCTTATAAAACATTATTCATAATAGAATGTTTACTTATCATTTTTTTCTTCGTTTACTAAAGCCAACAAACGTTCTTCATACTTTTCTGCGAACAGAGGATCAATATTTTTAATAGACAAAAGAAGAGATTCCTTTTCTTGTTGAGTCCAGTTATGGCTCCATTCTCGAAAAAGTTTTACACGACATTGAAATAGACTGGGAGGTCTATCAGATTCATTCATATGTCCTAAAGTTCCCATTTTTAAAACTAGTCCATTAACAACATCCAAGGGTCCACATTGTTCCAAAAGCACATCCAAAAAATCATTTCTTTGCATTTCTGACCATTCTTGAAACCATTCTATTATATAGCGTAATTGGACTTCATTTGATAGCATTGCAGACATGTTATATCTTCAATAAAATTGAACATTAATTCATTATAACATATGTAGTTATAATAATTTTAAAAATTAGACAGTTTGATATTAATTAAACAAATATAATTGCAATGTGTAGATGTTATAAATGACAATAGATATACATACCAAAAAGTTTATATTTACTGATCTGATGTTCTTTTATTGATTATAATTCATAACATATCCTTTATCTTTGATCTACTTCTTCTAACCATCACAAATTCTTTGAATAATACACTTGTCAATACATATGAAATAAATTTACTACATTATAAGATACTGATATAAGTATACAGATAAAGTTCAGAATATTATATCAAGTTATTAATTAGTCAGTTTAGACTTCTTAGAATTAACTTCGATTTCCTCCTCAGAATCCGACTCGTTTTCTGATGCTAGCCGATCTAAAATTTAAAGAAGAATATTAGTTCTTATAAATGTGCGATTAAACAACTTTTAAATTTCAAAATTACTTTTAACATTAATCGAACTGTTTTGTTTTTCCACGAGATCGGTTAAAAAATCATTAGATTCAATTTGCATATCCTTCAAGCAAGAGATTAAGTGAGTTAAACTTTTTGTATTTATTGGAACTAAGTTATTACATTTTTGATAAATACACTTGTCATCTTTACAAATTCTTATATGTAAACTTAAACTATTCATTATGATTTTGCAAAAATTTTTATTCACGTTACAAAATATTTTCGCAAACACGTTTCAACTTTTATTTACATGGTAGTATAGTGTTTTCTGTTGAGGGACAATGTTCCTCGTGCTGTGAAAATTATATTGTTACGAGAAATTGCTTTCACAATATATAGTAACTAATAACGGTGAAATATTTCTTATTTATTAATGAAAGTACAATATATATATAATCAAGTTAAATAAAATATTTCAAATGGAATTTCGTAAGTTGAATTGTATGTGTTGCTTAAAAATATTCTGTCGCTACATGTAAATACTCCATAACAGTAAATTCGACATGCTCGTCACGTCATTATTGGTCATAGTGGTTGTCATGAATTGATTGATCAAGTGGTGTTTGTATCAAGTGCCCAATAAATTTTATAAACATATGTTGAACTTAGCAAAATGGTTTTACTCGAAAACGATGCGGTAATTTTTCATGCACGAACAACTATTGTTTCCAAGATTTTATACTGATCTGAATTTTAGTTTTTAGTGGAGCTAACACGACTTTTCGACAAATCTCGAATTTCTGGTTCTGTTGTACTAACTATTAAGAGGTGTAAGTATTTACATTGTTATATTGCCGGAATTACAAAATTTGACTGAAATTTACTTTTTTTTTTAGTTAATGGACATAATAAACCAGTACCTAAAGCAGGAAGGCCTCCATTACCGACACCGAGTGAATATCTCTGTTTAGTAAGGGCAACCTTACGATCCAAGAAAATTTCTACTGTTGTATGTTATCAACATACGTGTACAATAATTTATTTTAATTTTTGTGAAAGAATCTAACTGATAAATATTTTGTATTTCAGATTCATTCTAAGGATGTAAATAAATTTCAACAAGCATATTGGAATCTTTTAAAGACAAATATTAATGGTCTTAAAAAATTAAAGAAAGTTAAATCTGCGAAGCCTAAAGTTCATTGATATTATAATATTAATTCTGTAACATTTATATATTATATATTATTATTGAAATTTTTGTGCATATCTTTGTATAACGGAAAATATAATTTTCTTAATGTGTATTGCAATAGTTTAGAAGTACTGCTTAAGAAATAAACAACACTTTGTGTAAATAATGACAATACAAATAAGTTGTTTAACGAAACAGAATATTTTATATTTTTAATCCCAAGTTTCTAGTAAATTTAAAAATTTTGTATTTACTTCCTTTTTTTATAATTCTAGCATAAGTCTTTTGTTGCAATTGCATGTTATAGATTATATGATATTTTGTATACTCATAATCAATTAATAAAAATTATATATGTATAATAGTATTTCAATTAAATAGATATGTGTGTATTAATAAACATAAAGTGGGTATAGATGTGCATTTTATTCAAATCATATTTAATTTAAACACAGTTCAAATGATAGTATTTCTAATTAAATTATTTATTTGCAAAGTAAATAAATTTTTCTTGTCAATTAAAATAGTTATGTAAATGGATTTAAGATAACAAGAACTTAATTATATCGGCACTACCTTTAACCTCAATTTACTGTATGTGTGGAAATCACGTTAATTAAAAATATGGAAGGCGTACCCCTTGACGTAGGCCATTTTGTTGTACGTTCAGGTTTACGGGGATTATTTCTTCAGGGGCAGTTGGAAGTGACTAACAAACTTATAAACCAACATTAATTGCAAGAACATACAAAAATTCAATTATACTGTTGCCATCGTCAAATATAATTTTTATGTATAATGAGTAATTATTAAATAATGAGTATAGACGTTGTTGAAGTATCGTGATTGTCGTGCATACTTTTCTATCGCGAACTACGATCACAGATACAATTTAATTTTCGAAAAACCGCACTAATCACTATACTGTGCTAGTTAAGAAACAAAAACAATGGAGGAAATAATGGGTATTTACATTTTTGTATCAAAAATATTTTATATAGAGTTTGCTATATAGCATATGATGTGCATCATTTTTGTTTTAGAAATCGTGAAAGTTGAGGATACGGTGTTAATGAAAAATACAACATTGGAAAATTTATTTGGTAATCATAATATATAATCACATATGACATGCATACATTTTCAATAATTTTCACATGACCATTACAGATCCAGATAACCCAGGAGAAACTATTATAATGTCCACTGAACATGATTCAAGTGATATGAAAGGTATACATAGTGAACATAGCCTTTTGCTTCATGTTCAAGTTTTTTGTTTATGTTTGCATGTACCCCTAAGTTATGTTATAATACCTAGTTGTATTATTTCATATTATTTACTTTTTCTTTATGATTTATTGTAAAACTTTTTAATATAATTTTTCTAGTTATTGCTCATGGTGGTCAAATTATACAAATTGTAACAGATTATGAATGTGTAACATGTCATCGTGTTTTCCAATCGCAAGATGTAAGATAGTAACTGATTTCTTTTATTTTTTTGAAAACTGAAAGTAAATTACTGTTTTTTATAACATTTCTTATTAAAATTATTAATTATAACAGATGCTAAAGGAACATTTGGATATGTGCAGAGAAGAAGATGATTCTGTGAATATATTACAATTAAACAATCTTGAGAGTTATGATTCGGAGGATGAAGAGAAAGATGATAGTTCAGACTATATTGTTAATTCTAATGCCGAAGGTATGTATTATGTTATTGTAATAATAGTCCCAAATATTTTGCTATGTTCAAAATGTATAAATTAGAAATTTTAGATTCTAGTTCTAGTGGTCAAAAAAATAATAACGATAAACCAGTGATTATGCCTGTACCTGATACTCAATGCCATTGTTGTGCTGAAGATTTAAACACTGCTCACAGTGGTGGTCAGTATAAATGTCAAAATTGTGAACTGTCATTTAAAAAGAAATCATCTTTGGAGAGACACACTGTAGTAATTCATTGGCAATGTGACTCTTGTACTTGTAAAGAATGTGGAGAATCATTTCGTGACAAAAAATCATTAAATAAACATCGTTATACTACTCACTGTGGTCGAAAAGTTTATAGGTTTGTATACAATTATTTTTGTATATACTACATTAAAGACTATAAAGATCTGATATAATATGACAAATTTCAGATGTGAGCCATGCGATACTTACTTTTCTCGAAGTTATCATTTAAATCGTCACATAATGCAATCTAGTTGCCATGGGAATATTCTTAATACATACAACTGTCAAGTAAAATTGTGTTGTGATATATTTTAAATTATTATGTTAACAATTTCAGTTAAAAGTAATTAATTATTTGTTTTGATAGGTATGTAAAAAGGTATTTACACGTAAAGATAATTTACGTGAACATTTGCGTACCCATGCTGGAACTCCTCAAAGACAGAAGAAACCTTGTAAATACTGCCCAAAGGAATTTTTTACTAGCCAACAACTAGTAATTCATGAACGTGTTCATACGGGAGAACGACCAGTTCAGTGTGATTTATGTCCAAAAACATTTTTATCATCTCTTGCATTAAAAAAACATAGACGAGTACACACAGGAGAGAAACCATTTGAATGTAAATTTGTAAGTAATTTTACCAATAAAATATTATACTATGTGTTTATAAATAAATAAGATAACGGAATCGATGTATAACTTTTTTTAAATTAATATACTTTTTGTGTGCGCACATAGACACGTATTCGTACAAATTCGTATTTAAATTATCGTATTTTGAAATACTAATTTGTTCGTAAATCTTCATTACAAGCAAGCATTATGTACAGGAAAATTTATGTAAGTTTTTACTGGAATAAATAATATCCTCAATTTTATATTTAACTCATAAATAATATAAACTCGATTTAATATGTACATAATATATATATTTTGTGATTTATTATTTACATTGTTTTAGTGTCACAAGAAGTTTGCTGCCCGAGAAACTCTAAATCGCCATCAAAGAACTCATACTGGTGAAAAGCTCCATGTTTGTCAGTATTGTTCAAAGTCATTCATTCAGGCAGCTCAATTGAGAGCACACATATTTCATCATACTGGTGAAAACGGTTTTTACTGTGACGTATGTGGAAAAGCATTTAATCGGAAAGCTCGTTTAAACGTGCACAAAAAATTTGTTCATGAAGGAGCAACGCCATTTACGTGTGAAATTTGTGAAAAAAGATTTATTAGAAGAGAAGATCTTGTAAAACATGCATTGCTTCATACTGGTGTTAAACGTAAGATGATCAATATATATTTGATGAACAATATATATTACAATATATATTTGATAAATTACAAAGTAAGAGTATGTGCACTCATCCGAAATATTGTCTTTATTACAGCATTTAAGTGTGATAAATGCGTGAAAGCTTTTTCCACGAAGTCTTCTTTACAAGCTCATTTAAATACTCATAGACGAGAACCGCCACAATCATGTGTTGAATGTAATAAAGTTTTCATTCGACAAGATTGTTTAATGAGACATATTAAGGCAAAACATCGTGAATTGTTAGAAGATGTAATGAATGAAGTCGAGAAAAAACATTTGCAAACGCAATTGTATAACATTGCTACAATAGCTGCAGAAAAAACAAAAAATGGAGAGTCGAAAAAACTTTCCACTGATGAATTATTAAAAGCTATTTCGGACCTTTTGAAAATTTTAATTGATGACGAAACACTTCAGGTATAAATTACTATACGACATAATAATAATATTCAATTAAAAAATTACACAATTTGGAACATTCTGTATATTTTACATGTTATAGCTGTTTGGTTGGCCTGATGCTCCTATTCAAGATATTCTAGAAGCTGTGATTAGAAGATGTGGTCATCAACCATTAACATCTGAAGGTGATTTACTTTTTACTGAACGGTTAAGGGAAAATATCAAACTTTTGTTCACAGTTGTCATAGAAGACGATACAGTAAAGTCCCTTTTAACAACAAAAACAGTAGATGATGTTATTATACATGTTTTAGAACTTTCTAAGGAATGTACATCAAATTCGTAGTTATATAAAAAAAGGAAAAGGCAGGAATTGTTCATGGATTTTCTATGTATCAGAGTGTTTATTTTATTTTCTTCATTGGTATTTAAAATTTTTAATTGAATGGTTAGGCTATTGAAAAACTATTACATTTAAATATATAATGTATTTACACTTTTACTTATATTTCAAAATTGTATTAAACTTAAACTGAATTTTAATTATGTAATTTTCTGGTTTTATCACAAATTATGTACATCTAATAATTGTTATCAAATATAAATACATAGTTATATGTATGACAATGTTTTATTTCAGAATCGTTTATTTTTTATAAAATACATAATATATACATATATACTGTTTTACATATTTGTTCCAAAAGTACTATTCTAATGGTATTTGACATGTTATCTTTAAATGTGCAAGTTTAATTATTTTAATAATAGATTACATGATTATACACATGTATTTATTCAAATAGTAAACTGTTCTGCATACGGCGAGATATGTTTGAATCGCCATCTTTTAAAATGTATATAAGTTGTAACTCATATGACAATAAAAGCGAATCAATTTAACTTATCGTAACTTTTAAATAAACTTGGTTGTATGAATATCACTGAAAGATATTGTACTTCCCTCAATGTAACTTGTATGTATATGTCTACATATCGTGAAAGAATTTATACGTTATTTCATTCATTGAGGTTAATGTACTGTTATTGTTGTAATACACATGAATGGTTCATATTATGAAACAAATACGTGTAAATAAATCTCACAAATTTTCCAGTATAAAAAGATAATTCATCGTCACAATCCGTCTGGCAACAGAATTTATTAATATTCTTTTGCATAGTTTTTAATTATACTTAAAAATGATTGACCTAAACAGCGCAATAAGTACCAAAAAACCACGGAAAAAACTGCAAGGTTAGAATTATAATATATAATTTAATATAACTTTTTGCTTTTCCATCGTACCAGCAGGAAAGCTATTAAAGTTTATTCATACACAATTAAGTTCTGATAATAAATATTATTGCAGTAGACCTTAGGGAAGAAAGTAGCAGCGACAATGAATCTAATGTTGCATCTAAAACTGAAGGGAATCCTGGGTGGGCAGATGCTATGCAAAAGATTTTGCAGACAAAAAAGCCAAAACGTAAAAAGACAATAATTCTCTCTAAAGCAAAAAAATTATGTGATGTAAAGAAGAAAGAAACTAAAGAATCCGAACCATTTGAAATTGAAAAGGTAAAGGAAGAAATAAAAGAAGAAGTAAAAGAAGAAGAAAATGAAGATAATGATCAAAAACCGATTACACAATTGAAGGAAAAGAAAAGACATAATTTGGGTATTAGAGTAAAACCAAGTATATTGGATAGACAACATGAAAGAGTATTACAGAAAATAGCTACAAAGTAATATATTTATTTAAAGAACATGAATGATATTTTTATTAGTTGTTTAAAATGATTAAAAATATATGATTACAGAGGTGTAGTACAATTATTCAATGCAGTAAGACAACAACAAGGTGAAATTAATCAAAAGTTAGCAGAAGTTGGTCCATTAGAAAGAAAAAGAGAACAGGTATTAAAGAGTATTGATAAGTGCACATTCTTAGATGTTCTTATGGGAGGAAGTAAAAGCATTCAAGCAGATAACAATGTTAAGGATGAAGAGCAAGAGAATAAAAGGCATAAAGAAAAGGTATGTATATTGTTTTCCAGTACTACTGTATTCAATAGAGGATAATAGTACTAAACAAGTAAATATTTTTAATAAAAGGATAAGGAAACTTGGAATGTATTAAGAGAAGATTTTGTTATGGGAACAAAACTAAAAGATTGGGATCGAAAAGATGAAGAAGATGATTCTTCAGCCCCAGAAGATCTTGATAGTGATGATTAAATTATCCAAATTTATCAGACATTTTTACCTATATCAAAAAATTGATTTAAAGGTATGTGATAACATCATCATTTGTTAAGAATGTTGTTAATATTACAATACTACATTTTGTTAATACAACTTTGCTGACTTTCATAGCAAACTTAAATTATATTTCATTCAATCTCTGTCTTTGTTACTTCTATACTCCTCAAACATAGAAAGAAACAAAATATTAATTTCTTATTAAATAATTTTATTTAATTTTATTAATAATTTATATTTTGATATTTTTTTTATCTATGCAACAACAATAATAATGCATACAATTTATCATTTCTTAAATAATTTAACGTATGTTTATAATACGAACGTGATTCTGTCTAAAATTAACTTTTACTCTTACTATAGTTATATCGCGTAAATATGCCGTATTAATTTGTCATGAAATGATACTATACTTTGTTTATATATTTAAGCCGCGATTTGTTGTAGGACAATAAATTAGACATAGTGGATAAACTATGTTAACAACATAATTTTTACATAGTGTTTTGATGTATCGAACAATTACTTTCTGCACATTTTATCTGTATATACCTTATTTTCATTATCTTTGTGACACATATAAATATAAATTATAAGCTTCTTTCACTGAACTTGCATATTTGAAAGCCTCAAATGTATTATTTTGTAGTGAAAGCAAATGTATAATAAATGATCTGTACCATGAATTGCTAATAACAGGTAAAAAATGTTTAAATCCATTTGTAACAATTATTTTCTTACCCTTTAATAAACCTAATACATAATTAACTCTTGGACGGACTGAACTAACTTTATTTCATTTTTTCTTCTATAATTATTACCATAATTAAATTGATTGTTCCATTTTTTTATATAAAATTATATTTAGAACTTGAATTCTTTCTGTTGGTTTTGGATAATGTAATTTTTCAACTGTCTATACACATTTATTTTATTATCTTTTATTATGCTGTGTACAAATAAATCTGAAGCCTACTCTATTAAAAAAAAAGAAAAAGTATTCAATCTGATTGTACATTTTTAGTACCAACTTTTGATGCATGTATTATAAAATTAATAAAAAAATGTAAGTTTTAACAAAAAATAATTGATTTGCGAAATAACAATATGTTTCTATTTTTTTACAGAATATATCAACATACGTTTGGTCGAAAAGTTTTCTGTCAATCGTTGCTTATTATATATTTTTTAGGATCAAGTGTGTTTAATAAACTTAAAGACTTAACGTTATACTCGACTTTCACGGATATCAGCAAGAGCCCCGAAATTACTAGTCTCCTCGTCCGAGTAATTGGATTCAGATTCCAGTCCCTGGGATCTCCCAACAGATTCATCGATGCTTTGGTTTCTAATATAATATTCTATCGAGTTAGATTCCGTGTTATGATTAGTTTCGTCCGCTTGTACGTTCTCGGAATGTACATTTCTCATATTTGATTGATCTTCTTGCATTCTCGATCTGTCGTTCTCATTCGCGACAGAGTACCAATTATGTGACGCATGACCATTATTGTGATCCTCTGCACAAGGTAATCGAACAAAAATCACACCGTTCTCTTGATTCTCTTTTTGCATATTTTCCACGTTATTTCTACTTTCTTGGCTGATCCTCGACATGCTACGAACAAGATTCCTTGTATTCATCAATTCGTTTCCTGTATTTCGCGAAATCTCATCGGCATTCGCAGGTATTCTTTCGTTATTTCGAATATTATCCGACACACAATGGTTCCCATTTTCGTTATGCAATTGTTCATTGCCATTATCCGTATGAAACGAGGTTTCATCTTGGTAAGCTCTGAGAGTTTCAAAATTTGCATTACTGAACACTCGAGGCACGATATCCTGACTCATCCTGTACAACTCTAACTCGTTATCCATGAAATAGCTATCGAGAGGGTTGCTAATGATCGACGGATTCCTCGAGACGTTTCTTCGTGGAAAACTTTGACTCGAAAAATTTGCTATTGTCGCGTAAGGGTACGGTATCGTGTTCATAGGATTGCCTAGTATATGCGGATATCCGTCTAGACTTTGCATTTCAATTTCCTCTTTTCCATCGTGACAGAAACCATGCATGTCTATCTCGTGAGGAAGATTGGCGAACCTATACACAATAAAATGTGCAAAGGTTAAAATGTTAGAAGGCCAGTAATTAAATAATATTTTTATTTTAATAAATTACCTATGTAATAAAATATCGGAATATGATGGTGGCATGTCTGATTCTTCCTTTCCATAAATACTTTCGTAAGTCGGAGGTGGGAAACATCCAACGGATCCTAAACTGTCCTTACTAGGTGTTTCAGCGTCCATCTCTAGAATACTACCCTGACTGTTTTGTAGTTGGTGTCGATTTATACTTCGTGGATTTCTTTGAGCTCGCAGTACGCTGTCGCCGAGTTCTACCAAGTCCAAACCTGTTTAAAGGAGTACATCTTTCAGGAGAATTCCATGAAATATACGATCGTCAAAGTATTAATACAGGAAACTAATAAATATCTTGAATATTTTTCAGTTGCATGATATGAACTATTGAATTTTCAATAACAGCGCATCCGTACCAGTTGGATCGGTTTGGAATTGTGTAAAGATTGTACCATCCACGACGAGCATTCTACCATGTGGCAAGAGGATAATGGTCGGTGTTGCTACCATCGCCTGATCGTTATTGCTAAACCGCGAATCTGGTTCAGGATCTTCTAACCGACAACAGCAGTGCCTTCTACATAAAGATCTGCAGAACGGTGCACCCCAACAGCAATAAGCGAAAATGAAACATAATACGGCGAGCATCACTAAAAGAGCAGCTACCCCTTGGCTTTGTTGAGCGGCTGCGAGGGTTGGGCCGCCGGCGACGCCGACGCCGAATCCTAACCCTCCGCTGCTGCTCATCTCGCCTGAAACATTCGATTTTTTTATTAGTGAATGGTTACAAAAATAACGAATTAATACAAAATATTGTGACGAGAAACCCGTTCGTATAGGGTGAATACTGGTTCCTTATTTTATCTGGTTTCTATTGAATGTTATCAATGCATGTTATAGAATACGTTTCGAGAGATAATAGCTGGACTTGTAGACGTCTCCATAGTACGCAATAAACGTATTTCAATCCGCAATGCGGAGCGTGGAGTGAAACTAATATATGTGTTCTTGGCAAAATTCCAATCTTACGCGACAAATTTTTCGTGTATGTTAAATTTCAAGTGGTTAGTTGTAATCGGATCGTAATAGCATCTGTTACTTTTTTATATATAAAATGCTCTTAAGAATCGACTTATAATCATTATGGAAACTTCGAACTATTAATATGCGTTACAAGTACAATGTCGACAATGAATATTGAGAAACCTGAAATGTTAACAGTACATATTAATTAACCATTTGAGATGTCTTAGATTCATTGAAAAGCTTATTAGGTTATCATACGAGCACTAGCGTAATTTTGGGCACCGGAGCCGCTCTCTCTTATGCTAACAGAATAAATTACGTTATCTTGCGGGGAAATAAAGCAAGGTGAAAGTAAGAAGAGTGCGATAATCCTGGACTCATAACAGCTGACGCTAGTAGGTCGATGTGGACTAACGTTTTAGAAAGATAATAATATCCGATTGGTTCGTAAATAAAGTTAAATTATTGACCATTTGAAATCAATGGTAATAAATCAAGCGATAAAATTGTCGTAAAATTCAATAGCTTGAATTTCTAAATTATATAACAAAGTTTTTCTTCTTCGTTTTGTCCCCTTGTCATCCCTCAAAGATTTTCTGCATCTATCGATACTAAATAGATTAAAAGAAACGATTTATATTAAATCGAAAATAAACTAGTTCGTTTAATAATTATTTATTTAAAATTTATAATTACCCTGGGTAGTGATGTTATATAGCCAAGTCGTCCCCGTGGTTGTTGTTGATCCCGTGATTCTCCACGATCTGTCCACCATGAAAAAGATTTTATATCTCACCAGAAAATATTTTCTGTTCACCCTTCAGTAATGTTTAAATGTAAAGATGCTGGGTTGGTCGTTGCACGTTACGCGTTGCATCGTGCGATTCGAATTAAACTTTATTTTACTCGAATTAATCGATCGGAGTTAATTAAATAATCGTACTAATAAATTGTGCGTTTATTAATTGCGGTCGGTGAGGTGAGACGAACATTCGTTTCGTTTTATCAATGATTTCCTTCCTCTTACTTTACAGGATTTTGAATTTCCCGCGTTGTCGTTGTTGCGCGTGTACGATTAACGCGTATCGAATAAGCTTCGATCCAATCGTATCGTTAATGACATTGTGAACGAGAACGATATTCTATCGAATATTAACGATTTTTGTGACAAGTTCGCGGAAGAATCTCCTCATGAAGCCATCGAGCGCGAAGTCGAACAACGTACACTGTCATCGAGGAGATACTCTTGACCCATTTTAATATCTCCCCACTTAATATCAACCTGCTGCTTTTCGCCTTCGATGCTTCTGTTTTCCAATCAGGAAACCTCCTCGTCAGCTAGTTCAATACGTTTCTTCTTTATCCCTTTTTAATAATCGGGCTTATCCTTAGATTACGAAAATAAATTTGATGAGTCGTATTCGTAGGTCTATTGTCTAATCGATCTTTCATATCGATAAATTAATATTTTCACCATATTTTCTTCCTTTTATCATTTTTTAAAATTTAATTTTATATATGAGTATATATTCGTAATTATCGAAGTTTCTTCGTTAAGAAGTTAGGATTACATTCAAATTATTACGTTGAAATCGAACTGTACCAATCGAAAATTCAAATTTCCCGCTATGTTTACTGATCGATGTGATTAGACGCAGTGCGGTTTTTAAATGACTAGACGATTTATTGAAATTATTGTTAATATTAAATCGTTACACAATAAACTTTGTGAAACACATGACAACGCTATAAATACTCTTCCTTCTTTAACATTTTAATTATTATTAAATATATTTTATTTCATTATGGTTTATGATATTTTATGCAGCGATTTGTTCAATCTTTATACGTTGACTTTGTAGCGAAAACTGTTTTCAAATTACAGTCGAAGATAAATGCATTATATTCAATTGTAAAATTGTATCGTTAACATCCCCTTCGTTTTCTGACTTTGACGTCATTGACTGCAGATGAAGGCGCGCCATATTATTTACTTTCGATACATCGTATATTTACGCGATGCATTTTTCAATTATCATCTTTTTCTTCCTGATGTATCAATTCCTTTGCAACAATTGGATATGTCATTATCATGTTTTCAAATTAAAAGTATTTAAACTTCAGTAGTTCGATTTAACGTTAATAATCTTTTTAATACCGGAACTGATTGATCTCGTAAGCGTATCTTGATAATTCCGTATGCATTATCCACACGCGTGATTGTCACACTCAAAAATAAAATCACAGTTGTACATTTATTAACGTGAATTAGGTCTTAGGCGTAAGTTTCACCTTTGTCACGTTTTGCCTTAAATGATATTTGCGAAACGATCACAATTTATATATATTGATTTATAAGAAACAGTGCACCTTTAACTATTTAGTATTTTCAAATCCTTGTTCCGTTACAAAAATAATAGTCACAAATGAGTGAATCGTTCGTTCGTTGTATGTTCGTTAATATGTGGGTTACATAGAGTATTTGAGGCCAGTGTGTCGGATACGTTACTACCCTCGAATTTCTTCGTGGCTTGCGGGGCGCTAGCACCTTCTTACAGCCCCTCGAGACACTGGCCAACGATTCGTCGGTGGTCTCCTCGGTGGCGCTTGTTTGCCCCCCTCCCTTAACCCCGGATGTATAGGGTTGAACGAAGCTTCAAACTTTTATGTGCCGAGACCCACTTTTGGAAAGGATAATTAATTACTTGCTTGTAATGTATTATTTAAAAAAATTACCATATTACATATTTTCGATATTTTAAAATATCTCTTCCAAAACCCAAAACTACTTTGGAAAGAATTTTATTCATATTTAATAAAAATTGGGAATGATATAATAATTGTTATTAACATTGTAATTTTGCTAGATGTATTGTAAAATACTACAAAATTACTTAGTTCTGATTTACATTCAATAATAAAATTTATATATTCAATAAAAACATTTATAATAATGTTTCACATCAGTTAGTAGAACATTCTATTTATCTGGTAAAATGTTTAGGAGCCATTCTTTAAAAGATTTTATTTCACTTGCACTTAATTCATGATCTAAATTTTCTAATGGTACGAATTGAACATTTACTCCAAGTTCCCTTAAGCTGTTACAAGTTTCTTCTCCCCATTTTATTGGAACTAATGTGTCAGCACTGCCGTGAAATTGTAAAAGAGGTGGAGTACTTATTTCCGGATGTTCTTTTAGGTGCTGCATTGTTTATATGAATAAAAATAAGTATTAATCATTTTAACGTCATGAGGTTAATGACAATTTTATCATATACTAACCTTATATATTAATGAATTCTTATTTATAAAACTGGACATAGTACAACATCCTGCCAGGGATGGTATATGTTTGTATGCTAAATATAATGCCAGTGCTCCTCCCATTGAGAAGCCAGTAACAGCAATTCTGTCATATGGAATTCCATTTGCAGTCTCTTCGTCAATTATTTCTTGCACATTTTTACATATAGAATTTATTGATTCTACTACTTCAGGAGCATTAATAGATATACTTGAACGATCAAACCATACGTTACTAGGCTGAAATGGTAATTACTTTACATAAATTATTATTAACCTATACATATTTATTGTTATCATTTAATTAATGTATTACCATTCCATGATTAGGTGTATAAGGTTGTGCAGGTGCAGAAGGATAAACAATTTTGATATGCGGAAAACTTAGTTCTCCTTTGTTTAATATATCAATCCATTTTTTTATATCATCTCCAGAAGAACCTATAATAAAAATATATAAAACCATTGCATAAGAAATTATTTAAACCATAATAAATAATTTACCTGAACCATGAAAAATAAATAAAGTAGCACTCTGTTTTTTACTACATTTTACAACATTCATTCTTCCCATTGCAGTAATTCGATTCATTATCTCTTATCAATCAACGAATTTTGATAGATAAATATTTTAACATCAAATATTTATTATAAATATATATGTATTTCGCATTGTAAATCATAAGCGTGATGTATCAAAGTGTTAAACCTTTGCACCCTAAATGAACATAGTCAAATATTCCTGTACGTATCGTCGCAGTGTTAAACGAGTGTCTGTTTTCTACATTTTTAATGTTTTTTTGTATAATTCATACATCATATTATAATAATATGATAGTCAGTTAATATTTACATACAATTTAATGTTAAATTTTGTATAACTTATATATTTTCAGGACTAGCACGATTCGTATATTTTGTTTGTGTAAAGTTTTGAAAATTTCGCGCGCAATAGCAGCGTTCTCTTTTTACTTCGCGCATTATGGCCAACTTCAATAGGTTCTCTATTAGTTAATGTTGCTTCTCTACCATATGCTTTTCACTTCGTCGACCATATACACAGTAGACAAAAATATGTGAATATAAAAAAGGTTATTTGTAAATGTTAATTCTAAAATTCTATTCCATTTTTCTTTAGCAAAATGCACATAAACGAAATTACTGTCTACGTACTGCTGTACTGATGTCGAGCTACTTCGACATGTACTGATATTCGATGTAAAAGGTATACAAAATAAAAGATCACTGTATATGCATGTAACGTTTCACGCATGCGCATTATTTTTTATTATGAAACGTGCTCGAACCAATTAGAGTTAAAACGCATAGAACGGATGAAAACTCGTCATATGATAAGTATTATCTTTCGTTGAACAAATTACAATACACAGTTTGCGTACTTTATTCTTACATCTCTATGGTCCCAAGCATCGATATTCTTATGAGAAATACATAAAGTATATAAAAGTACCATAAATGTCAATTATATTTCAATTTGAACTGATAAATATAGCATATATTTTATCATGTACAAAAATGTTGCCAATTTCATCACCATATCTGTATACCAGCAATATTTAAACAATAAATATGATTCGATTAAAGAATATACAAATTATTTTAATAACAGCATGATTCGCGATATACAAATTTTATTGTTTTTGCGAAAAGTCTAGTTGTGTCTATACACAAGTAACATAACCACACTTTGTGCGCACGCATATCTCGATTTCCATTCGACTTTCTTCGAGATCATTTGAAAACGCATACCAGATCCGGCTGGGTTAAGTCGCTAATGCTGGGCCGTGTTGACAGGGTATTGGTGTCGCGTCAATGGATACGCCGGTGGTGTTCTGGTAAAATTCTTCTCGCGCTGTTCGACTAGTAGAGTTATGTTTAATGAATCGTAACAACCTGGCGGAACAATGCAGAGAAGTGGTAAGTCAGAACTTTGATTCGTTGTAAAAGAAAGATGGAAAGTCGATGGTTCGCGTGGACTACCATTTTGAGGGCGCCAAATTTTTGCGTCAATACACAGCGCCGTAACTGCCCGGTCAATACGGCAGCCGACCTAACCTACCAACTATTTTACAAAATAATTTCAACTGTTTTAATTTCATCATTTAAAATTACATTTCTGCATTATTCAATTTATGTCCTTGAAAAATCGGAGCTATGTAATTCTTGCGATCTGTCGGTGTATTATTCATGGACAATTCTCTTATAGTTTCTTTTTTTGTAATGTACACTTTGTTCTCTCTTCGTACTAGTCCTGTCAAACATGATTTCACGAAAGTATTGTATGAAATTTGATACAGTATAATGTTTGTACATCGTATACATAAAACAGGATCGTACGATAACAAATGGTTTCGTGATACCGCAAATAGTTCAGGATATTGTGACAATGATTCAGCCCTGATTTTGAGTATTATTTTATCACATACGTAATACGTGATAACTGTGTCTGACTAAAGAATATTTCATAGTTTATACTAAAATTCATAATACTTCTGGACCTTTATTTCTTTTGAAGACCAATGACTTTTTATAATATGATATCATGAACATGTCAATTGTATAGTTGAATGCAACATAAGCCCCCTTTGGATAAGAACCATTGTAAAGAGCAGAGTTTCCTGCCACCTGCCTTCGATTTTAAGAAATCATACATGTCAAAAATCGGACGGGGAAGCTATTTTTTATGTTGTCATTTTCTCTAAGGCAGCCTCTTGTACTCGCGAGTGTACAGTCCAGTTTGAAGTTATGTTTCCTCTCGCTTAGCACCACTACTTATTCGGACGTACACAAGTGGCCTAAATAGCAGCGTAAATTGTCATCACGAGTTAAACCAGGAGAAATCAAAACATTTTTCGAAAGTTGATATTTACCTTATTCTTTGTGTATATAATGTGACAATGAGATATTTTCAATTACTTGACCGTAACGACGTTAATAACAATATCATAAAAAATTTAATTAACAGAGATTGGACAAATATTTTTTACGTAAGTATAATGGATTGTAACTACACCGGTAATATTTGCATTTCACATTTTTGCTAGTCACATTAACACGATGTTCTCGACCGGATCATTTTCTTTAGCCATGTAATAGTAAACTATTATTCTACATGGCTCGGTGAAATTATATCTGTCGCGTATACACTGATCTTACAAGTAACGCAATAACAAGTACATCTTGTCTGATTTTTTTCTTTTCTCCTAAAAAAAATGTACTTGTTTATGTTCCAAGCAATTTACATTTATATTTGAGGAAAAATGTATTTCGATCCATATGATACGTAAAATTCTCAAGCGACAACGAGGAATAAAGGAAGAAAATAATGGCCACTTATTCTTTCATGGCACATTCCAAACGTGTTTTATTGTACATTCGTTTAACCTCCGAACTAAACTTAAACGAACAGTTATTCCGTATTTAAAAGTATTCCGAGCTTTTGTCATTTTCAAATCGAATAGTCGAACGTGTCGAGTAGCTCGAAACAATCGATACGCTCGAGTAATTGAAACCAAAACGAACGATGAACCCAAATGATCAAATTATTCGAATGATCGATCGATAGTATCGCTAGCACGGTGACGTCCCGTATTCGATAAAACGAGAATTTTTCAGCTCCGTGTTTCTATGAATTCTATCGATACTCCCCAAGTATTTATAACAATTTATATCGATACTTCGATATATTGCTTGTTGATCACGAAACGGAATCGTACGATTATAAGATCTCGAGCACAATGAGGTGGTTTAACCATCCAACGGAATAAATTCTCGATGTAAATTGTGCGTCGTCATGAAAGTTCGATGACTGATTGACGGGGCAAGAGCCAGGGCATCTTAGAACCGGTGCACGGGCCGTAAAATAGAAAGAAGGGAAGAAAGAAAGAGGGAGGCAGAGACCGTAGGTTTAACATTATAATTGTCTCGCGCTCGGAACAGTCGTGCACTTCTTCGTCGGCATGTGAAACACGCGGCAGGCGTCTCGAGTCGATCGTGAACCTTGAGTGAGCCTCGTCAACATTTTAGTACACTTTCTGTGTTCGATGTGTAAACCACGCCAAGTCATCGACCGATTCCATCGCACCAAATTTTTATCGCGCTCGTACCTTCTCTATTGACTTTTCTTCGTATCGGTGGACGGTTAAGTGCATCCTGCTCGAGGAATATCACTAAACCCTTGGGAGACGATTGGGACCGACGTGACTCATGGGTGCAGGGTCATTTTGACCCACAATTACGACGTTATTTTTTTACGTGCAAATATATTTACGTCATTATTGGGTACTACAGGTAAACGATTATTTGTTACAACACGCTCGTCCTTCAGTATGCTGTAATGTATGAATGTACATGATGCAGCACTATCGCGTAATCGGACATTTAGAGGTTGTAATCGAACCCATGATACCGAACGATCGTTTAGTCATTTTTTATATTTTATTCTCATAACTGGGTCAAAATGACACTGCATAAAACAGAGTGCGCGATTTTTTAATCTGAATATTGGAAAAAATATTAGGTTGTTGCAAATGAAATAGTTCGATTGGAAAATATTCAACAGTTAATAATTTCGTTGAAAATAATATTCATTAATTAAAATATACTCCACGTAATCTTGTAGCGGTAGTTTTATGCGGTCTTTTTCATAAAATCTTAAGCTTCGAATCCACGTGGCATACGTGCTATTTCGTGGCACTTTTATGTCATGTTTTTACGTCCGTAAACGGCCACGCAACAACCTAATAAATTGAGCGTGCATCGGATACTCCACTGAAGGATTCGGTGAACGATGAAATAAATTGGTAGATTCGAGTGATTCAACGGTCGCATAGAAAAATTCTTTTTCAAGAAATTCTCATCGAACTTATCATTTTACGGGCAAAGCTGGAATTTCCAGAGGTTTTCATTCCAGGCGGCTAGCCAGAAAACGCGATCAACGAGCAGCCAGCCTCTTCTTCGTAATCCAATTTCAAGTTTCCTACTGCTTTTGTTGCGCAGCGAAACCTTAGGAATCTTGCTTCTATATCGCGGTTATCACGCCGGTATTCGATTCATCGATCACGGCGCAAAAAAATATCCGGTACGCCGTAATAAAAATACAAATATTTGATACTGTGTCCCGGCGAATGCGAAGGGAATTCAACGATACCTAAGATCCGACACCGCAATTTTCGCGGTCCTCTACTTTTTGCGATATCTATTTTCGGTCCCGGGTTTGCTCTCGTCTCGCGGTTCTCGCGATTCCAACCGTTCGACCGAAGAAAAAGTTTGATAGCGATACCTATGATCGAGATGGAAACGTCCACCGTGGTCTTTATCTCACAAAATGCACGTAAGCTATCCTTTTCAATTTTAATTTACAAACGTTTAACAAAAAAAATCTTTAAAACAGCTGACTGTTAAAATATTGCGAAATGCTTTTTTTATTGGCAATTTAATATTTCCTTATTTTTAGTTATTAATTCAAAGTACTTGCAAAAATCTGCTTAACAGATAATACTTCATCATTTTTACTCTGTTAAACGCAATATGAAAGTTGACACAGTTCCATTGTTTAATTGTTTCAACACTTGTAACTCGAAATGCATTCAGATAAAACTTGTAATAAAATTGCGTAATATATTCGTCCATAATGTAACAGCCCTTTAATTAAATCGTTTCGTTATAATCAGAACAGTTGCTCCAATTTGCCGAGGCGTTGCTTAACATAATTAGAGGATCAGCCTAATCAAATGACCTCATTATTCAATAAACTCTCCCTGTAATAGTATCTCCGTTGTAACTGTGATCTTCAGTAACTGTACAATGAACATTTTCTCGATTTCAATATAAGGTTAGGGGAATTAGGTTAGGTTAGGTCAAATTAAACATGAGGTTGAATTGGATTGAAGTTAGATTATGTTAGAATTAACTCAGGTTAGGTTAGATCAGTTGAAATTGAAGATACAGTTAGGTTTAATGAAATCAGACTAAAAGGTCAATGATAAAAAATGTATAAAATGGGTTAATGTTAGGTTATGTCAGAATGAACTCAGGTTAGGTTAATCAGTTGAAATTGAAGGTAGAGTTAGGTTTAATGAAATCAAACTAAAAGGTCAATGATAAAAAATGTATAAAATAGGTTCATATTAGGTTAGATCAGTTGAAATTGAAAATAGAGTTAGGCTTAATGAAATCAACTTAAAGGTCAATGATAAAAAATGTATAAAATAGGTTCATATTAGGTTAGATCAGTTGAAATCGAAGATAGAGTTAGGCTTAATGAAATGAAAGTAAAAGGTCAATGAAAAAAGAATGAATAAAATCTGAATGTAAATTAAAAGTTGGGTATTAAAGTGGCAAAAATTATCCTCTTGTTTCCTCCTGTAACCTTGCTCCTTCTTCTTATCCCTTGTATCGTGTCCCAACGTCCTCTCTCCTCTCGTTCTTCTGTTTCCGGTTTGTCGCGGATGTTGGATGACCGCATGTTCCACGATAATCTTGACTACGATGATGATGTCCGTTGCAACAACGCTGTCGGTGACTACGACGACGATGACAACGTCACAACCACCATGGTCACTTCGGGCATCACGGCAGCGGTAAGTTTCTGATAAGGCTAGTCACATTCCAATTGTCGTCGGACACGCGTGGAAGCGCGCCTCGTGTTCGCAATACTAAGATATATCGTGAACGTGCGTTCGTTCATTGGTTCGTACCCCGAAGGCATGTGGATTACCATCGCGGTGTTATTTTCTTATTCTGGTTCCTATCGTTGCGCGGTGATTACGTTCGATCTGTAGGTTTGATAGGAAACGGCGGAAACTCGTACCACCGGTGGGCGTACACCGGCTATGCTACACCGGAACTGCGTTCTTCTTCGTTATCCTAGAATTATTACTTCATTTATTAAATTATAGAAAACCGACGACGGTTAATAATATTTATTATTCGTGGAATGTACCTTTTTAAGTAATCTAAAAAATGTATCTTCCGCTTTGAAGACATTAACACCGTGTTACTTGTGTCCTTCTAAATTTTACACCACTTAAATTTTGGAAAAATCGAGTAACCTACTTGCATATGACAATCATATAATCTGTACATGTAACACGCGATTTTTCTGTCACGATCAATAGCGTTCGAAGAAAACTTCCGACACCGGAACAAACATTGAATGATACGCTATGATTCATTACGCGTTGTAAATGATACCGCTTACCGGCTACGTACAAAAACGCTAGCTGTAAGTTTTAATGGCACAATCTTTTGATAAGATCTTTCTGACGAAGGGAATAGCGATAACGATCAATAACCAGGCTTAATAAAAATTTTTGCGTGATCATTGGCATAACTGGAGGGTTTATCTGGAATGGACTCGAATCAATAATATCTTACGGGCGTAGTCAGAAGCGTTTAAAAATTTTTAAGTTTGAAAATAAGTAAATTTGTGACTTTTTTATGACCTCTTTAAATGCTGGGTTCACTCCGCATTTTTGAGAGGTGCCATCTTGTGTTTCTATCTATTTATGCGCGCGATAAAGACCCATTCATGTATCTGAACGTTTAACCATCCCCATGATGAAAACAGAGAGTCGAATGAACTAATTGTTCCAAGGAGAAGTTCGTTTTCGAAACAATCCCGTTGAACGATTATACGTGATCTGATTAAATATCGATTGGAATTAGCAAGTGGAACGTGTACTGGTTCGTGCATTTGAACGTCGATATCAATTCTTTACGGAGTGGTAGCCGAAAACGTTACGGACGTCAAACGTGGTGGTGGGATTTGATCGATGATCGAGTCGCGAGTGCGATTCTGGTGACTGGTGTGATTAATAAAAGAAACGCCGTAGGATCGTTAAAATGTCAGCGCCGGCAGCGTCGCGACGTCGCCTGAACCCAGCGGTTCTTGCCAGATACAATAACCAGCAGATCAGTTCCTCTCAACAGGTAGTTATCTAAATATTTTCTAAAAGTCACAGCTAAAAGACTAATGCAAGTATTTAATTTTTCTTTGTTTCTTCATTGACCGTTAATTAAATACTCTGTGTAAATGCGGTCAGATTCTATATGCGAACAATCAAGGTCTTCACCTATGCACATATCTTCTGAACTGTTTTATTTTTTTGCTTGAGTCACGCCACGCGAATAGGGTTGAAGGCTGAAACGATGAAAGCAGGTTAAACATTGCACTGTGTTGCATTAATTCGGAGAAAATAGAAATATCTAGAATTTTTCTTTCCTCGTTGGTTGGGTAAGTTCCATCGAGCATTCAGCGACGAGAATGATCTACATCTTGTTGTGCAACTTCATTTTTTTACGGTGTCAATGATCGCGTTGACTTCCCCTGGCTGTCGTGCTTGGTATTCTATCGCGACACTAGGAAGTACGTAGCAGAATACTTGGAGTATCATTGTGGCCTTAATTGGACTCCGAGCTAATAAGAGCATCGAACTATTAAGCTTACGTGTATCGTTGTATTCGCGAATACCACCTGCAGTAACGCACGTGCTATTTTCTCTAGAAAATCGTGTTCTCATTCTACGAATATTTATGTATTTTTTATGCAGTTAAATGCAGACAATTAAATACATAGTTTAATTCGAGAGAAATAAAAAACATATACGATGACAAAATTTAATGTACTTTAATTGGCATATGACTTCCATCTTTAATTTCAAAATGTATTTCCCGCGTTTTCCTTCTCTTGTAACAATCAAACGGGAGACAATATATTATTAAACACGTAGCGCCACCTCGGCTAAAAATTGCTTCGTCTCTGTAGGTAAATAAGAACAGTGACATTTAATAAAAGAAACATTTTAACACTATTCTTACCATGGAGATTATTATGATAAAATATGAAAAAGTTAACCTAAATGGATAAAGTGTTTCGTATTTCAGACTTTCTAATTTCCTCGCTGATGCATCCACTATGCATTATATGTATAGATTTCTAATACAGAGTCTCGCTAAATGGCCCTGGATTGCATTATGAGAAACAGAAAACAGTTGTACAAAGAACTTTCTTCCATGCATCGCTTGGTATTCGGAGCTCTGTAAAAAATTTGAAAATTTGTTGGAATTAAATTTCTGAATTTCTAAATTTTTAGGTCACGATACAAAATTTCTCATAAATAAAGTATAAATCTATATACATATAATTAATATAAAATATGCAAAGAATATATAAAATTTGAAAGTCGCAATGAAATTTGAAAATTTGTAAATCTTTCTATGTCATATGACACTAGGATCGCATGGTGTAGTGAAGATGCACTGTATTAAAAAATCTTCTTTATTATTCTACCTTTATTTGGAGCATTTGTTCGAAGGTAAAGTTAACGATCGACTATAAAAACAATGCAGTTGCATTCGCGCGTGTTAGCAGGCTGTATATCGTTCATTTAAAATGTAGAGAAAAGTAGTTTCAAACAATGTGATTCGTCGACTGGTTGGAACACTGACCGAACTGTATGCCGAGGACAATATGTTCGCTCATCCGCCAAGATGCTCGTACGACGGCTCCTGATTGGTCGAGGTTCTTCCGTGAAACACATGCGCAGATAAGAGAGGCAACCTCGTTGGTTATCCTCGAAGCACAAGCGGCAGCGTAGTAGATTCATCCCCACTCTTGGCAATAGCTGCGTCAGGCGTGGTCGTTGTTCGGGCACCGCAGTACATCCGTGTCGTTCGAGTAGTACGCGTCGGTTGATCGTCGCTTGTCAACCTTCGCTGGCAGAGTTGTGTGTGCGTAAAACTCGCGCGTGTGAGTGCATAGTGTGCGTGTTTGGCGAGAGGTCGTTTAACTTTTTTCCCCGCTGTTTTCTTTTCCGTTAACTCCGCGATCGGTGGAAGCGAAGGATAACCATCGTGTTTCGTTTTCTTTTTCCTTCTGTTTCGTAGAGAGGGCTAGTCGATAATGAAACAATGCAGAGAAAAGTGAGAGTGAACGTGGCCACGTTCGGCCGGTTTGCCGACAGCGTGAATCACCAACAGAACCGGCGTTCATGAGCCCACGCAGTGCTTAAACCGATGCTCGATTTCTCTCTTTCTCTTCCCTCTTTTGCTCGTTTTCTTACCCTCTCTTCGTGATAAATATCCCCCTCTTGCACGAAAGTGCTGTTATACACGCGCGTACGCAAACTATTTCCACGACTGTGTGACAGATATAGCGCACAAAGCGTAGTGAGTACTCATTGTTTTCTTCCGAGCAATTAATTCTTTGACGCGTGCATGTGCTTCTGCGCGAACGAATCGTGCGTTCGTTCGTTCGTAACATTATCAACGGTGTCTATGACCGTGATTCGGTTTCTGTTGATCCTGTGTAACGAAGGCGTTTCCAAGGGCAAATCATGGCTTTCGTTTGCTTACCGATGCCTCAAACTATTCCGATTCTCACATAGAATTCATTGTTTCCCTATTCTTTTTCTTCTGGCTGTGGCCGGTTCATTCACACAACTACCGAAAATTGTAAACAAACATTTGGTAATATTTCTTTCTATCACTAACGGACTTCAAAGGGCTTGGTGTGTTACAAATTTGGCTACTTTTACGGTACAAGTGGAAACGCGTGTACGTGTTTTACGCGGCTTTACATAGACTCTAAAATCCCTATATCCGTAGATCTCTAAATCTCGTCACGTTGCTAAAACTCTATATCACCATATTTCTAAATACACATTTCCAATATTACTAGATCATTACTCAAGTATAACCAGTCTCTATTTTCCGATATCTCAATATCCTTTGATCTCAACGTTGCTGCATGGCAATATTCCTAGATCCTTTGATCTCTATGTCCCTAGGCTTCTTATATTTCAACTCCAAAAAACGAAAGCATATAATACGAAACCCTTGAAACAGTACTTATACGATTGTGGTTATTTTCTGTATGATCATATTCGCGTAAAGATCAGTCACGTAAGCTACTTTGTTTCTCGAAAGCGTCTCAAGTTAATATTTCGAAGCCCAAGTACTGAGCAACAGTTACCTCGGGGTCACAGAAACCGATATCGAGCCGGAGAAGTAACTGCATGACATTTTTAAAAGAACGCATTATACGACACGCCCGTTCTTTTTCTTACATTCTCATTTGCTTTCGCGTATTAATTGCAATTGTTGCATTTACGTTACGCGTATACGCAGTGCGTTAATAAAACAAAAGCGTGTTGCATCGCTTCTGTAATTTCAATTACCGTTTCTTGCATTGTTATGCAAAAGAGAAATAAATCTCCATTATCAATTTACCTGACATTAGACAGGACCAAGACACATAGAAGCAGTGGCGGTATAGAGAGGGAAGGAAAGAGAATCGTGCCAAGCAGGACTCACGTGACATCGTGGAAATGTCGACCGAAAATCAAAACGGTTCCGCCGGCACACAGAGTAACGGCATAAAGACTTCGATCAGCGTGTCGTCGTCCGCTAGGACGGTATCGAACAATTCGTCGTTTTTGTACAGCAGTAATTCGATGTTGAATCGTGATAAACCGCGTCAAGTGCCACCACCAACATTGCCGAAATATACGTCCAGCTTTAATGCCGGTTCCAATGGCAGCGGCACGACCGAACGATTGAATAGAGATCGCGAAGTCGGTGGTAGTTACAGGCTGGCAGGCCTCGACAGACTTGCCCTCAGGCAGAGGATACTGGACGGCGAAAAGGCGAACGGCGACGCTACGTCGGTAAGCCTGATAATTTTTCCTTTTTCGGTCAGTGATTTATCGACAATCGTTCGAATCTCGAAATCGATTCGCACGTCACATTTCGTTTCTATATTTATCCATAAGAGCACTTCTGAAACAAACGATTAAGTAAAAATAGAAGATCCATTTTGTATATAAGAGTCTCGGAATTCTCAGAGTAAATTTTATATCGATCCCTAACCTGACACGTTTAACGAGCCGGGTCATAGAACTTCTAACCTTAGGTGTCGTCGAGGAGAATCTAAAATCGATCAGTCTATAAAAGAGGCAAATACAGTTTAATTACGAGATGATCGATCGATCCGCTGTTATAACGAGACAAGATTTCTTTATGATTTTAGCCCTGTTCTTTAAAGTAACATGATTTTCAATTTTACCTTCCCGTGTCTCGTGACTCGGTAATTTAATCCATACTCGAGAGGAGTCAAATTTTCTACTCGTGACACAGTGGAGGTCGCTCGTCTCGACGTTCGAGGAGCCCGCATAAAGAACCACGTGATCGTTCCGTTTACTTCGTTCTCGTGCCTCCGTGAGAAAGCTGCCGATGACTCACGAAGGGAGTTCGGTCTGATCGAGTTCGCTCGATCTGCGTCGGTCCACAAAACCGACAAATTACCATTCTAATCTCGCCATATCGTCTACTAATTAGCGTTTCGAAACGTACCATGTAAGAACTGACGTACGTTCGATAATTAAAAACACTAACGGTATATTTGTATAGCATTATCGCTGTAAATGCATTAATTCGTTAAATATACGTTTATAGTCAAGATCGAATCTTGACTCAAGAGTTAAAAGGTTTAGGTTTTAAGGAATTTTGAGATAAGAATTTACTAGGGGTCTGGATACTTATATACATAGGAATTTGGTGATAGAAAATTATACATGTTTGTTGGTAAAAGTTTATTTTTAACCAAGGATATTCTTCTCCCGGATAATATGTGGAATTGATGAGAATCTCTGTCGCAAACACATGGTGAGTTCACCCTATATAGCTTCTTTGTCACTGCATAAGAGAGAACGAGAAAGAATTCGCTAGCGAGATGCACGCCAGTGCGATGGAAAAGTACGAGGGAGGAACATATGGCAGCGTTCTTATCTCCATTTTCATGGGCTTTCGCGCGAGACTTAGCTTTTAATTCTCTCGTCAGCTCTCTTTCGCGTCGAGTATGTGCTTTCGATTCTTGAAACCACACCCTTTCGCCCCGTTATTTTTACTCTGTTTACTAAACCAAATTTTGTACGACTCTCGGAAACTTTAACGTGCTTCTACTGTGATTCTTTTAATTTAAAATTTCTTTTTGAACTCAGCGAGAACTAACATTACATATTAACATTGATCAGACGAACATTGTAATATCTCATCGAATTTAGAAATGTTGAATTTTGAGAATACATGGAGGGTTTCTAAATGTGTGTTCTCAAGAGTTTTTATTTACCATGACGAATTTAGATTCCGGGTATACTTTAAAGCGAGAGACACGTCATCGTACAAATTTGAGAGTCACTGAGTGCACATGGTCACCCCTCGTATATATATATATTTCGTCGAAAAGCCTGGTTCGTGTAACTACGGGGTAGTTCGAGGGTCCTACCCTCGTAGTGCGTCATAGACAATAGAAAAATACACAGCATTCGTGACTCACCGAATAACGAAGAGATACATTTTCGAACGGGCTTTAAACGCATGACCCTTATCGTTGGACTTTAAATGATTGTTCAATGCCAAATACTCGTGATAACACGCAGTTTGATTGCAATCGTAACTTGTATCTACGTTAAAATCACGACCGCAAATCATTAAACAAATATTTTCCGTGTATTTTAATAGTCTTATCAATTTATAATAATTTGGTAATACTCTTTAATGTAGTACAATTGACTTGGAACACTTATACAGTACTGTTCGTTTATCTACGTAATTTTCGATAAATTTCATACGACAGTCGAATAAAAAGTCCGGTTCCAAGAAAGAGTGGGTAAATCCGGAGGCATTCGATAAAATGAAAATTTATGACTTCCGTGAGCACCGATCTTAAATGAGATCATTGTTCTGTCTTTGATCAATGCGACCCGTTGAAGTTCTTTTTATCTCCTACTCCATAAAATATATAATCCTTACACATATTTTGGAGGGAGAAGATATTCGGAGTGGTGATCTCAAGGTTGGTTAATTTGTTATAAAAAGAAGGAAGCAGAGATCAAGGTGGTCATTACTTGGTTTTTATTCAACGAACACCTGGTGGAACGGGTTTAGGTTTCGTTAAAGAAACACGAGGACGAACCTAGCGTGTAAATGCATACGAATGACCCTGGTGGTGATTCCGCGGAACTGAAGGGGAAACCCGCCCACCCAACGCAACAAAGTACCCTTTCAGAAAAGCAGGGCGCGTCCCACTTTTTTCACCCTGTTTTTTCCAAACAACATTCATGTACCACCGTTCTGTGGTGTTTTCTACCCCCTTCAGCGTGATATGTGTGTACATAACTGCTTATAGCGCATTCCAACGAACTCGTATACCGTTTTACAATAGCAACGAGTGGCAACTTGAATGAAACGAGAGGGGAAGATAAGGAATACGCGGGAAAATATGGTTGGCCGTAAACAGTTTTTGCGTTTGCCGAAAGCTTTGTATTTGTAAAGACTGCAAAGAATTGAGGAAATCTTTTCTGTACAAATACTACAAATTATACGTAACTATTTTATAGAGGTGATTAATTTTTTGGCATATCTTTTTTTATCTTTACTGCCGATCCATCGTTTCAATCATAATATACACGTATCGATAATTTTTAGTCAGTTATGAGTAACATTGTAAAGTCCATTCGACACGTCATCGCTCACGATTTATCCGTATAATAAAAAAGATCGATGAATTTCTTGCGTAGAGGTATCACGTGCAATGCAACGATGCCTGACTCGTAGCATTCCAGGAACTGTGTCGTTAATGTAAACCTACTTCTCGATAACATGATTGAATAATAGGAAAGTTATTTAGCGTTCAACGAGCGGTAACAGTAGGTTACGCGCTTCCTTGTTTCGATATAGTTGGACCATTATACGAAAGTAGTCGGTATATCGTTTTCTGGAACTCGCGAAACGAAATTGCCGCTATGTTCGTCCCCGTGACTCGTTTAAAACGTTCGACTCCTGGCGTTAATTGAACGAAATTAGCCGAGACGTTGTGCCGGCACGTGCGAGACGCATCGTCTTGCTGGTAGAATTTAACGAAGGCGTTTCGCCCTTACGAAACAGCGTTAATTACGGAGATTCGTTGGGGTCGAGGACACGTGAACACGATCCTCCAAGATGCAGGCTTTAGCGAGACGAGATGTACGCGAATTGGGTTACGCGTCGACTCACTATTTGACTAACAAACTACAGTGCATTCTCGTTATATTGCCCGGATGGGCTTGTACGGACGATAAATACTTGAAATTGGCAAATATAAATTGCACAGCATCCATAGGATCTTCGTGCACTCAAGGAATTGTACTCCCTGTAAAAGTGGCAATATTACTGCAGTCCACTATAATCGGAGAAAATATTTTTGCTTCTGTTTCGACGGTCCGCAACATCTCAGGAATACCTGTCTCTAAATATTTGAAAAGAACGTTCATATTTAATACGAACGAAATGTACTCCCGTCATTTTTATTATACATTTTATGAGACATGCTAGAACATATTACGATTGAGCGTATGGGAGTTGAAGGAACCCCCAAGGGTTCATTAGAACTGTACAGAGAAAAATCAATACATAGATGGAAGTGCCAGGGTCATTCCCAGGTCAGCCTCGCATTTTTCCGACGAACACTTTTATTTCGCTTAACGAAGAAACTGCTAATAATCATATACAAGAAATCACTTTAGGTTTAATTCAGTCTTGAGTCTTGTCAATAAACGCGCGCTTTTTTTAATAACGAGCAGGCGCTTATCGGTACAAGCTCTTGTCGAAGTTCTTAAAAGTGCAAACTCATAAATCGCAGTGTCACGCGTACGTACGCGGTGTCGCGTGCAATTATTGTCGCCACTTTGCCTTGCGTGGCCCAGATTTATAGCGTTACCGGCGATATACGCGTCTGCCGTTTAATTCACGGTGGATTCTTAGCGTACGATGAATTCTAAATTACCACCGCTTCGCTATTGAAGTTCACGCGAAACCAGTCGCGACAGCTGTGGAACGGCTGTCGTTGCCACAGATACATAAATTCCCGTCGGTCGCTTTTAAATTTCCTAGTTGAATCGATCCTGGCCTTTTGGCGAGTTCTTGATGCACGTTTATCGTAGCGCCGAATAAATTTCCATGCTCCTCGTCGTCGTGGAAACGGGAAGTTTCTTTTCTCCTTTCAGAACTTTTCTTTCTTCTTTTTCGCCGCGATTTTCAGCAGGAAACTAGCTCCTCATTTTCACTTCTTCGCTAAATTTTGTTTACACAAGTTGGATATCCTTCTCATTGCTGTAACTTTCAGAGATGGGATGGACGCTTCACTAAGTGTCAGCGCGTCAAGTATTGTTGGATGCGTTGGGAAAGAGAATTCTGGACATAGCGAGATTCCGAATGTGGAATTCCATATGTAAATAGCTTCTGATCGTAGAATTCTACTCACAGCAAAATTCGAAATGTGGAATTCCGATATAAATAATTTCCAAGTATGGAATTCCGATATAAATAATTTCCAAGTATGGAATTCCACTCACAGAAAAATTCGAAATGTGGAATTCCACATATAAATAACTTCCAAGCGTGGAATTCCACTCGTAGAGAAATCCGAAATGTGGAATTCCACATATAAATAACTTCCAAGCATAGAATTCCACTCATAGAGAAATCCGAAGTGTGGAATTCCACATATAAATAACTTCCAAGCGTGGAATTCCACTCATAGAGAAATCCGAAGTGTGGAATTCCACATATAAATAATTTCCAAGCGTGGAATTCCACTCATAGAGAAATCCGAAATGTGGAATTCCATATA